TTTTTTGCTGATGAAAATTCTGAATATTTCGTTGAGTTCCCATCACCAACCTCAACCTCGACTTGCGGCAACGTTTTGTAGAACTCGTTCGACATTAGCTGTAAATAGCCGTAGCCCTCCGTCGCCTAAAAATGAATTTTCAAATTTTTTATGTTATTTTTAATCGTTTTTGATTGCCAGCGTGTTATCAAACCGCTTAAAAATTTTGTAATCTTTATATTTCGATTTTTGGATCATTTTTGAAATATTTTAACCAAAAATTCAAAAATTTCGACATTAAAAAATTTTTATGTGTTTTCCTATCTAAAAATTGTGTAAAATTCCAAAAAATTGGCTTAAATTTGTACTTATCTATTACACAAAATTATATAGGTAATTTTATCACCAATTTCAACCCACCTGCTCCAATAAAATCGTAAAGATCGTCAGCAGCTCGTCGAAACTTGGCCGTGACGTCGGGTATTCTTGCCAGCAGCGTTGCATCACTTCGTCTCTGAAAAGTCAAGGATATTTCGATACTTTTCTATGATTTTTAGGACCAGAAAATTACGCTTTTTGCGCCGCGCACGTTTGAAAAATTTCTAGTAACGTTTTTCTCATTTTATTTTGATTTTCGCTAACAAAAACATAGAATATCTATCGTTTTAGTGAATTAAATTACTGTATTAATGGGTGTAATATAGTGACTATAATATAAATAAAACCTACAGCTTATCCGACGCCAAAAGCGGTCGCTTCGGTCGCCGCCCGGATTTCAGCTCCTCGAGAATCGCCGTCGGCTCGATGTCGACGAACGGGGCGTCGCCCATCGAGTACATCTCCCACAGCACCATGCCGAAGGACCACCTGAAAAGTATTTATTAAAATGTTACAAGTTTAATTAAGCAATTAAACGTCGAAAATCAAGAATTCCTATTTTCTCAAAAATGCGCACGCCAAAAATTTTCCCAAAATTGATGTTTTACTTTTCTATAAGGTTTGGCGATTTTTTTTGGACTTAATTCATTGCTGAGTATCGATTTAAAACGTCTTATTACTATTTCTAAACGTAGAAACTGTACAAATGTTCGCTAAATAATAAAAACTAGAGGTGGCAAAAATGGTCTACTTTTGACAAAATTTTTAGACCATTTTTCCAATTTTGTTAAAAACAGTTTTAAAGTTTTCTAAGCAATTTTCCACTTGAAATCCGGTTACATTTTACTAAAAACACTATGAAAATGTTTAATATTAAGTTTCTAGGCATTTCTAGACTTTTCAAAAAATTAGAAAATTAGAAATTTTATGTTTCACTTCGCGAGAAGGTTTATTCAATGCTTTCCGTTACAGTGCGTCTGCCGTAGGATATAGCTAATCTAAAAGTTCTATTATTACAAAACCCACACGTCACTTTTGCTGGAGAATTTGTGCGATTCGAGGCATTCGATGGCCAGCCATTTTATCGGGAGTTTTCCTAAATAAAAATAAATAAATAAATTATAGAAACTGACCGCTAATATCGACGGATCGATCGTTGGCGTCGATGCACAGCCCAAAGTCGCCAATCTAGAAAAATAATTCTAAACAGCTTAAAAAGTTTAAATAAAACATTCTTATCGCCAAAACAAGCTAAGGAAGCTTTTAAAACAGGCTCGAAGCTTTGAAAACTTCTTCTAAAAAACTCAACAAAACCGGGAACAAAAACTTGTGAAAACACGCTAAAAAAGTTTGTTTCGAAGCGCTTAAAGAGTAATATTTTCTTTATTTTAGTGATGTATTTTGTTAAAAGCTACTTTATTGAGTTTAAAACGTTGCAAATTCTTTTAAACCCTCTAAAGCAAACCCACTTTTGCGTTTTTCATCTGATCGATCATGATGTTGCGGGCGGCGAGGTCTCGGTGAATCACGTTACGTGATACTAGGAATTTCATTCCGCTTGCCACCTGAAAACCAGCATTTGAAATAGAATAAATATTTAGAATAACTTTAACTATAAAATAATCGTGATTATAGTTTTTAATCAATATCGGGAATTTTTCAATGATGTTTCAAGCTTTACAAACTCTCGAAAACAACAGAGAAAGTTAATTGTTCGTTTTCAGGGTCAGAAAAATGTCCAAAAATGTCCGATTTTCAGCACTTTTTTTAAAACTTATTCGTCTGGTATTTTCATCGGTTTTATCAATTAAGCTTTTATATTTCTTCGAAATCTTCTATCCTTGCTTTTTTAACATTTTTAAATCCATAGAAAACTTGTGTTTCACGTATTTTTCGTGTCCGACAGAGTGTCGTTTGTGGTATTTTCTTCAGAGCTTTATCCATTAAAATTTTATGTCTTCTAAAACTTTCTATTCTTCATTTTTAACCCTTTTTAAAGATATGAATTCCTTTTTCAGGCCTCCTCCCACTCGTATGCACACAATTTTCCTGACCGGCGGCATCGCGTCGGGCAAGTCGGCCGTCAGCCAGGTTTTTTGTTAGTTTTTAACGTTTTTATCTACTTTTTTAGGTGTTCCAAGAGCGCGGGATCCCTGTAATCGATGCGGACGTGATCGCGAGAAAAGGTATCGTTTTTAAAAGTACGTTTTTAGTTTTAAAAACTCTATTTTAGTCGTAAAACCGGGCACCTCGGCGCACGCCCGGCTACGCGCCGAGTTCGGGCCCGCCTTTTTCGACGCGCACGGCAATTTGTTGCGCAAAAAACTGGCCGACGTGGTTTTCGAGGATGTTGAGGTATTTTTAATCGAGATTGCTGATATTTTACGTTTTTTCTAGAAACGCCGCCGCCTCAACGCCATCACGCACCCGGCGGTGCGCTGGGAGATCGCGAAACAGGTAGTTTTCAGTTCTTTGCGATGATTTATAGATTTTGAGGGTTTGGCAGGCTAGCAGAGAGATTTTAGGAAGTTTTCTAGCGCTACGAGCTTATCTTAAAAGCTTAGAATCTTAATTAAAAGGCCCAGATATTGATTTTTCAGCCAAGAAAACTTCAAAAATCATTTTCTGTAAAATTTCTAAAGCTTTCCAGCTTCGTTTCTATTTTCCCAAAACTTTTTAGGTTTTCTATCGTTATTGGCGTGTTTTAAAACCGTTTTATAGCCTAGAGAGTTTAAAACATAGTTTTTTCGGTTCGAAAATTTGAAATCTTGTTTTTTTTTCACGTTTTCAAGATTTCTAAACAGGTTTTTCTTACGTTTTCCGCATTAAAAATGTAAACTGGTGCACTGCGCTTATAAAAATTCTATTTTAGTACCTCCAAGCCCTCTTTCAAGGCGCAAACCTCTGCCTGCTCGACATTCCGCTGCTTTTCGAGTCGGACGTGTGGAAATGGTGGCCGCTGTCTACAGTATGCCTCGTACATTGGTAATATTTTTTGCGTTGATTATCGACTGATTTTAACGCATTTTTAAGCTTTGTAATTTTGTATTTTTTAGCAGCCCCGGGCAGCAAATCGAGCGGCTAATGGCGCGCGAGGGGTGCACAAGAGAGCAAGCCGGGGCTCGCATTAATGCGCAGGTGAGGGCTGTTTTTTTTGGGGTTTTTAAAAGCCCTTTCCTAGAAAATTAGAAATTTTAGAAAATGTAAAAATGTAAGAATTTATTTTTTTCGTATTTTTTTGATAAAAAATTCTTAAAAACGTCGAAAGTTTAAATTACATAATCTAAATTACAGAATTTTATTTTTTCGGCATTTTTCGTAATTTTTGACAAAAATTTTTAAAAGTGTTCGAAGTTTATTATTTATAAGCTTTTTATCTCTAAAAAGAGCGTAAAAACTTTTAAAATGACTGCTTTTTCCTCATAAAACGTGTTTTCAAAAAAATTCCGTGTTTTCAAGTAATTCTAGAATTTTTATTAATGCCTTTTTCGTTTAATTTTTATTAAATAAGATAGTTTTGATGATGTTGGGTTTAATTAACTGTAAATTTTCGTTTTCTGCATCTTCTTTTCTTAATTTTATCTCTATTTTGCAGATGCCAATCGAAGAGCAAAAGCGCCACGCCGAGCTGCTCATCGACAATTCAGGGCGCCGTGAGGAGCTCGTCGAAAAGGCGATTACGGTATGTTATTATAGGCGCGTTGCGTGTCGCGGCGCGGAAAATGCCTTGGGGAATCCACGGCCATATTTGTGCCTGGCCGTTTATTTTTTTCGTAAAGATACTTATGGATCTCCTATTATCTTTCCTCCCCAGCTCTGCTTCCCCCAAATTTTTAAAACATTTTTTGGCAGCTTTTTTCTCTTTTTTTTTTAAACTGTAAAATTGAAAAAAAAATTGTAATGAGTGTTCCGTAAGTGTTTCTAAACTGTTTTTTTACTATTCCTAGACGTCAAAACTTTACAAATTTTTATTAAGAAATACAAAGAGTATCGATTTTTGGCCAAAATTCAATTTTTTGAAATTTTTTAAAGCTTTTAGATAGTTTCTATTTAAAATCTAGTTTTATTGACTAAAACATTACGAAATTACTCTCTATTAAATTATAGAGGCGTTTCTAGATTAATACACAAAATATTTCCCCCGATAATGCAAAAGGACCAGATAGCTTAATTGATTACGCAATGGAAGGCGTAGCGTACGCGGCGCGGATTCATTCTGGGCATGCTAGCAGAGATTTTTGAGGAATATAGAGAGCGTGGCGTACGCGTTGCGTGTTTAAATTTAAATTTTAAAATTTAGCACGGTCGATAAATCGCTTTTTTCAGATAATCGATCGATACGAGCGTAGCCTGGTGCCATTCTACGTCCGCGGCGTCTTCTTCCTGCTGCTCCTCACCCCGGTGTGGTATTTCTTGAATTTAAAAATCCTCTGCCTGCTCAATTTTGTCATATTTCTGTTGTAGATACCGCATTTTCTTGACTTGGTTACTGTATTAATTATTTGTTTTTATTTTATATTTTTTTTGCTTGTCTTTTTTTGATGCTCGTTTCTGGTCAATAAATTTTCGGATTAGAGTAGCTTTGATTTTTTCGGGCGATTTTCTCCGATTTTTTGTCATTTTTTATATCTATAAATTCACTAATTGATTCCTACAAGAATCTGAAACTAATTTTAACAAGTCTCAATATTCTTATAATAATAATTCTACTACAGTAAAATTCAGGTTTTAAAAATAGATAATCGGATTTTAATTGAATTAAAGTTTTAAAATGTCTTATTGAATTAAAAAATAAATAGATTTTAAGTTTTTAATTGAATTAAAAGGTTAATAAATTGAGTTTTAATGAACAATCAATTGATAAAATTCGGTTAATCTAATTTTAAATGAATTAAATAGTGCAATTTTTAACTATAAATGATCTTAAAATATACAGAGTTTCAAGAAAACCAACCTGCCACGCAAAGTGCAAAAACTCCTTGGTGCAGTCGATTTGCTCGTCGATTGAGCGGCTCTGGAATTTCTAGAAATTTTTTTGGAATTTTGGTGTTACTGCTTCCATCCGAACTGGCCAAAATTCACACGAATTGAAATTGTGTTTGCATGCAACAGGATTTTTTAAAAGATTACCTGATCCAAATCGGAGCGCCGCCTCAAAATATAGCTTTTCAGGTCGCGATTCGCGCAGTACTCCAGCACCAAACACGACCGTTTCGCCGACTGGAAAACGTGTGTTTTTTTGAAAATAATATAATATGTTTTTTTATAGAAACTTTTCAATAACTTTTTGGTAAATCGTTTTTTTTTAATTAAGTCAAATTTATTTTGACAAGTTGGAGGCTATCATTATTGGCTTCAATTAATCAAATTCGATGCCCGGGTTTAGTTAAGTTGCTAGATTTTCAAAATTTTATGTCTTTGAAAACAGAATTAAATTTTTCAATGAATTAAATTACTTTGAAAACCTGCCGCTATTAATATTATTATTTAACTTTGGCCTTATTTGATTAAGTTTAGGTAATCCTGGAAATTTTGATTTTTGCGATGTGAAAAAAATTAGTTTCAGCCCTGGTATTGGACGCGAATATACATGGTAGCCTTAATTACTCGTATACCAGCATCCAAAAATTGAAATTTAGGAATCTCCCTTTCTCTCGCTCTCTCTCCCTCCCTCGCTCTCTCTCTCTCTCTCTCTCGCTCTCTCTCTCACCTGCGTACTGCATCCCAGCATATTCACTAGATGCTCGTTGAAGCCGAGGGTTTTCATCTGAAAAATAGTAACTTGAGGAATGGGAAAGGCCAACAATAAAGTGAATCGAGATCAGAGGCATATTCACATTTTTGAAACATTATAATTTTATGAATATTTCGATTTTCGTATTTTGCGCTTGTTCTCCCGAAAATTCATTAATTTCTCCTTGCCTTTTCGAACTTGGAGCTAATTTGGGGAGTGTATGCCCTATACTTTTTATTAAGGTATTTTTAAATTATGTCTTACTCGAATTAATTTGTGCGACGTGCTGAAATTCGAGAATTGGGGAAGTTGACAACGACCTGGTTTGTCATTTTTGAAACATAGAAACCCGAGGAAAAATTGTGACAAAAATTACGGTACGCGTACGCAGAATTACGGAAGTTATCACCGGGCGAACTTTGCCATTTTTGAAACATCAAAATTCACATAGATATTTGGGTAAAATATAAAAATTAGGAAAAGATATTTCTTAATTTTCAGCTTGGTTCACGTATTATGTTTTTTATTGCCAATTTGAATCTCATTAAAAATCATCGCTTAAATAATCCCCATTTAAATTATTTCGCCTGGAATATTTACCAACCAAACTGGAGGCAGGATTACGGCAGTTGTCAGGGGCCGAAATTTGAGGTTTTTTGAAACATAGAAATTTTGTGCAAAAACAGAAAGAAGGAGAACATAGAAATTTTGTGATTAGGAAAATTAACAGCCGAGTTTCAGCATTTTTTTAAACATGAAACCCCAGGCATAATTCTGGAAAAATCGCAATTTTAAAGTTTTTATCGTGGACACTTTAAGCTTTCAATTTCTTTTAAATTATAAAATTTGATTAATTAGACAGCGTGTACGACGAATTACAAAAATTGGGGCCGCCCGAATATGGACAATTTTGTAAAACATGAAAATTCAAGTTGGGTTCACAAATTGGGCAAAAAAAAAAGGTATTTTATCTATCTTTTTTTCTTGCTAATTTGGAAAATGTATAACTTAAATTTTAATCCAGATATTGCAGTACGGATTTATAGCTCAAACTAGTAGGCACGAAGAATACGAAAGGTAGGAAAAATTACAGAAATTAGCACCAGCCGGGTCTTCTAAATTTTTAAAACATGCAAATATAGTTCGTGGAAGAATTTTTCTTTTTTTTTGAGCGCGAATTGCATTATCCATTATTTTCGATCGTTCTTAATAGCTGATTGTCCAACAAAAATACCAAGAATTACGCAAGTTGGCGCCAGACGAATTTTGAGCTTTTTGAAACATAAATATTTTTTAGGAAAAAAAGCGTAAATGATCGTGATTTCGGTAGTTTTGCGGGAACAATTTCATTAACGATATATCGATGGATAGACTATAAAAATTTGGCCGAATACTAAAAACGAAAAGATTAACTTTATGTAAAAACATCGGAGAACAGACGGTTTTTTTGAAACATTGAAATTTCAAAACCTGTCGTGAATCGCTGGCTTTAATTTAATTCTGTTTATAGAATTTAAGAGCATATGAAAATCCATCTTATATGTTTAATTTAAATACTTCTTAAAATAAATCTTTTACCATATCGATCTCGTGGAGGAACATCTGGAGCTCCTTTTCAGACGCGTGCTTCTGGATGATTTTCACGGCCACGTCGCAGTCCCTGAATTAAATAGGATTTTAATTACCAACTTTAATAAAATCCGCATATTCTAGAAAATTTAACGAATTATACTAAAAGTCATTATAATAATTTTTGGCTACCGAAAATTGGCCGCTTCATGTGGGTAGTAGTGTTCGAGGCCCGGCGATTGGCCCAGCATTTTTCCTAAAAAAATTTTTGATATTTTTTGGATTGCCTGGTATTTGATTCGAATTTTAGTGTAGAATTTATCATTAAGTTAAAGATTTTATAAATTTCCGCAAAGGAACTTTGCCAGCGATCAATTCTTAAGGATGAAAAAGTGTGTTTTGACCAAAACTCGAATGTGACGGATTTTTGATCTCGTAATCAGGATCGCTACCCATTTGATGAAATGATGGCTTTTCCTATAGGTTTAAATTATAATATTTTTCCGCAAATGGCCTATGCTAGCCTGCCTCGTTTCCAAATTCTAGATTTTTAGCTTCCCAAAATTTTTTTGATGTTTCATTGCCAGCCGATCTCAAAGAAACGCCTTTCAAAATAATTCGTCTGCCTATGTCTCGCGGCAAATACAATTTTTATGATTAAAAATCATACTATAAAATAATAAAATAAATAAACAATTTTAGGCTACGTAACGCACCTTTATACACCAGCCCGTAGGCGCCGTGGCCCAGCTTTTCCGAGCTGACGATCAGCCGATCCCACGAGATTTCCCAGTAGTCGATGCTGCAAATAAAATTCTATTTAGTTGTATCTACAAATATTCATTAAGATTTTTGGAATTCTTGATTATGCAATTGTCTGATCAATTATATTTTATATTCTGTTATATTATTTTTTTTAATACGTTATATTGGATTAAGGATATGGTTGCGCTGCCAAAGCTGTTTATTAAATGTAGTCGCCCCAAATTAGGTACCTGATTTTTTTGAAACACGTTTGGTGTTTCAGCGATTTCACAGAAAATCATAACTGACATTAAATTTTCCTAACTAACAAAAAAAGCAATAAAATTTTCAATTTTTCTGCGGTTTTCCATTTTTTCTCGGCAAACTCGTAGTTAATGTCTATAGTACCTTGATACGCATTTTTGCTACTAAAAAAACACTTGCAGAAAATTGAATTTCGGTATTTTTGTCAGGAGGGTCATGACCTTTTCAACTTAAACCCCCTTTTCAGAGTCGGCTCCCTATTTTTGCCAAAACATTGTTTTACTATCAGCTAATAATTATGTTCACGTTAAGTGTCTTTGAACCTTTAATTACTTAAATAATGACGCTATAAAATTATATATATTTAATTGCACGGTATTGCAGTAAATTAATAAATGGAAGGCACGTGTGACTGACTAAAATCAGAAAGTGGTTCAGGTTTACAATATTTTGGAAAACACATTTTTTCGAGGGGGCAAATTGTGATTCGTGACGAAATTCAGCCGCGCCGCGACACGCAATGCGCACAACTCTTCCTTAGCGTCATGGATGAGTATTTGCCGTAAAATTGCGACCGCGGCCAGGCGGCGCGCGCGTTGCGTGTTGCGGTCCGGAAATTGATATCTACATTTCCTGGCGCCCTTTTTCCAGCGCCGCGACACGCAACGCGCCACGCGCTGCTCGGCCTCGCGTTTTAGCAGCCCGTAATCGATTACGCAATGGAAATGCGGGCGTGCGCGTCGCGTGTCGCGGTGTAAAAAGCAAAATTTTAATTATCATGCCCTTCGCCTCCCTTAAAAAAACCCACATATCATCGTCATTGTTGGCGGCTTCCGTTTTCCCGTCCTCCTCCATCTCCTCGTCGCCGTCCTTATTTTTGAACAGGTACAACTTCTGCATCCACATCAACTTCTGCCGGTAAACCACCGTGCACACCAGCAGGATTATCATCAGCCCTATAATACAAAAATATTATTTTACAAAATACAAATTCCATTTTTTTAGGAAAATTTGGTGACGCAGAAAATCCAACCCTAAAAAAAAGAAGGTTTCATAAAAAACAAGTGCCACGCAATTTCTGAACTCCTGACTATGCTTTGTGGATAATTAAATTCAAACCTCTCAATTACCGTAGGCAGGGAATTTTGTATATATTTTTTAAGGCGATAGTTACAATTTCCCCAAAGGCCTCTGCTAGTCTGCCCTGAATTTCACAATGCCTAAAGGTAAATTTCCGCTGGGGTTTAGATACGGAAAAATTTAGAAAACAGAGTTTCAAACTCTAAGTGCGATCAGAAAATCTTTCGATCCCGAATTGACCTTGGATTGGATTCTCGTTGGCCAGCAGCACAAGCTTGTAAACAAAAATTTTTTTCAAATAAAATTGGTTTTCTGTAAATTTTGTCCGTATTAATTTTTAATGTGGATAATTAAATCCAACAATTATAATAAGTAAATAAAATAAAATAAGCCGGCCATTTTTAATCAGACGAGTTTCTGAGGAATAAAAGATTGAGAAATTGCCATGGAATTTAGGTTTTAAGCTGCGTTGAAAAACCCTGTTTCAAAAAGATCAAGATAACGATAATTTTTAATTGCTCTAGTGCTCCACGTCGCGTAACGAAACATTTGTATTTTTAGAAAAACCGAAATTCAAGCAAGACATAACCATTAAAACTATTGAGAAAAGAAATCGATAGGGTAACAAAAATTTTGAAACATGGTTTTTCTGAAAATCTTCTGTTCGATTTTTTGATGTCGTAAAACTCTAACTTTAATACCAATCTCGCAATTTTAAATTGGGTTATGAATAACCAGACAAAAGTCATAAAATTTGTTAAAAAAGGGAAAATTCATCGCAATGTTAAAAAAACTGCTTTTCATAAAAAATCCAGAAAAAATTAATTTTTTGATCCGGTAATGCAGGAAGCAAATAATCTTATTTTTCTGGCTACTGTTAAAACTGATGGAGAGGGAAAATTGTTTTCGAAGGTATACTTACCGGGCCCAAAAACCTTGAAACGCGTTTTTTAAAATTGCCATTCTCGGGTTTTCACTCTCAACTGAAATAAACTCGGGTTTTTAATTTCGATTATTTAAAAAGCCTTTAATTAAGTCAAGATTTAATAAAACGATTACAATAAATTAGCTACCCACCAAATGACACGCCGATGATGATCATCCATATCGTCGTGCTCGGCATCCCCGTCGATTTGTCTGCAAAACAAAATCGGTTGATCGATTTTTCGAGGGCGCCGATTTAAGTTTTACTCAATACGACGATTTTTACACTTTTAAGCGACTTTGCAAAATTTTTATATGGACCTTACGACAAAAAAAATAGGTGTTTCATAAATTTTTACAAATCTTTCTTTTTGAAAAGGGCTCAATCTGGCATCGATGTAAGCCTTTTGTCAACGAATATTGCTACTGGTTTCTTTAGGATCGAATTTGAAACGTGTCGGTGGAAAAACGAAAATCGGGAATTCGCGAGTCGCAAAACCGGCATTTTATGCGTTTTTTATCAAAATTTGTAAAGTTTGTAAGTTTAAGCAAAACAAAAACAGTCTATCTAACCGCTTCTTCTATTTATAATATAAAAATTCGAAGAACCAAAGTGTTTATCAATTGCCAGCAAAAACACGCAAAATGGTGTTTCGTGACAACTTAATAGCTTGGGTCGATATTTAAGCATAATACGTACATACCTCTCACCCTAATGTCCTAACGTCCTTTTGCACAATAAGCACGTCTCAATTTTGATAATGATTCGGCAGGATATTTGATTTTAAAACCGCTATTTCAATTGTTTAAAGAGCTACTAAATTGAGAAATTTCGGGAGAAAATATGTTGCGCAAAAATCCAAAAGCACCGGGCCTGATCTTAGGATAATGATGCCCAACGTGTTCAATCGCAAGGATTTACCAACTAAAAACAATTGTAAATGCTAACTTTAATCAAAAGTCAATACGAATTTCTTAAGAATGAATTATTAAAATCAATTTGAAAAAAATGTGTTTTTAAGAACTCCAAAGCAGCAAAATTTTTGCGAGCGATAATAGTACTATAGTTGTGGTGTTAGGAAAATTAATGGAATCGCTTTTAAAAAATTGTGTTTCATAAAAACTTAACAGTTGCGAAATTTTTGCGAGTGATAATTGGAGTATGTAGTGTTGGGGAAAAGAAGCCAGTAGGGGCAATTTCGGAAATATTAATAGGAAATATTCATCACCTTTTAATTAATAACACGAAAATTTAATAAAAATATGTTTCGTAATACTTTAAAAATTCAAAAGTTTTTACCGCCATAATTTGCTTCAGCATCTCGCTGCTAAAATAAATCAAAAAGTTTAAATGAAACATTTATTTAAATCAATTAATTAAATTAAATTAAGCAATAAATAGATTGAATATTTTACCGTACCCTTTGGCGGGCAAATGTCGGTGGGACCCGGCGCCTTCGTGAAACCGTCGTCGACGAACAGGTTCCGGGCGGGGATCGTCGTCTCCGCCTCGTAGATCTTCTGCACCGCCTGCAATTATGAATTAGCAGAAAACTGGGATTTTTAAAAACAATATTTTTCATTTAGAAAATTAAAATAAAAAGTAAAAAATCGAAAATCAAAAAATAATAGGAAATTTTTATTTTTGCTTGGATTTTTTATTTGCAGCTTTAAAATTTATGATGGTAACTACTAAAATCCACTTAATTTTTTTAGTAAAATCTAATATAATTTGCTTTACAATAATTTTACAAATAGCAAAAATTCGAAAACCGACCATACTGAAGGCGTACACTTCGAAGTTGGCGTGCTGCTGCAGCCATTTGAAAGCGGCCGACGGGGCCGAGGCCCGGTAGGCGTCGATGAAGTTCTGGAATTAGTCTTGGCTTAGCTTAGGCTGGGCTTAGGCTTAGGCATTTTATTTAAGCCAAATAAATAAATGTAAATTTCTAGGACAAATTTAATTTGTTTTTAATCGGAAATGCCTAAATATCAAACATAATTTTCGCTATAGACATTCTCGGGCCTTTTGATGTGTTGAATGGAAAGGCGAATCGTATTTGGACTGGAGTAATCTGGGTAACATTTAATTTTAAATTTTCGATTTCGAAAACCAAAAATTTTCCCAATTGGTTTTTGCTAGCCTGTCCAGCGCTATTTGAAAGCTAGGAAAAAAAAAGGAAATTAATATAGAAAACCCAGAATCTGTAAAAAATTAACTCATCTAGTAAAAAAGCCACCCTAAAACAATTTTGAAACATTATTTTCCGAACCCTTTAAAATTAACAAGCCTTGTAAAGTTAAAATGCATAAAATATAATAAAAGTATTAAAAATTACCCAGGACACAAAATCCGTCATAAGAATGACTCTGGGTCCCCATTTGCTCTCGCCTTCATTCACGAGACTCCCATAGGCCCTCACCACCAAATCCTCCGTATGCCGCTCTTCCGTATCGTTTACGACTTCTAAAATTCAAAATTAACGATTAAAAATTTAATAAATCGCTAAAAAATATAAAATTTTGGTTCTTTTCGTTTAGCGGGGGGGGGGCAAATCTTTTCAGTAATTCCATACAGCCATAACTAAATAAAATTTAGAATTTTATTCTTCTATTCTATAGAATTTTCCACAGCTTCTAGATATAAAAAATTTATAAAAAGCGTAAAGAAAAATTCTCGAAGATTTTTTGTTCTTTGGTCAAAAATATAAATTTTGTTAACTCTTCTTGATTTTTTTTTGAGGACTTTTGGGGGTGGAAAACTATTAAAGAGCCTATAAAATTATATTATATTATTTAAAGGTATTTGTGGAAAAATAAAAATTATTCCCTCCACCGGTTAAACGAGAAGAACCGTCTCGAAACCCTCAAAAAAAATGCAAAAAAATGAATGTTTCCCAAAAATACAATAACCCCGCGACGTAAACACTATTAATCAGGTACATTACTTATACGCATTTGAATCCGTAATTACAAAATTTCCGGCTGTCGCGCAGCTCTCTTTAGAATTTCAAAATCGAAAACACTGAAATTCGTTTTAGGCTAACAGAAAATTTGCATAAAAGGGGGGTTATTTGAAAATTAAAATATCCGAATTATAAAACTATTCATCCAAAAATTTTTTGAAAAAAACCGACTCGCCGGAAGGATGATCTCCTCGTGCTTCAGGCCGACAAGAAAGGCTTGGATCTGTAAAAATAAAGTTATGGAATTTTACGCATTTAAATTAATTTGAGTTTTTGTTAAAATTTCCGAATTCCGGAAGAATCCTTGCTAGATTGCCCGATTTTCGTAATATTTTAATTAAATAAGAGCAAAAATACGATACGATTTAAATCCGGGCGCGGCAAAATCCATAGCCTCCCTTGCCGGTCCCTTTAATTTCCGTTAACCTACCGACTCGATGTCGTGGAGCCAGCCGCTGTCGGTGTCGTTCACCGCCAAGAATCGGGCCACCAGGTTGAAGCGGCTCTAAAAAATTGTTAATAAACGCCGTTAAAGCGCACATTCAGGGAGGGGCCGTATACTCGTCCCAACGCGTACACCCTATGGACGTAGGGAACGCGCGCCCTGCCTGCCCGTAGCGTGGCAGGCAATTCCCCTCCTTCGCGGCGTGGAGCGCCCCCCGCCCCCTCGCCAGGTTGTAGCTGTGGCTGACTGGTATGCATCCGCGCCTCCCGAGCGGGGGGCCCGGGTTCGACCCCCGGCCGCGGCAAAAATCTTTGCTTTTTTCCAAAAAAAAGTCCCTGAACGTGCCCTTTAACTCACCAAGCAGTCAGCCAGCGGCGTCTCCACAAAATAGAGCGCATTCGAGAATTCGGTTTTGTTCGTATTGTTGGAGAGGGCGAACAGGTAGACGATATGCTCCCAATCGCCACCGTATTCTGATGTCGGGCTCACCTAAATATATATAAGGTGTTTTTAAAGGGGTGGTGACACTAGAGTTAACTCCTTGCGGATGTAACTTTTTTCAAAAAAATGCGTTTCGTAAAAATTACCCAATTCGAGCTAATTTAGGGATCGAATTGAATCTCCTTTGCTGTTGAAAGCAAAAAAGTGCAAAGCGGATAGGCTGGCAAAAAAAAACGTTTAGAACAAAAATAATACTCATTTTAAAGGGAGGGTGACACTTCTTTTACTTCTTGCAGGGGATTTTTTTGTACAAAACAATTATGTTTCGTAAAAATTACCCAAAACCGGTTATTTTGGAGATCGAATTCAGATGCGGTGGTGCTGTCATTAAATCAAAATGCGCAGAGCGGACAGGCTGGCGAAGAAACATTTCGAACACAAAATATTCTGGATTTTAAAGGGATCGTGACACCAAAATTTGCTCCTTGCGGAGGTAAATTTCATTCAAAACATGTGTTTCGTAAGAATTACCCAAGTGGAGAGATTTTAAAGATCGAATAAACTTGCGCTGTGTGTTTTAATTACATAAAAATGTGCAGAGCGGACAGGCTAGCGAAGAAGATTCGAACAAAAATATTTGAATTTTAAAGGGGTGGGTAAACCGAGCTTGACTTGCGTAAAACCCGTTTTTTTTCGAAAAAATTACCCAAGCCGACGTTTTTCTACATTTTTTGAAAGGATGGTGACATCAAAAAATAAATTTCTCAGACAAAAATTGTCCACAAAAAATATATTTCGTAAAAATTACCTAAACACAATTTTTTCCGAGACATTAATCGAAATGTTCGCACAATAAAAAAACGGGCAGGCTAGCAGGGGTTCTTCGAAAGAAATATCTCTCTGATTTTTTAAGAGATGGTGACACGAAAAATAGTTTTTTAGAGCAAAATTTGTCGAAAAAATTATGTTTCGTAAAAATTACCCAAACCGAAATTTTGTGGTAACGCTAATCTTTGTTGGCGTAATTAAATCCAAACTTCGAAGAGCGGGCAGGCTAGCAGCGATTCTTTGAGAAATCTATATCTGCGATGTGTTAAAGGGATGGTGACACCGGAGTTCCTATAGAAAAAATACTTCGGAAAAATATGTTTCATAAAATTGAACTCTCCGAAATTTTTTTGAAACGCTAATCTCTGTGTAGGTAATTAAACAAAAATAAACAAGAGTGGAAGGCTAGCAAGAGGTTCTTTATAGAACAATCTATTTATTTTAACGCGATGGTAGACAAAAAAGTGTCGTAAATAAAACTACAAAACTAATATTGGTGTGATGCATGCTAAAGTAGAAAAATGGAGGGGCAGCATAGCAGAGATTCTTTGATCGCAACATATCTTTATTTGAAAGGGGGCACGAAAAAAAACGTTTTCTCTAGACCCGTCGAAAAAAATATGTTTCGTAAAAATTACCAAAATCGACTTTTTCTTGTGACGCTATTGATTGTATTGTGTATAAACATCAAAACTGCGATGAGCTCGCAGGCTAGCAGAGATTTTTGAAAAGGCATTTGGGATGAGAGAGAGGGGGAGGCTATCAGCGATGCTTGAAGAAGTTTAGACACGGTTAGGGTAAGCCAGCAGAGATTCTTTGAGAAAGACCCCGACCCCAAAATAAGTATAGAATTGTCAAGGGACCGTGAATTCAAATTTCCCCTATTTTTTCAAAATAATATGTTTCATGAAGTTTACACTTCCGGAACAAAATTGCTCTGCCAATCCTGATCTGGTCGATGCTTTACAAAAAATGCGAAGATAAGGCAGGCTAGCAGAGATCCTTTGAGGAAATTGGCTACCGTATGCGCGGTGGTTGTCGCGACGGTCCTCCTTGTTGTGGGCGGGGCCAGCGACGGATACGGGCACGACCAATTGGCGTTGTCGTAACACTGATTCAGGGAAACGTTTCCACACGGCGGGATGCAGTGCTAAAAATTATTTGTTTATTTTTTAATTAACAGAAAATAACCTTTAGGTTTAATTCTTTTTAGCGCTTTTGCACGGGGTTTTTAATGCAGGTTCCAAAGTTAAAAAATTTAGTTTCTTTTGTTTCAGATGTTTCAGCAAATTACACCGTGACGAGTGGGTTGATCACAATAATAATTCTTTTCTGGTTGGGCCTATTGATCTATTGACTACGCTGAATTGCGCATTGCGATATTTTTTTAATTAAAAATGGCAGGTTGAAGTTATATAAATAAGTTAAACTTTAGAATCAGGATTTTTTTTTAATTAAATAGCAGGTTTTGAGCTAAATAGATCACTCGAAAACTTAGTCAAGATTTTTATAAAAATTAGTTTCAGAAGATAACAGATACCCGCATTTTTTCGCCGGGCTTAATTTGTTTGTGATTGTTTGTTGTTGTAATTGTTGTAATTTGATCACCCAAAACAGAAAAAAAGAAATATAGGAATACTACAATAATATTCGTTATTCAAAAATCTATATATAAATTAAATTGAAAATCCCAGGAATAAATAAATTCTAATTAAAAATAGTAGGCTTTGAGCTAAAGAAATGGCTCGCAAAATTTGTATTCCGGTTTTATAAAAACGAGTTTCATCACATTTCAAATATCAGCATTTTTTCGCCCGGCTTAATCTATCTGGTTTGCGAGTCAAAAAATGTAGGAATAATACAAAAATTTTCGTTATTTAAAAATCTATGAATAAATGAAATTCAAAAGCCACAGGAATAAATAAATTTAATTAAAAATAGCAAGCGTTCAGCTAAATAAATAACTTCAAAAACCTAAATTCAAAGATTTTTATAAAAATGTGTTGCAACACGTCTCAAATCTCAACGATTTTTCGCGGGCTTAATCGTCTGTCACCCAAAACCAAGCAAAAAATATAGGAATACTACAATAATTGTCGTTATTTAAAAATATATAAATAAATTAAATTTACAATCCCCGGGCATAAATCAATTTTAATTAAAAATGGCGGGCTTTGAGCTAAATAAATAACTAAAAAATTTTAAGCAAGAATTTAAAAAAATGAGTTTGATCATATTTCAAATATGAATGTTTCCCGGATGGTTTAATTCATTCTTTTTGATATCAGAAACAAAAAAGTAAATATATGAATAATAAAATCATTAAACCTATAAACCTAATTAAAAAAATCGATAAACTTACGGCAATCTCGTAGATGCACGAAATGTTGTTCACTTGCAGCAGTTTTGTTGATAAATTGGCATACTGCTTCTCGAAGTCCTCGTTCGGGATATCTACATGAAAATTTATATAAGTCTTAGGAAACTATATGAAATTATATACTGTCATAGAATAGTATATTCAATATTGGATTTTAGATAAAAATTTGATTCTATATAATAAATTTTTGAGAAAAATGGTTCTCTGGCATTATCGGGGGGGGGGGATTCTCTGTAAAGTCCAGAAATGACTAGTAACTTAATAGGAAGTATTTTTAGAAGCTTAAACATACAATAAAACTAGAATTAAAATAGAAAAACTAGATAAAAACTTTCAAAATTTTTCCAAAAATCGAAATTTTGTTAAAATCGTTCGAAAAATCGATATTTTTTGTATTTTTAGTAAAAATAGTTTTAGTTATTTTTCTTTTAATCATAATAAGAAAACAACAGTTTAAAGACACGCTTCGCTATTTATTTTCGAAAAATTGTATCCGAAGAAAAAATGTGCATAATGGTGCCTTTAATATTAAACAAAACAAAAAATGTGTCGTTTTCCACATTGTTGTAACATTTAAATTTAATTTCGTAAAAACGAATGAATTTTTAATGAATTAATTTGAAAATAAATATGCTAAAATTTGAGGATTGAATTTGCGCGACTACACAATGAATAAGTATTATAACACCAAATTTTAAGAAGTTTTGAAACATTGAATTTTCTAGTGGCAAATTTACCTGGTCTCCCAAGCAAAATCACCGAAAACGTGATGCAGCCCTCGTCGGGGACGTAGGGGAAATCCTGCAAAAATATGGTAATTTTGTTAATTAATAAACACCTTAAAAACTAGTCTAATTTTCGAAAAAAGGATTAATTCCACTCCAAATTCCAAAAATGGAAAATCAATTACTTAACAAAAATTTAAAATTACTACGAAATTACCTAAAACATCAAATCTTAAAACCACGAATCTAAGTCGATAATTCAATGCTTGATTCGCTAAAATATATTTAAAACAACGAACTTGAACTAAACTTGCAAAATAAAAAAAGGAATTAAAAGTCGAGCTAAATCAATATTTAATTGAAATAAAATCAATAAAAATACCTTATTCAGCCCGGACTGATAATTGAAAAGTCGATTGGTGATCAGCACGACGGTGTTGTAGAGGCACGGCGTATTCGCCACGTTTTTCAGCTAAAAATGGGGGGGTACGCTAGGAAATTAAAATAATGATTTCCGGCGTTAGTTATACGGATTTTGAAAGAAACGAGTCTGACGAATTGTTATAACCAAAAATTATGAAATCTTGCATTGATTTGAAACATTTTGTCTGAATTTCGATCATTTCAAATAATTTTCATATTTATCGATTTATAGGATTTACTAATTTTTCATAAATTAACATTGATTCACTTCATAAGCACGGGCCCGAATAACATCTCTATTTATCGATTTATCAAATTAATCTTTGTAAAATCACTAAATCCTACAATTTTTTTGAAAGCTTTTGTTTCGGTCTTGCTAGAACCGCCTTTATAGTGCTCCTATTGTGCGAAAAACCGCGAAGCGGTTTTATCACCTACATCTGTCTACAAACGAGCGAAATTTACGTGTTTTTGCAAAATTGTGTTTTACTTGTTTTGGAGGTTTAGCTTTTAAATAAATAGATTGTAGTATGAACGATTCGCTTGGTGCCATTCTTCAGGATGTGTCTAAAAACGAGTAAAAGTTCCGTTTTTTGTGCAAAATTGTGTTTCACTTATTTTGGAGATTTAGCAATATTTACCGGTAATAATGTTCTGATCGTTGCATATTAAATTTATCCGAAAAATTGTAAACGACGCTGAATATTTAAATTCTTATTGATGAAAAAATATTGATAAAAAATATTTAAATAGCCAAATTTCGCAATTTGTTGTCGAGCATCAGCAAATTAGCAAATTATAAAAAAGTGATGTTTCATAAAGTTTCAAATTTGAGCAAAAAATGGCGGCATCAATGGGCAATCGGCGCACCTTCTATAAAATTTTTTGACTAGAATTTGTGTCTAACTTGTTTTCCTAATTTGTAAAAAATTTCTCGCAACGATTCTGAACTCGCACTAGTGTCGAGAAATCTTAAAAAATTTTAACCTATTTTTGTGAAAGTGTTTCTAAAATTTCCGAGTTTCCGGATAAGCCTGTAGAAATAATTCAGGGACTTTTTGACCTCGATCAAAAAGGCGTAGCTAAAATTCGCGGACGTCGTCTCGTTCCAGAAATACTGGTCCTGCTGGACGTCGTCGTACGGTTGCACCTGAATTCGAAATTAAGGGTCTTAAAATTCATAAAATCAAGTTTAAGGTTTTAAACCATTTAAATAGCCTATTATGGAAGTGGGGTAAAGACTTTTTTGCCAGAAAAATTTATTTTAAAATTTTCTAAAAATGTTTTTATCACTTTCTAAACTTTAAAACTTGTAAAACTAGCAACAACAAAAACGCTAGAAGATTTTGTAGCTAGAGGCTGCAACACCCCTCCCCCTCTAAAAGAAAAGTGCCAAAAAACCACACCCATTTATCGTAGTCGACCATCGTTGTCGTGAACGTTTCGTCGCAGCCGGCCACCGCGCAGCAGTACTTGACCGTCTCTTCGTTCTGCCCAAAAACTTGGGATAAGGGAGCTATCCCTCAAAGAATCACGGCTAGCTGCCCTCTCTCACTCTCTCACTCACTCTCTCTCTCTCTCTCTCTCTCTCTCTCTGCTCTCGCTCTCTCTCTCTCTCCCTTTCTCGCTCTCTCCTCCCCTCTCCTCCTCTCTCTTCGCACCCACACTTTCTCGCTCTCTTCTTCACTCTCTCTCTCTCTCTCTCTCTCTCTCTCTCTCTCTCTCTCTCTCTCTCTCTCGCTCGCTCTCACTCTCTCGATCTCTGTATTCCTCAAAGAATCCCTGCTAGCTTGCCCTTGCAAAAACATACCTTATAAAATAGTGGAAATGCAATGACGGCGTACCCAACTTCCACGTCAAGACATTGATCAGCCATCTGGGCGAGCGCCGGCAAAAGCGCCTAAATATGCAGATTTTAAAGGGCTTGGAAAGCCAAAATCAACGACATCTATTTCCTCTTAGCTCTCCAATGATATCTGCTAGGCGTATTTTCCATTTTGGAATTCAATATTTTCCAAATAAAAATTTCGGTTCGAAAATATGTTTCATAAATTTTTAAAACTAAAATGCTCGCGTTGGATTTAATTATTTTTTCGGTTTCTGTCCACAACTTTAGCTATCTTAGCGATTCTCCAGGGAATGTATCTAACCTTCAAAATGTTTCCTAGCATATTATAAAATAACCAGGGTTGAAAAGCCGCTTCGCGACTTTTCAACCCTGGCCCCGTCTGGGCCCAATGAGGTTGTAAACTTTGCATAATTCCGCCTCAATCAACTGAGAAAAATAAAAACTCCCGTGCCAGCCCTTTATATAGGCTTTTTCTACTTCCGGCATATGCTAATTCGTTTCTAACAAAGAGGTTGGTCGAAAACTTGACAAAAACCCTAATTTAATGTCGAAAATAGCTTATTTTTATGATTCAAATCGGTGTGCAGTCATCTCAGGGCCATTACGCACCTAATGACGTATCATACACGCCATAAAACCCCGTCCTTATTGAGTTATCCTCCGGACATACTGACGGAAGTGTATGCAAAGTGTCACACACACACATACACTATTTTTTTATATATAGTAGGATATGTTTCATAAATTTTTCCAATAAAAGTTTTTCATTCAACCGTAATAGAGACCAAAAAAATTCCGAAAATTCGTTAAATTTGGTTATGTTTAAGATTTTCTGCATTTTGCTGTTACCGTAATTGGGTCTATCCGCTTACCTTATCAAATTCCTCCCGAGTCACATAATCCGGGGACAGGTCGAGGAGAAATAGCACTTTACAGTAGTGACCCTAAAAGCACATTTTTAAAGGGTTTGGCAAGGTCACTCTCTCTCTCTCTCTCTCTCTCTCTCTCTCTCTCTCTCTCTCTCTTGCTCTCTCCACCTACCGTAGCATTCCTAGTTGCCGGATTCGGAAAAACATTCCAATTCTCCGTGGTACACTCGTCGGCCGCATCCGGCGGCGGCATCGTCGAGTTCGGATCGAGCGCTGCGGAGGAATTAATTGTCATAATTTATATTTTCATTCATTTTTATAATTTCCTTTTTAAAAATATGTATTTTTGATTTATAATGATTTCCTCATAACAACCTGGACCAATAAATTCCCCAAAACTTTATTGTTCTTGAATGTAATTTGAAACATGTAGATTTCAATCTTTTTTTGAACCATTTCTGTAGCACGCATTAATCCAAAAATTTTTAGAAACGCAAATACGAAAACCAAATCTGATTTTGGATGGTTTTTAATCATAAAGACCAAAAAAATGCAAAAATTCGAATTTCCACTTTTTACAGATAATTGAAACATATTTTTTCATTTTGCATTATTTAATTTTTGCGTAACGTATGAATTTTAGGTTTCTCAAGATCACTTCAAAGACCAGATGACTCATCATTCCAACATTTTTTTTGTTGTAAAAAAATTTGAAACATACGATTTTTGACCCCTGCAGAGATTAAAACCGCACTTTTCGACTCTTTTGGAGTTATTTTCGCCCCAAATTATTTTTGACCCACCACAGTACTCGCCGGCGATGTGCGACGACGCGTTGAGGGCCCAGAAGACGACGAACAGCCCGTAGAACATCATCTGCCGGGCAGCTGAGCCATCGCCACGCATTCGGCTACACCCCCGGGCCGTGCTGGAAATCAACTATAATTCACATAAATCAACCTAAATACCAAAATAAATGGAAAAATGGCATACTGGGGGCATTTAAATTCAAGCAGCAATTTTTGCGTCTATGGGGTCCAGAAATTTTAGAAATTTTCAAACGAAAAGGCCCGGATTCCAGCGATTTTTAAAAGTTCACCATTGCAAAAATTGTGAACTACTACTACGGCTATTAAAAAAATAAATTTAAATATACGGATTAAAATTATTATTAAAAATATTATATAATATATTATTAAAGCCACGTCCTTATCTGGAGAAATGCCCAAAAATCCCGCGATCAGAAAATTCCCCGAAAAGCTTGTATTTTTTTGCTAGGCAGTCCGGTGCTACAATCAATTTAATTATTATAATTTAAACGATTATATTCACGCCAAAAACCGACGGCGGCGAAAAAAGAGAAAATCGGCCAGAAGACCTGAAAATGCAGCCGGATAGCCATTTTTTCTCTAGGCAATTCTTCGAAACATCAAATTTTTCAAAATTTTGTTTTTATCCTACTAATTGATTTGAGAATAGTAAAATTATTTAAATTAGTAAATTAACGAGGCAAATTGGCTAAATCCCCAAGAATGCCAAAAAATCGATATGTTGGCCGGGGGCTTATCGGCAGTTTTTCGTGGGCTTGGCCGGGGGGATGAGCCGCCGAATTACAAGCTCCTTTTTGCACCCAGCAAACCATTTATCAGCTGAGTTGCAAAAAATGTTCAAAAAATAGAACCGGGCAGGCTGGCAGAGATTCTTTGAGGAATTTCGAAAGATTGGGTTTTTTGCAGGTCTAAATTTTTTTCCAAGGGTACAAAATTTCTACTAAAAATTCCGGAATCGTTTCTAAACGATTTTTAGTGTTGTTTTAAGCGTCAAAATTTTCTAAAAAATATAAAAACAATAAAGTATAAATTTTTCGACCAAAAGGTTCTATTTTTACGAAAATTAAATTTTCTTGATTATCCGATCTACAGTAACAACAGTACGGTCCCCCTCTCTCTCATCCCAAATGATCTCTGCTAGCCTGCCCCCTCCCCCTCTCTCATCCCAAATGATCTCTGCTAGCCTGCCCCTCCCCTCTCTCTCATCCCAAATGATCTCTGCTAGCCTGCCCCCTCCCCCTCTCTCTCATCCCAAATGATCTCTGCTAGCCTGCCCCCTCCCCCTCTCTCATCCCAAATGATCTCGCTAGCCTGCCCCTCCCCCCTCTCTCATCCCAAATGATCTCTGCTAGCCTGCCCCCCCCCCTCTCTCTCATCCCAAATGATCTCTGCTAGCCTGCCCCCCTCCCCTCTCTCTCATCCCAAATGATCTCTGCTAGCCTGCCCCCCCCCCCCTCTCTCTCATCCCAAATGATCTCTGCTAGCCTGTCCCCTCCCCCTCTCTCTCATCCCAAATGATCTCTGCTAGCCTGCCCCCTCCCCCTCTCTCTCATCCCAAATGATCTCTGCTAGCCTGCCCCCTCCCCCTCTCTCTCATCCCAAATGATCTCTGCTAGCCTGCCCCCTCCCCCTCTCTCTCATCCCAAATGATCTCTGCTAGCCTGCCCCCCCCCCCCTCTCTCATCCCAAATGATCTCTGCTAGCCTGCCCCCTCCCCCTCTCTCATCCCAAATGATCTCTGCTAGCCTGCCCCCTCCCCCTCTCTCTCATCCCAAATGATCTCTGCTAGACTGCCCCCTCCCCCTCTCTCTCATCCCAAATGATCTCTGCTAGCCTGCCCCCTCCCCCTCTCTCTCATCCCAAATGATCTCTGCTAGCCTGCCCCCTCCCCTCTCTCTCATCCCAAATGATCTCTGCTAGCCTGCCCCCTCCCCTCTCTCTCATCCCAAATGATCTCTGCTAGCCTGCCCCCTCCCCCTCTCTCTCATCCCAAATGATCTCTGTCAGCCTGCCCCCCATTAAAGGTACAGTAACACCAAGTGACATCACAGCCACCCAAATTCGGAGGATCAATGCAGCAAAAAGGAGCGTTGTTGTATTGGTTGGGAAGGTGTGAGACGGACGGTGCTCTATTAGGGGTGATAAGGGGCTCTTCGCCGTCTTCTTCATCTTTCTCTACAATGGCTTGTCCCTTCGGTCATTTCATGGCCCTTTATGGCCCATTCCGACACACTACTACCCAATTTGCCACCACCCAGCCACAGTCAGCCCCGTGATAACAGCCGATGTGGGCCCCCAAAAATGGGTTGAGTTGAGAGGGTTTGGAAATGCCGGGGGACTGGCAGAGATTTTTTGGGGAAACGAGGGGATGAGAGAGAGAAAGAAAGAGAGAGAGAGAGAGAGAGAGAGAGAGAGAGAGGCGAGAGAGCGTTAGAGAGACATAAAGAGAGAGCGAGAGAGCGAGAACGTGAGAGACAGTGAGGGAGTGAGTGAGAGCGAGAGTGAGAGACAGAGCGGGAGAGAGAGTGAGAGAAATAGGGAGTGAGAGAGAGCGAGCGAGAGAGAGCGATAGAGACCTAAAGTGCGAACGAGAGAGAGAGCCAGAGAGAGCGAGAGATAGAGAGCGAGAGCGAGAGCGAGAGATAGAGAGAGATAGAGAGACCGAGAGCCAGAGAGAGAGATAGAGAGAGAGTGAGAGATAGAGAGAGATAGAGAGAGCGAGAGCCAGAGAGAGAGATAGAGAGAGAGCGAGAGAGAGAGAGAGAGAGAGAGAGAGAGAGAGAGAGAGAGAGAGAGACTAACTGGGTTCAGAAATTATCAACACTACATAAGCGATCCCTGTTGGCTACTGTGTGAAAAGTGGTCATCCGGTGTGCTATTGTTGGTCAGGTGTCGCGTAATATGCTTATTTTTATTCCGTGGTGGGTTCGCCGGGCTAGACGATGGCCCAGATGGCCATGAGGATGCCTACGAGCTGCACCACTCCGCTCCCAGGACTGGCGGCAGACGACACCTGTAAGAATGTAGTTCTATAATGTCTTGAGTCGTTTTTGATCGCTGGAAATTTCTAAAATATCTTTGAAAATTTTTCCTCTTTCCATTTTCGAGCAGTTTCATACATTTTTGGCCAAAAAGTCCAAAATTTGTGAAAATCATGGGTTTTTATTGTATCTAAAAACTATGGAAAATGCGATAAAGATGGTAGAATTTGTTATAGTGCCGTAACGGCTACGGTTTACTTTACCCTTTACCCTTTCTCACCTGGGGATCGACGGGTGATTCGGGGCTCATCGGGGTGTTGGCCGATTGGGTGCTGTCCGTGGTGTTGGCCGATTGGGTGCTGTCCGTGGTGTTGGCCGATTGGGTGCTGTCCGTGGTGTTGGCCGATTGGGTGCTGTCCGTGGTGTTGGCCGATTGGGTGCTGTCCGTGGTGTTGGTCGATTGGGTGCTGTCCGTGGTGTTGGCCGATTGGGTGCTGTCCGTGGTGTTGGCCGATTGGGTGCTGTCCGTGGTGTTGGCCGATTGGGTGCTGTCCGTGGTGTTGGCCGATTGGGTGCTGTCCGTGGTGTTGGCCGATTGGGTGCTGTCCGTGGTGTTGGCCGATTGGGTGCTGTCCGTGGTGTTGGCCGATTGGGTGCTGTCCGTGGTGTTGGCCGATTGGGTGCTGTCCGTGGTGTTGGCCGATTGGGTGCTGTCCGTGGTGTTGGCCGATTGGGTGCTGTCCGTGGTGTTGGCCGATTGGGTGCTGTCCGTGGTGTTGGCCGATTGGGTGCTGTCCGTGGTGTTGGCCGATTGGGTGCTGTCCGTGGTGTTGGCCGATTGGGTGCTGTCCGTGGTGTTGGCCGATTGGGTGCTGTCCGTGGTGTTGGCCGATTGGGTGCTGTCCGTGGTGTTGGCCGATTGGGTGCTGTCCGTGGTGTTGGCCGATTGGGTGCTGTCCGTGGTGTTGGCCGATTGGGTGCTGTCCGTGGTGTTGGCCGATTGGGTGCTGTCCGTGGTGTTGGCCGATTGGGTGCTGTCCGTGGTGTTGGCCGATTGGGTGCTGTCCGTGGTGTTGGCCGATTGGGTGCTGTCCGTGGTGTTGGCCGATTGGGTGCTGTCCGTGGTGTTGGTCGATTGGGTGCTGTCCGTGGTGTTGGCCGATTGGGTGCTGTCCGTGGTGTTGGCCGATTGGGTGCTGTCCGTGGTGTTGGCCGATTGGGTGCTGTCCGTGGTGTTGGCCGATTGGGTGCTGTCCGTGGTGTTGGCCGATTGGGTGCTGTCCGTGGTGTTGGCCGATTGGGTGCTGTCCGTGGTGTTGGCCGATTGGGTGCTGTCCGTGGTGTTGGCCGATTGGGTGCTGTCCGTGGTGTTGGCCGATTGGGTGCTGTCCGTGGTGTTGGCCGATTGGGTGCTGTCCGTGGTGTTGGCCGATTGGGTGCTGTCCGTGGTGTTGGCCGATTGGGTGCTGTCCGTGGTGTTGGCCGATTGGGTGCTGTCCGTGGTGTTGGCCGATTGGGTGCTGTCCGTGGTGTTGGCCGATTGGGTGCTGTCCGTGGTGTTGGCCGATTGGGTGCTGTCCGTGGTGTTGGCCGATTGGGTGCTGTCCGTGGTGTTGGCCGATTGGGTGCTGTCCGTGGTGTTGGCCGATTGGGTGCTGTCCGTGGTGTTGGCCGATTGGGTGCTGTCCGTGGTGTTGGCCGATTGGGTGCTGTCCGTGGTGTTGGCCGATTGGGTGCTGTCCGTGGTGTTGGCCGATTGGGTGCTGTCCGTGGTGTTGGCCGATTGGGTGCTGTCCGTGGTGTTGGCCGATTGGGTGCTGTCCGTGGTGTTGGCCGATTGGGTGCTGTCCGTGGTGTTGGCCGATTGGGTGCTGTCCGTGGTGTTGGCCGATTGGGTGCTGTCCGTGGTGTTGGCCGATTGGGTGCTGTCCGTGGTGTTGGCCGATTGGGTGCTGTCCGTGGTGTTGGCCGATTGGGTGCTGTCCGTGGTGTTGGCCGATTGGGTGCTGTCCGTGGTGTTGGCCGATTGGGTGCTGTCCGTGGTGTTGGCCGATTGGGTGCTGTCCGTGGTGTTGGCCGATTGGGTGCTGTCCGTGGTGTTGGCCGATTGGGTGCTGTCCGTGGTGTTGGCCGATTGGGTGCTGTCCGTGGTGTTGGCCGATTGGGTGCTGTCCGTGGTGTTGGCCGATTGGGTGCTGTCCGTGGTGTTGGCCGATTGGGTGCTGTCCGTGGTGTTGGCCGATTGGGTGCTGTCCGTGGTGTTGGCCGATTGGGTGCTGTCCGTGGTGTTGGCCGATTGGGTGCTGTCCGTGGTGTTGGCCGATTGGGTGCTGTCCGTGGTGTTGGCCGATTGGGTGCTGTCCGTGGTGTTGGCCGATTGGGTGCTGTCCGTGGTGTTGGCCGATTGGGTGCTGTCCGTGGTGTTGGCCGATTGGGTGCTGTCCGTGGTGTTGGCCGATTGGGTGCTGTCCGTGGTGTTGGCCGATTGGGTGCTGTCCGTGGTGTTGGCCGATTGGGTGCTGTCCGTGGTGTTGGCCGATTGGGTGCTGTCCGTGGTGTTGGCCGATTGGGTGCTGTCCGTGGTGTTGGCCGATTGGGTGCTGTCCGTGGTGTTGGCCGATTGGGTGCTGTCCGTGGTGTTGGCCGATTGGGTGCTGTCCGTGGTGTTGGCCGATTGGGTGCTGTCCGTGGTGTTGGCCGATTGGGTGCTGTCCGTGGTGTTGGCCGATTGGGTGCTGTCCGTGGTGTTGGCCGATTGGGTGCTGTCCGTGGTGTTGGCCGATTGGGTGCTGTCCGTGGTGTTGGCCGATTGGGTGCTGTCCGTGGTGTTGGCCGATTGGGTGCTGTCCGTGGTGTTGGCCGATTGGGTGCTGTCCGTGGTGTTGGCCGATTGGGTGCTGTCCGTGGTGTTGGCCGATTGGGTGCTGTCCGTGGTGTTGGCCGATTGGGTGCTGTCCGTGGTGTTGGCCGATTGGGTGCTGTCCGTGGTGTTGGCCGATTGGGTGCTGTCCGTGGTGTTGGCCGATTGGGTGCTGTCCGTGGTGTTGGCCGATTGGGTGCTGTCCGTGGTGTTGGCCGATTGGGTGCTGTCCGTGGTGTTGGCCGATTGGGTGCTGTCCGTGGTGTTGGCCGATTGGGTGCTGTCCGTGGTGTTGGCCGATTGGGTGCTGTCCGTGGTGTTGGCCGATTGGGTGCTGTCCGTGGTGTTGGCCGATTGGGTGCTGTCCGTGGTGTTGGCCGATTGGGTGCTGTCCGTGGTGTTGGCCGATTGGGTGCTGTCCGTGGTGTTGGCCGATTGGGTGCTGTCCGTGGTGTTGGCCGATTGGGTGCTGTCCGTGGTGTTGGCCGATTGGGTGCTGTCCGTGGTGTTGGCCGATTGGGTGCTGTCCGTGGTGTTGGCCGATTGGGTGCTGTCCGTGGTGTTGGCCGATTGGGTGCTGTCCGTGGTGTTGGCCGATTGGGTGCTGTCCGTGGTGTTGGCCGATTGGGTGCTGTCCGTGGTGTTGGCCGATTGGGTGCTGTCCGTGGTGTTGGCCGATTGGGTGCTGTCCGTGGTGTTGGTCGATTGGGCGCTGTCCGGACGCGAGAGGATTGCGCCACACTGAAGAACATAATCAATTCTATCGCATCAGCAGGGGAGGGGGGGTTTCAGGGCCCAACCTTTGGTATGTCAAGAAGCAAAAAATTGATTTTTCGAAAATTTTCGACCAAAATTATAGCTAAATATTTTTTGTAATGTTTTGTAATTGTTTTTTTTTTCGCTTGAAATATGCTGAAATGTTTTGGCATGCACTTTTAAAATACTATCTGTTTGCTTGCTAGGCATCGAAATCATCGAAAATTCAGGGGCGGACTCGCGGAGGAAGTTTTTTTATAATCAAATTTGTTTTTAAGTATGTTTTTTTCGGGCCTTAAAAAGCTCTTGGTAAATTTTTTGGCCCTCTATCGAATGGCATTTTCAAAATATTGCAAATATTCTAAACGCCGGAAATAGTCCCCCCCCCCGTCATTCTAGTGCTGCCCATGGATTTTGATCTATTTCTGTTTATTCAATAAAAATTTCCTTTACATTATTTCGGGCTCAAACTAATTCTCTTAGTAAATTTTTCGACGCTCTATCAAATGGCACTCGCAAAATCCTATGTTTTGCCGGCTTTGCGAAAAGTAGCGAATGAAAGGACGTACCTTGTGCCCGGCCGGATCATTATCGGCGTAGTGTTGCCACTCGGCCATCACCACCGGGTCAACTAAAATAACCGGTCATTCCGTTGCATTGTTTCACTATCCTACGATATATTGAAAACCAGTGGAAAAAGACCGCGCCTCTATGCGTCTTTTGCTGGAAGGTGAAAGACGCGGACCTGGCCCACTGATCGGAAGTAACAGTTCGGCCGATTGCACCAACGGCGATCTATGGTTCAATTACGCAAGTTTGCGACGGATGGTTTGCAGAGTGTTACGCACACGCACAAACGCACAATTTTCTATTCGTTTTTTTTGCGACGGCAGCGCAATACGCGGTGTTAACGGACGGCTCTAATTGGAAGAACGTACATGCGCTGATCAGCCTGGGCACCTCCCCTTCACGGCCTGATGCGGTCCACTCCATACCTGAACGTCATCGTTGTCATTAATTCGGGTTATCAAGATTGTCATTAATTCGGGCTTATTCGGGTTATCCAAAGTGAGTTTTCGTATCTCGGCTGTCTTTAGACTTACAGACCGGGCAAGGATACTAAAATGTAGCCCTTTGCTCGGTGAAATGTGACGAAACGAATGTTTTACAGTAATCCCAATGAGGACCCGAAAAAAGCGCGCAAATACGTACTGCACGTGCAGCCACCAGCATCTGCGACCCGCACAGCGTGAAAGTAGCAGCCCGGAGACTGTGACGACTGGTGGTAGTGTGGATGCTTCCAGGATGTGCAGGGTACGGTATCCGCACATACTGAAAACGGCGCAAAGAATTACTGCAATTTATCCCATAAAGCATTTTTCCTAAAGTTCATTTTCCTAAAGCCGCATACAGATCGAAAATAGTCAAAAGTCTAGGGAGTTTTCCTAAATTCGATTTTGGTTTTCCCCAATTTTTTGACGCGATTCGATAGAGCATCAAAAAAATATCGCAAACCGGTTTCAATGAAAAGTTTGAGGAAAAATCAACTTTAGCAAAAAATCGGTTTAAACCGGATTTTGAAAAAGCGTTATTATGAAAAGCGCTATGCTAGAAATATCTCATAAAACCCCCCTTCCGCCCGATAATGCGAAAGAACCAAACATCCACCTACCCCAAAACGTCGTTTTCCCGGCTTCGGTTCTTCCGTACCATGTAGCTATGCCCACGGGCGGCTCGCCGTCGACGTCTTGGCAGGCTTCCGGTTGATCCGCCAGGCACATCTTGGCATCGCCTAGACAGTTTGGTTCTAGACTGTTAGCGGGGGGGGGAGAATCAAATTTTGGCCGGTCTTTCTCTACGGCCACTTATATTATTTTTATAGCATTTTGGGTGCCCATGGGATAACGGGGGTTCATTGTTATAAAATTTGCAATTACTGCCGGATTTCGCGAGTGCCATTCGATAAGGCGTAGAAAAATATACTAAGAGAATTAATTTCAGCCTGAAACAATCGAAAGAAAATTTTTTATTGACTAAACAAAAATTGTGGAAAATCACGAAAGAAAAGAAAGAATTAGGAATCTTGGCCGCCACCACCACCTGCAACTTTTCAGCCATCCTTCCCCAAAAAATGGCGGAAATATCGAAAATTTCTTAGAACCAAAACTAGCTTTGCCGTAGTTGTGTTTGATGCTCGAACATTTGATGCTCCCCGCTTTCGTCGACTCAAACACGCTACCGTAGGCCTGTTCTACAGAAGAAGGGCTACAGTTTTATTATTTACAGTAAACCCAGAATTACCAGAGCCACACCCAGAATCTACTATAATAATTTTGCTGTGGTGTCTGTCTGTCTGTCTGTCCGTCATGTCCCAGATTCAACTCGAAGGGGAAAGGAGCTAGAGCGTAGGTCTCTTCGGATTCGGATAGAGCGTGGTCAGAAACCCCAAAACTGATAAAAAAATTATGAAAAAGTTTTAATTTAAATTATTAAAATTAACTTTGAAAGTGGCGCCTTAATAAAACGAGTGGGGGCCCCTCTCCAGGGAGGCCACGCCCCCTTTCCCCACCCCTCTTCACCAGGCCCTTTCCCGCGCCCAAATAGCTTTTGAAGTTACTTTAATACTTTTTAGTACTTTTTAATTATGTTATTTTATTATTTAAATCATTTAAAGTATCGGGATGGAATCTAAGTAGTTTTTGAAGGGGATTTCAGCCATGGGGGTATCTGAAGCCATCAGGAAGGTATTTAGGTAGTTTTTGAAGGGGATTTCCGCTATGTAGGGTATCTGAATGTGGTGGAGTGGGACATGTGGGGTAGCCCGAAGGCCAGATGGTTGCAGTCGCGAAGCGACTGTAACCATCTGGTTTTATGATAATCTTAGAGTATTATGGACTTCTACTCCAATTTTCAAAATTTTTGAAAATACTTTTTCTAACTTTTTAGCAATCACAAACCACTAAAAAACTCTCAAAAAAATGCATAATATAGCATCAACGGGTAGGTAGGAAAACAGACAGTGGTTTGCCCACCCTACCCCCCCTCCGATAACAGTCCAGAACTCGGGGAATCAATGGCCGACCCCCCGTTGCCCCTCCCTTTCAAGGGCGAAAGGCAGGTGGCTCTCCACTCACGGTGGCTGTCTTCCGCGACGGAGCGACTCGCGAGGAAGAGCGTGAGGACGGTGTGGAGAAGCCGAACACCTCGCATCGGAAAGGGGAGCGACAAGCACGGCGTCGTCTGAAAAATGCGCCCCCGTGAAAGCGAAACCATTGCCAAAAAAAAGTTCAAAATGTCGCATTTTCTTGGTAGACTGTTCTAAAATATAAAATTATGTCAGAATTTTGTGGGTTTTAGGCAAAGTGGGGGCTCTAGAGGAAGTGATCGGAATTCTAACCGGACACATCGAATGAGAAGGACTGACAGTCAAGGTCCTTATACATCGAGACAAAATAGCGATCAACTGACTCGGCGACCTTTCGACTCATCAGAACTCTCTCTCTGTGTGTCTCTCTCTCTCTGTCTCTCTCACTCTCGCTCTCTCTCTTTCTCTCTCTACTCCTCTCTCTCTTTCTCTCTTTCTCTCTCACTCCTCTCTTTTTTTCTCTCACTCTCGCCCTCTCTCTCGCTCTCTCTCTCGCCCTCTCTCTCGCCCTCTCTCTCTCTCTCTCTCTCTCTCTCTCGCTCTCTCTCTCACTCTCTCTCTCTCTCCTCTCTCTCTCTCTCTCTCTTTCCGCTGTCTTTGGAATCACATTTTGTATTTGCACGACTAATAGCCACCCCCTAATCATCAATCAACCTAATCAAAAATTAATGTTCCCCAAATTGCGGCCCCCCTATGATGGGGGCACATCATACCAAAACATCAACAAAAATTCTTCAAATTTTGAACGCCTCGCCAATAATAATTGTTCGCTGCAATGACTAACGGATAACAAAGGCCGCGGGAGTTCGTTCTGCGGAAATGAAGCGCTATTTCCACGTCAATATCTCCAAAGCGAGACGATGCCGCTTTGTTTTGCGGGATTTACATGCGAAACTACGTCCGGAATACCCTTCAAATCCTTCTTGCGAAGCGAGGGTGGCGCGAAAAACGTTCTCGAATTTTTCCTTAGAAAGCCCCGAGCTTCCGGACGATCCTATTAGTGAAACCTAATCAAAAATTGTTTTTTCTTTTTTTTTTCTTTTTTTTTTTTTTTTTCTTTAGGGATTTCCGGGGGGGACCGAATTTTTTCGGCCCAAGCCTGAATTTTTTTCTAAATAGCGCATACGTTTCTAAATGGTCTTTAACTATTCCTTAGCATAAAAACTACCCACATTTTAATAAAAAATTTAATTTTGGGTCGAAAAATCCTATAGAACCTTTAGGATTAGCAGGGGGGGGGAAGACCCAAAATGACTAAATTTTCGACTTTTTCAAACATTTTTCTAACTTTTTTTGAAAGGTTTTTCTACTTTAAATATAGTTAAAATTTACTAAAAACAATGTGAAAACACTTTATATTATATTAATCGGTCAACCGGGAAAACCAGGAAAAAATTTGCTAACAGTCCCCCCCCGCTAACAGTCCAGAACCCTCAAAAATTCCTTCTGCTATTCTTCAACCCCCGAAACATCCATTTTCTGTGAATTTCCGGGACGCAAACCCATTTTCGAATTGATTCTCACGCCAAATTGCCGCTCCATAAAATGGGGGCCAATAAAGCCCCGGATAGTACGGTATTTTACGGGTGGGAATGGCCATTAAAGATCGTTTCTATAAAAGCCCCAGAATTCGGGACGACTCCACTTTGGGTCGCGCGGGGCGATGCGGCCGCTTACGGTATGTTATCAGCGTTTTGTCATTGAGATTTAAGTTAGTTTTTCGGCCAGATTTATGCATTCTGAAACGAAATTTACCTGCCAGTTAATATGCAAAAAACAACTAAATTCTGGCTGTAATTTTGCGTCATTTTGGTACTGTAGCTTTAGCGGGGGAGAACCAATTTTACTACGGTATCTTTTCTGATCTTTCCGGTTTTATGCTAAAACGCTAGAAAAAACTTATATATTAGCGAAAAATACCCCTCCCCCGCTAACAGAGAAGTACCCAAATTTCTAGGTATCGCCGCTGATCCTATTGATCGTCTACTGCCAGGATGCGGCCACAGCCGAGACGAAACCGGTCAGTTTCAACGAGCTTTCGATTCCGCAAGAAACTCTGCTAGCGTGCCCCGCCCTCCCTCCCGCTCTCTCTCTCTCTTCTCTCTCTCTCTCTCTCTCTCTCGCTCTCTCTCTTTCTTTTTATCGTGTCTCTCTGTCTGTCTGTCTCTCTCTCTCGCTCTCTCTCTCGCTCTCTCTATCGATCTATCTCTCCCTGTATCTGTCTGTCTGTCTATCTGTCTATCTCTCTCTCACTCTCTCGTTCTCTGTCTCTCGCTCTCTCTCCCTCTCACTCTGTCTCTCTCTCCCTCTCACTCTCACTCTGTCTCTTCCCTCTCCTCTCTCTCCCGCTCTCTCGCCTCTCTCTCTCTCTCTCTCTCTCTCTCTCTCCCTCTCACTACCTCTCTCTCTCTCTCTCTCTCTCTCTCTCTCTCTCTCTCTCTCTCTCTCTGTCTCTCTGCATTTCTCAAAGGATTTCTGCTAGCCTGCCTTTTCCGCACCTTTCTATTGCATAATGGATTATGACCCACTGATATCGCAGAGGAGCGACGCGTGTGCGTAGCGGACCCTGAAAAACATTTCTTTCAGGCCCAGCCGAAGCTTGTGGCCCCAAAAGCAGTGATACCCCGTGCGTGGAGTGAGGTGGGTCAATTTAATTCCCATTCTTGTAATTTTTTCTGAGAATAGAAAATTTCGTAAACAATTTTGCTTATTTTCAGCCAATAACCGCCCCGCTGCCGCCACCCGGGAAGATCCCCATCGCCCACGCCAGTGCACAGGTAAGAATTTAAAGGGGGCAGCAAGGCTGGAGGGAGCGGCTGGATTTAGGGCTCCCTCCGAACCTTGGCCGCCGCGACACGTCACGCGCACGTTCCGCGTGGGCTCATTGCACAACGGATCACGTTGCATGTTCTTCGCGTCGCGTCGCGGCGCGTGCCGAGTAGCTCTCCGCGTTGCGTGTCGCGCCGCCTCACGCGCCGCACACGAGCCGCATGCTGCAATGCGCACCGCGTTTGCCGAGGGATGTCTTTGCCCGCGTTGCGTCGGGCCTCGCGTGAAGCGTCCCATACTGCGTCACGTGCCGCACCCAAATTCCCGTCCGCGTTGCGTTGCGTGTTGCGTTGCGTGTGCCTTTTCATGTTGCCTTGCGTGCCGTGCCGCGTCGCCTTTAGCGTAGCGTCCTGCGTTTCGTGTCGCATCAGACACGTCACGTGGCGCCTAACATACCGCGTTCCGTATCGCGTTACCTGCCTGTCTTATGTAGCGACACGCGTCTATCGCATATCGCGTGTCGCGTTGCGTCGCGTGTCGCGTGGAGTTGCCACGCTACTTCAACGATTTTTTTGAAGCTGCACTAATACTTTTTTAGCCAATTTCCGCACCCAGTCTGGCGTCAGGAGCCAAAATCGCGATCGCCCACGCCCGCGTGCAGGTATGGTTTAGATATTTAAATCTTAACGAGTTTAAAAAAAAATTTAGGTAAATTTTAGGGTCCCTAACAATTACATCCAATAAAAATTTTTTATAAAAATAATTAAATTGTTTCTGAACATCCGACACTTTTCAGACGATAACCGCCCCTAGACCCGCGCCGCTGATCATCGCCCGGAACTTGGTGGTCGCCAAAAATGTGGGTCTCGCGGTTAAATTTATTTTCCTCAAAGAATCCCTGCTGGCCTGTCTTGCTGGTGCCTTAAAAAAAATTTTAGGCGCAGAACGCATCCGCGACGCTCCAGAATACGGTCATCGCCACGCTGCCTGGTTGGTGCTCTCTCTCTCTCTCGCTCTCTTTCGCTCTCCCTCCCTCTCTCTCGCTCTCGCCCTCTCTCTATCGCTCTCTCTCACTCTCTCTAGCTTACTCTCTCTCTCTCTCTCTCTCTCTCTCTCTCTCTCTCTCTCTCTCTCTCTCTCTTTTTCTGCATCCCTCTTTTCAGCCAACTCCACTTCTTCCGACGACCAAAAGTGGGCGGAGCTTCGTGCTTGTGCTAAGCAGCACGGCCTCCTCGATTTTCTGCATAACCACACCCGCCCGGACGGGAATCAGGATGGAAATGGATCGTCAGAAGGTTTGTCCTGGAATCCGGAATTTTTGAACGTTTCTTGTTTCGTGTTTTTACAACGTTTTTATGTTTTTCGAGTTTACAGGAGGAATAAAGTGTTTAAAAACAGAGCGAAAACACGGAAAACTGCAAAGAACATGGCTTGGCTTAGGCTTGGCTTAGGCTTGGCTTAGGCTTGGCTTTGGCTTGGCTTTGGCTTAGGCTTGGCTTCAGTCGTCGGAACCAAAAATGACGATGTTATTATGACCAAAAATAATTCCCAAAAACTGCAAATTTTTGAAACACTTTACCGCGGTTTTGAAGCGCAAAACTTTTACAATTTTTTTGCAATTATGTCTAATTTAACGCATGCAAGAATCGGTATTTTGTTATCTATTTTTGTTGATTATGTGGGCAGGGGGGGGGTGACCTTGGCCCCTCGATCTCCCCCCTCCTTATCAACACGCCATCTAGGGAAGCCCCCTGGTTTGTGCTAATTCCAAGAAATGACCGTTAACGATTTTCTCGCCGGATCGGTGGCCGGTGGGTTTCTAATTAATTTAATAGCTTTTAGAAAGCGAGAGAGAGAGAGAGAGAGAGAGAGAGAGAGAGAGAGAGAGGAGAGAGAGACAGGAGAGAGAGAGAGAGAGAGAGAGAGAGAGAGAGGAGAGAGAAGAGAGAGAGAGAGAGAGAGAGAGAGAGAGAGAGAGAGAGAGAGAGAGAGAGAGAGAGGGCAACCTAGCAGCGATTCCTTGCGGATCCGCTCAATGATGATTTCAGGCGCTGCCGGGATCTTCTTCGGGTACCCGTTGGATACGGTAAAAACACGACTGCAGACCAGCTCCAGCTATTCGGGCATAATTCAATGTGTCGGGAAAGTGTTGAAAACGGAGGGGGTTTGTCTCTTAACATCAATAATTAAAACGTTACCAAAAAAGCCCACCAAAAATTTGTTTTTTTAGAAAGATATGTTTCAAATTATTTCCAACTTGATTATTTTTGTACTGCAGTCGTTTTATCACGCTCCATTAGCAACTAAAACATCTTAAATTACAAATGATTTGGAAAGATATTTAGATTTTAAATTTCATTAATTAAAGAGTTTTAAATTACAACTGATTTGGAAAAAAATAATTCATTATTCTGAAAAAATATGTTTCAAATTATTTCCAACACAATCATTTTTTTACTGCAGCAATTCTATGAATCGTGCATTCGCAACTAAAATATTTTAAATTTCGATTGTTTTGGAAATTAATACGTTTTTTAGATTTTTATCATATTTTCATAACTATTTATAATTTATTTTTTGATCTTAAGTTCAAATCAACGATTTTTTTACTGCCGTAATGGGTTCACCATAATGGTTTGGAACTAAAATAATTTTTGAATTTTTATTAGCGTATTTTCATAAATTTATATTTTATTTCCTATCTTAAAAATTAAGCATTAAACAACCAAATAAAACAAGAATTTTGTATTTTTATTTTAGGATGCATTTTATTTTTTATTGATTTATTATTTAGGTGCTAGGAATGTACAAGGGGGTGACGGCGCCGTGTCTTTTTGCCGGCATCCAGCACTCGCTTCTCTTTGCCGGGTATGCTAATTTAAGCGACTAGAATTATATTTAAAAATGAATAAAATTAAATAAAAACAAAAAGCGATATTTTAAAGGAACTGTGTCGTTACCAGAAGGAAGGATTTTTTGCTGGGTAGGGCAGCTAATTCTTTCTTTTACTTCGAGATCCGCCTAATAATAAACCTACCGTATTTTTCCCGTGTTTTTATTCTTTTTGGTCCTATCAAAAAACAAAACAAAGTTGAAAATTTGAAAAGTTGAAGTTTTTGTTCATTTTGCAAGCATTTTTTATCGAAAATTGAATGTGTTTTTTTATGTTTAAATTCGTGGTAAAATGGTTGAGATTTCGATCCGGAATCATATTACTGGGAAACCCCCCCCCCCCCGCTAACGAAAAAGAACCAAATTCAAAATAGGTACGCCACCACCCTCCATCTGATGCATCCGGGAGAGGCGCACGTCGAAGCGCGCAAGGATTTGCCCCTGGCCGAGGTATGGTAATTTGCATGTTTTTAGGTAATTATTAATCTTATTATACAAACTTAATCAATAATTCCAATCCAAAAACTTTAAGGTCCCATTTCTTTAAAAAAATTTTTGTTATGGAAAATGATGTTTCAAAACTGGACCGAGAAAATATTCAAACCTACCGGATCATATGTCACTTCCGTTCTAGCCTTTTTAGTTTTCCCTTTACCTACAATCTATTAAGAATTAATTGTATTAATATAATTCCAAATCGTAGAACTAAAAATTTACAAAGATTTTCGGCTATTTTAAAGTTTGCACGTTTATAAAGAGGGAGACCTTTTTTCCGGAACCGGAACGGCCTGAAACGATTACGCATTGGAAGGGTTGGCGGTCGACGCGTGGCGTGTCGCGGCGCGGAACCGTATCCATAGGCCACAAAACCGAAATTTTGCCTTGCCGGTCCCTTTAAAACCGCTAGCCAACGGTGGTTTTTATGATTTTCTGCTAAATAAAATCCTGATGTCTTAAACGTTGATTTAGTTTGTTTTTTAGAGACGGCAGCAAAGGCGCGGATGCGTTGCGTGTCGCGACGTGGAAAAATCTATCAAAAAATCGCCCTTTCCAGATAATGTTCGCCTCGTTCATCGGCTCCATCCCGCAACTAATTCCGTCGATACCGGTGGAGGCTGTGAAGACTAGGCTTCAGGTATTGCCTCGGCTTGGCTTAGGCTTGGCTTAGGCTTGGCTTACAACATTAAGTTGGCATTAAGCCAATCGAGCTTGACATTAAGTGAAACACGAATTTTTCAGTTTCAAACGGAGGGCTACGCGTCCGCCTCGGCCCGCTTTCACGGCCCGTGGGATTGCGCACGAAAAATGTGGAAAGCCGAGGGCATTCGCGCCGTTTATCGGGTAATTTTTTATAATTTTTAATTAGCTGATAAGGGGCTCTACAAAATTCAAAAATTTTTTGACCGCTGAGGCTTGAAAATGTTGAAACGTTTTTTTGGCTTGTTTATTTTATTGGCGAAGTTTTTAATGGCCTCCAATTAACCTTAATTGTAATAAAAATTATATCATTACCATTATTATTTTTATCAGCATTATTAAGATGAATTTTGTAGGGCGGAAACGTGATGGCCGTTCGAGACTGTTTCGGCAACCTGTTCTATCTACCCGTCTACGAGACGCTTCATCGATTTTTGAAGAATCGGGGCTCGAACACGACGGCCGCGCAGGTATTTCGACACCATAGAGTTTCCAGTCGAATTAACACGCCGAAAATTGAGTAGAAAGTAAAGAACTGAATTTAATTTAATTTAATCAATCGAAAAAAATTACTTTTTAAATCAACGACCCAAAAAAACCGAAAAAAACCGGAGTAAAATTTTTTGAGCCTTTTTTGAATCATACTTTTTTCAAATTTTTTGAGTTCGAGCTTCTTAAAAAATTTTTCAAGCACGTTTTAACAATTAAAAGCACGTTTTAGTTGATAGCCGGAGGTTGTGCGGGTTCGGTTAGTTGGCTGAGCATCTGCCCCCCTGGAAGTGATCAAGAGTCGGATACAAATTGCCGACACGCCGAGGTCTGTCGTTATCTCTCTCTCTCTCTCTCTCTTCCTCTCTCTCTCTCTCGCTCTCTCTCTCGCTCTCTCTCCCACTCTCTCTCTCTCGCTCTCTCTCTCTCTCTCTCTTTCTTTCTATCTCTCTCTCTCTCTCTCACTCTCTCTCTCTCGCTCTCTCTCCGCCTTCCTCAAAGAAGCTCTGCTGGCCTACCCTTTACCAAATTTCAGATCAACCCTAGCCGTCGGTCGCGAAATCCTGGCTGCCGAGGGCTGGCGGGCTTTTTATAAAGGTTTTTTTAATATAGTTAAATCAGAGCTTTAAAAAATTATGATTAAACACATTTAAAATCATTTAAAATCATTTAAACACATTTAAAATCACGAACAACAAAAAAACACCTTATTTTCAGGCGGTCTGTCGATGGTACTCCGCGGATTCCCGGTGAACGCCATCATTTTCCTCGTCTACGAGCAGTGTCTGCTTTTCATGGAAAAAGGTAATAGTCAAAATCTAAAATTAAATGAGCTAATTATAGCGGAAGGAAAGTGCAGTTATTTCAGAAATTACTGTGGTCTAATTGTTGGATTTTTCAGAAAAAACGGCCAACTGAGCGACCGGAGAAGGCAACCGCTTACGCAATGAAAATACGAAAATCGTCTGAAACGGGTCTTAGGATTTTGCAGAGTGAATAAAGAATATTCATATCCACCGTTCCGCAAAAACTAAAGCGAGAGAGAGTGAGAGAGCGAGAGACTGAGAGAGAGAGAGAATGCTAGGGTGCGAGAGAGAGGGAGAGTGAGAGAGAGAGTGAGCGACAGAGTGAGAGAGAGAATGAGAGAGCGAGAGAGCTAGAGACTGAGTGAGAGTGAAAGAGCGCGAGAAGGAGAGAAAGAGAGTGAGATTATTATTCCACATTCCTATTCCCATTATATTCCACCCGATTCCACCTAAAGCTTTTAACCAAAAGTGGCGAATTCTAGAAACATTTTTTCGATAGTTCACTACTCGCGCATTAATTTTTGGTCATTTCACTGGGTTTTTCCGGGAACACCGCCCAATTATCTGCCGGGCAATAAAGGAAATTATCCGCTGCGTACGTGCGGAAAGTTGTGGAATCCTCGTCCTAGACGTCCAATTTTCCGTCACTTTTCTGCAAAGCTGTGTCGACAAAATCTGACTTACAACTTGCTCCATTCAGGTATTTTCCCGATTTTTAAAAATCTACAAAGTAAATCCCCAAATAGCTATGGTTCTATTTTTATTTACAAAAAAGCGTTGAAATTATCAATCGACCATCACATTACTATCAACCATTAAAAAAATTTAAACCCTGGCATGTTTCATGAAATTCCGTAGTTTTTTATGAATTCGGAGGTGTAATGTTTCGAAGCAAGGCCACGGTTTCTAAATTAAAACCAATCCTGAACAAATTCTAATTCCAGCCTTCGCTCGCAACATTCCGACCTTTGCTTGACAAATCCTCGGGGTGATAGATTAATTTTTTGGGGACAAATTTTAGTAGACATTCTGAAGAAGACGAGGGCGGATTAGATTGGTCTTTTCTAGCTTTCCCAAATGATCTCTGCTAGCCTGCCGAGCTGACATGATTGTATTGCCCTAATTATTGATTCAAATTAGACCATCGGCAATGAAACATCGTTATTGGGCTGGTGCCGCTGGCCATTGGCAATTTCTTATTATCAAAAATCGCGATTTAAAAGCCTCTTTCCCCAAATGGTCTCGGCAAAATCACACATCTTGAAAAAATAATTTTCTAGGACAATATAGGAAAATACCATTTGAAAAATGCCGAAAGTCGAGAAAGTTCGTGGAGAATAAATTCTTATAATTCGGGAAATTCCTACGAATCGAATAAAAATTAGTTTAAGAGCATTCAACTAGGTTATTAATAAATTAATGAAGTGTAATTAGATTTCGAGTGGAAAACCCAGCAGGAAAAAACCCAAGCAAAACATTTTTGTCGAAATTTTGGTCGAAAATCGGTCATTTTTGTCGAAACATCGAGATTTAAGGAAAGGATTTAAGGAGGTTAAGGAAACTTAAAACGTCATTAGATTCAGGAACGGTAAAAAACAGTTTAGAAACACTTGCTGTACTCATATCAGAGATTCGGATTCTTTGAAAAATCCCCCCCCCCCCCGATAATGCCAAAGGACCTTCGAGGGTTTATGACGGCAGGCTAGCAGAGATCATTTGGGATGAGAGAGAGGGGGAGGGGGCAGGCTAGCAGAGATCATTTGGGATGAGAGAGAGGGGGGGGGGCAGGCTAGCAGAGATCATTTGGGATGAGAGAGAGGGGGAGGGGGCAGGCTAGCAGAGATCATTTGGGATGAGAGAGAGGGGGAGGGGGCAGGCTAGCAGAGATCATTTGGGATGAGAGAGGGGGGGGGGGGCAGGCTAGCAGAGATCATTTGGGATGAGAGAGAGGGGGAGGGGCAGGCTAGCAGAGATCATTTGGGATGAGAGAGAGGGGGAGGGGGCAGGCTAGCAGAGATCATTTGGGATGAGAGAGAGGGGGAGGGGGCAGGCTAGCAGAGATCATTTGGGAAGAGAGAGAGGGGAGGGGGCAGGCTAGCAGAGATCATTTGGGATGAGAGAGAGGGGGAGGGGGCAGGCTAGCAGAGATCATTTGGGAAGAGAGAGGGGAGGGGGCAGGCTAGCAGAGATCATTTGGGATGAGAGAGAGGGGGAGGGGCAGGCTAGCAGAGATCATTTGGGAAGAGAGAGAGGGGGAGGGGGCAGGCTAGCAGAGATCATTTGGGATGAGAGAGGGGGGGGGGGGCAGGCTAGCAGAGATCATTTGGGATGAGAGAGAGGGGGAGGGGCAGGCTAGCAGAGATCATTTGGGATGAGAGAGAGGGGGAGGGGGCAGGCTAGCAGAGATCATTTGGGATGAGAGAGAGGGGGAGGGGGCAGGCTAGCAGAGATCATTTGGGATGAGAGAGAGGGGGAGGGGGCAGGCTAGCAGAGATCATTTGGGAAGAGAGAGAGGGGGGGGGGGCAGGCTAGCAGAGATCATTTGGGATGAGAGAGAGGGGGAGGGGGCAGGCTAGCAGAGATCATTTGGGATGAGAGAGAGGGGGAGGGGGCAGGCTAGCAGAGATCATTTGGGAAGAGAGAGAGGGGAGGGGGCAGGCTAGCAGAGATCATTTGGGATGAGAGAGAGGGGGAGGGGCAGGCTAGCAGAGATCATTTGGGAAGAGAGAGGGGGAGGGGGCAGGCTAGCAGAGATCATTTGGGAAGAGAGAGAGGGGGGAGGGGCAGGCTAGCAGAGATCATTTGGGATGAGAGAGAGGGGGAGGGGGCAGGCTAGCAGAGATCATTTGGGATGAGAGAGAGGGGGAGGGGGCAGGCTAGCAGAGATCATTTGGGAAGAGAGAGAGGGGGAGGGGCAGGCTAGCAGAGATCATTTGGGATGAGAGAGAGGGGGGAGGGGGCAGGCTAGCAGAGATCATTTGGGATGAGAGAGAGGGGGAGGGGGCAGGCTAGCAGAGATCATTTGGGAAGAGAGAGGGGGGGGGGGCAGGCTAGCAGAGATCATTTGGGATGAGAGAGAGGGGGGAGGGGGCAGGCTAGCAGAGATCATTTGGGGAAGAGAGAGAGGGGAGGGGGCAGGCTAGCAGAGATCATTTGGGATGAGAGAGAGGGGGAGGGGGCAGGCTAGCAGAGATCATTTGGGAAGAGAGAGGGGGGGGGGGCAGGCTAGCAGAGATCATTTGGGATGAGAGAGAGGGGGGGAGGGGGCAGGCTAGCAGAGATCATTTGGGAAGAGAGAGGGGGAGGGGGCAGGCTAGCAGAGATCATTTGGGAAGAGAGAGGGGGGAGGGGGCAGGCTAGCAGAGATCATTTGGGATGAGAGAGAGGGGGAGGGGGCAGGCTAGCAGAGATCATTTGGGATGAGAGAGAGGGGGAGGGGGCAGGCTAGCAGAGATCATTTGGGAAGAGAGAGAGGGGAGGGGGCAGGCTAGCAGAGATCATTTGGGATGAGAGAGAGGGGGAGGGGGCAGGCTAGCAGAGATCATTTGGGAAGAGAGAGGGGGAGGGGGCAGGCTAGCAGAGATCATTTGGGATGAGAGAGAGGGGGGGGGGGCAGGCTAGCAGAGATCATTTGGGAAGAGAGAGGGGGGGGGGGCAGGCTAGCAGAGATCATTTGGGATGAGAGAGAGGGGGGAGGGGGCAGGCTAGCAGAGATCATTTGGGAAGAGAGAGAGGGGAGGGGCAGGCTAGCAGAGATCATTTGGGAAGAGAGAGGGGGGGGGGGCAGGCTAGCAGAGATCATTTGGGATGAGAGAGAGGGGGAGGGGGCAGGCTAGCAGAGATCATTTGGGATGAGAGAGAGGGGGGAGGGGCAGGCTAGCAGAGATCATTTGGGAAGAGAGAGAGGGGGGGGGGGCAGGCTAGCAGAGATCATTTGGGATGAGAGAGAGGGGGAGGGGGCAGGCTAGCAGAGATCATTTGGGATGAGAGAGAGGGGGAGGGGGCAGGCTAGCAGAGATCATTTGGGATGAGAGAGAGGGGGGAGGGGGCAGGCTAGCAGAGATCATTTGGGATGAGAGAGAGGGGGGAGGGGGCAGGCTAGCAGAGATCATTTGGGATGAGAGAGAGGGGGGAGGGGGCAGGCTAGCAGAGATCATTTGGGAAGAGAGAGAGGGGAGGGGCAGGCTAGCAGAGATCATTTGGGATGAGAGAGAGGGGGGGGGGCAGGCTAGCAGAGATCATTTGGGAAGAGAGAGGGGGAGGGGCAGGCTAGCAGAGATCATTTGGGATGAGAGAGAGGGGGGAGGGGGCAGGCTAGCAGAGATCATTTGGGATGAGAGAGAGGGGGGAGGGGCAGGCTAGCAGAGATCATTTGGGAAGAGAGAGAGGGGGGGGGCAGGCTAGCAGAGATCATTTGGGATGAGAGAGAGGGGGAGGGGGCAGGCTAGCAGAGATCATTTGGGATGAGAGAGAGGGGGAGGGGGCAGGCTAGCAGAGATCATTTGGGAAGAGAGAGGGGGAGGGGGCAGGCTAGCAGAGATCATTTGGGATGAGAGAGGGGGGAGGGGGCAGGCTAGCAGAGATCATTTGGGAAGAGAGAGAGGGGAGGGGGCAGGCTAGCAGAGATCATTTGGGATGAGAGAGAGGGGGGAGGGGGCAGGCTAGCAGAGATCATTTGGGATGAGAGAGAGGGGAGGGGGCAGGCTAGCAGAGATCATTTGGGATGAGAGAGAGAGGGGGGGGGCAGGCTAGCAGAGATCATTTGGGAAGAGAGAGAGGGGAGGGGGCAGGCTAGCAGAGATCATTTGGGATGAGAGAGAGGGGGGGGGCAGGCTAGCAGAGATCATTTGGGATGAGAGAGAGGGGGGGGGGCAGGCTAGCAGAGATCATTTGGGATGAGAGAGGGGGGGGGGGGCAGGCTAGCAGAGATCATTTGGGATGAGAGAGAGGGGGGGGGGCAGGCTAGCAGAGATCATTTGGGATGAGAGAGAGGGGGAGGGGCAGGCTAGCAGAGATCATTTGGGATGAGAGAGAGGGGGAGGGGGCAGGCTAGCAGAGATCATTTGGGATGAGAGAGAGGGGGGGGGGCAGGCTAGCAGAGATCATTTGGGATGAGAGAGAGGGGGAGGGGGCAGGCTAGCAGAGATCATTTGGGATGAGAGAGAGGGGGAGGGGGGCAGGCTAGCAGAGATCATTTGGGATGAGAGAGAGGGGGAGGGGGCAGGCTAGCAGAGATCATTTGGGATGAGAGAGAGGGGAGGGGGCAGGCTAGCAGAGATCATTTGGGATGAGAGAGAGGGGGGAGGGGGCAGGCTAGCAGAGATCATTTGGGATGAGAGAGAGGGGGAGGGGGCAGGCTAGCAGAGATCATTTGGGATGAGAGAGAGGGGGAGGGGGCAGGCTAGCAGAGATCATTTGGGATGAGAGAGAGGGGGAGGGGGCAGGCTAGCAGAGATCATTTGGGATGAGAGAGAGGGGGGGGGGCAGGCTAGCAGAGATCATTTGGGATGAGGGAGAGGGGGAGGGGGCAGGCTAGCAGAGATCGTTTGGGATGAGAGAGAGGGGGAGGGGGCAGGCTAGCAGAGATCATTTGGGATGAGAGAGAGGGGGAGGGGCAGGCTAGCAGAGATCATTTGGGATGAGAGACAGGGGGAGGGGGCAGGCTAGCAGATATCATTTGGGATGAGAGAGAAGGGCAGGGGCAGGCTAGCAGAGATCATTTGGGATGAGATGAAGGGCAGGGGCAGGCTAGCAGAGATCATTTGGGATGAGAGAGAGGGGGAGGGGGCAGGCTAGCAGAGATCATTTGGGATGAGGGAGAGGGGGAGGGGGCAGGCTAGCAGAGATCGTTTGGGATGAGGGAGAGGGGGAGGGGGCAGGCTAGCAGAGATCATTTGGGATGAGAGAGAGGGGGGAGGGGGCAGGCTAGCAGATATCATTTGGGATGAGAGAGAAGGGCAGGGGCAGGCTAGCAGAGATCATTTGGGATGAGGGAGAGGGGGAGGGGGCAGGCTAGCAGAGATCATTTGGGATGAGAGAGAGGGGGGGGGGGCAGGCTAGCAGAGATCATTTGGGATGAGAGAGAGGGGGGAGGGGGCAGGCTAGCAGAGATCATTTGGGATGAGAGAGAGGGGGAGGGGGCAGGCTAGCAGAGATCATTTGGGATGAGAGAGAGGGGGAGGGGGCAGGCTAGCAGAGATCATTTGGGATGAGAGAGAGGGGGGGAGGGGCAGGCTAGCAGAGATCATTTGGGATGAGAGAGAGGGGGAGGGGGCAGGCTAGCAGAGATCATTTGGGATGAGAGAGAGGGGGAGGGGGCAGGCTAGCAGAGATCATTTGGGATGAGGGAGAGGGGGAGGGGGCAGGCTAGCAGAGATCATTTGGGATGAGAGAGAGGGGGGAGGGGGCAGGCTAGCAGATATCATTTGGGATGAGAGAGAGGGGGGGGGGGCAGGCTAGCAGAGATCATTTGGGATGAGAGAGGGGGGAGGGGGCAGGCTAGCAGAGATCATTTGGGATGAGAGAGAGGGGGGGGGGGCAGGCTAGCAGAGATCATTTGGGATGAGAGAGAGGGGGAGGGGGCAGGCTAGCAGAGATCATTTGGGATGAGAGAGAGGGGGAGGGGGCAGGCTAGCAGAGATCATTTGGGATGAGAGAGAGGGGGGGGGGGCAGGCTAGCAGAGATCATTTGGGATGAGAGAGAGGGGGGAGGGGCAGGCTAGCAGAGATCATTTGGGATGAGAGAGAGGGGGAGGGGGCAGGCTAGCAGAGATCATTTGGGATGAGAGAGAAGGGGAGGGGCAGGCTAGCAGAGATCATTTGGGATGAGAGAGAGGGGGAAGGGGCGGGCTAGCAGAGAGCATTTGGGAAGATCAGGAATCATGGGCAAACAAAACTTCCAAGTCCCAAGTTTGTTGATAAAATATGTTTCGTACAATCTCAAAAATAAGAGAAAAATTAAAACGAATAATGGAAGCAGGGCAGCATTCCGATTTTATTATACGACAAATAAATTAATTATTGAACCAAATTCTGCAATTTTTTTCTAAACTAGCCAATTCTCTTTCAGAAATTCATCTTTTCGGGCGGAAGGTATGGGCCTGGAAATGTGTTCTTCTCTTCTGTCTTCATGTTTTGCTGGTATCACACGTCACTCAACCAAACGATTACGACAGTTAATCGGTGGGATTTTAAAGGGGCCGTAAAGTCCCTATTCTATTGATTAGCTTAGCCGAGTTTAGTTGCTAGTTTAATTTCCTGTGATTCTTAGAAAAAGGTTTTTAAACGAACCAGCGTCTCATGAAAAACGTATGTTTCCAATTTTTGGCGGTCAACGCCGATTGTCACAAAAATAATTCCTGACAGGTCCGTAGGCTTAATTCAAATTAATCCCAGAAGCCGATTTTTTTCAAATGAAATATTGGCAGTGTTCCTGAACTTGTTTTACTAATTCTAGACGCAGAAACCTTTTCAAATTTTGACTAAAAAAATGCAAAAACATCGTTTTTCGGCGAAAAAGCAGCGTTTTTGGGCCAATTTTCAAAAGTTTCTTCGTTTTAGATAGTTTTTCTTCTTTAAACACAGCTAAATTTTAGCATAAAGATGATTAAAACAGTTACTAATATATTGCTATGCATTTCTGGGCGCATCGAAAACAAGTTTTTTGTGCTAAAAAACCTTGAAAATTCGATGTTTCCACCTAGCAGCGGTACGGCTCGATTTTGATAACGATAATACTTCCGTGACTTTTGGCATCGCAGTCTTCAAAATTTAAATCTACAAAATTTTTGGGCAATTTAAAGTGACGGGAAAGGCGTAAATAAATATTTAGAAGCGACCCTATCGATTTTGCCAAAACCGCGACACGCATCGCGCACGCCCCGCTTACGCCTGAAACCACGAGTAGTCGCTTACGCAATGAAAAGGCATGCGTTGCGGGTCGCGGCGCGCCAAATTATTGCCTAAAAATTCGAATTGGCCAATTCGGGCCACTCAAAAATAATTAGCGGCTTTGGTCATGATGAAACTACTAACATTAATGACCTGACGAAAAGTGCGGTTTTATGAAACATTTTTTATCTACCAAAAATTTCTGCTCACTTGTGTCTCCCAAAAAACCTCCAATTTTCTATAAGCCAAAAATGCCTAGTAACGTAACAGTGAGTCTTTTCGTTGTGTTTTGGGAAATTTAGCTATATTTCAAGTGGAAAATCGTCTAGAAACTCGGTAATTCCGCCAAAAATCGAGAATTTTTGGCCAAAAAATTGCAATTTCGGTTTTTTTGAAAGCAACATTTGTAAGGGTTTTAGGTTTAGCAATAATAAAAACAGTCTAGAAACACTGCTCGATTTATATTGGAAAAATGGGAAGCTAAGGAAAAAAAATGTGGTTTCCGTCGTTCGATTTGCCAGTCCCTTTTAATTTAGGTTTCTACCAAAGATGCGATATCGCAGAACAAAATGTTTCAAAAATGTGGCTAGCTAACCAATCAAAAAAATGAATATTGGGGCGAGATTTCGTATCATAGTACAATTTTGCCACTTTTTCAGGGTGATGGTCATCTGCTTCTCGTGCCGCTCTTTTAATACGCTGCGCATGGTCGTCGTCTGTTCGGCGGTGTATCCCGTAGCTTTTGGGTTGACAATGCTGGCACAGAAGATATTTCCCTGTTGCAAGTGGGTTTTTTAAAGAATCTCTGCTAGCCTGCCCCCTCCCCCTCTCTCTCATCCCAAATGATCTCTGCTAGCCTGCCCCCTCCCCCCTCTCTCTCATCCCAAATGATCTCTGCTAGCCTGCCCCCTCCCCCTCTCTCTCATCCCAAATGATCTCTGCTAGCCTGCCCCCTCCCCCTCTCTCTCATCCCAAATGATCTCTGCTAGCCTGCCCCCTCCCCCTCTCTCTCATCCCAAATGATCTCTGCTAGCCTGCTACCTCTCCAGAATTTATCAGACGCGAGCTTGCAGGTATTGTGAGGCTGTCTAGATTTTGATGTATGTATTTTGCAGAAACATTTCTTTTTAACCGTCTGGTTGCTAGCAGCGATTCCTTGGGAATTGCTTAAGATCTATTTTTAATTTTAATTCTTATCTATATATATATTTTTTTGAGATTCTCCTTCGACCCTACCGTATATTCATATTCTTATTCTACCATTGACGACCTCCCAAATTGGTCAAACCGAATGGATATCCCACTGAACAACTCGTCCTCCCTCGTCTGCGTCATTTCGTATAGCTGGGTACGGTAGTTTAAAAACCAATAAAATTGAAAAAATGCTGTTTTTAATTAGATTAAAATTAATATTAAACAATTTTATAACCTAACCTAATTAAATTCGTATTTATTGCAAACGTCAACAAGATCGAAAGGGATTAAGGTTTCGTGGGAAATTTTGATATTAGACTTTAATGAAACAATTTTTTTTATCCTGCTTTTTATCGATTATATGAATTTCAATTGCCGAATTTCGACGATTACATTGAATCGTTAATTTTGAAATCTCGTCTATGAAATTTACATTGAGAATCTGGCCCAGTAAATTCCTAAGCAAAAATGTCGTTCTTGAATTTTGATGAAACAATTTTTTTAATAGTGATTTTTTTTTATGGATCGCCTGAATTTAAATTGTTACGTTTTAAATGATTGACCGTTTTTAAACTCGATTTAATTGAATTCCATTGCGAGAATAGGCAAATAATATTACTTTTCTTAATTTTTTTAGGGTTACGATGAAAAAATATTTTTTCGATTAGTTAAAAAATAGTTTTAGGATGATAAAAACTGTAAAAATGGAATTTTTCGGCTTTTTAAATTCGGATTATAATGCGACAAAAACGAGATACAAGCTGAGGACGGAACGGAACTCGAAAATTTCTCTCTTTGGGATTTGATGCAACACATTTTTATCACGATTTTTTTATCGATCATGTGGATTTTAATTGTCGAATTTTAAAGTATTACATTCAATCGTTAATTTTGAAAATTGTTTATGAAATTCGCATTGAGAACCTGGCCCACTGAATTCCTAAGAAAAATGTCATGTATGGATTTTGATGAAACAAATTATTTTCAACGTGGTTTTTAATCGATTTTAATTGTCGAATTTTGTGAATTTTAATTGTCGAATTTCAAACTGTTGACCGTTTGTAACCTCGATTTATTTTGATTATTTCCGAAAAAGGCAAATATGAATATTTTAAAACAAAGTTTTGATGATTGGGTTTGGGTGAAACAAGGTTTTTCGATTAGTTAAAAATAATTGAAACCAATTTAACACCGGGTGTACCGGGCGCTATTTAATAATTGCCAATAAATTCAAATTGATTCCGAGCAGAACAAAATAGAAGCGGAGAATGCAATAAAGTTCAGCAAAAATTTCTATATTTTTACTTTGATGAAACAATTTTTTAGAAAATCTTTAGAAAAGAGAAAAGATAAAAGATATCAGGGAATTGTTTAAAACAATTTTATGATGCCGTTTGAATGCAATAAATTTTCTCGATGAGTTAAAAATAGTTTAAAAACACTAAAAAACGGCTATTTTTCGCCGTATTAAATTCGGATTTTGAAGTGAGCAAAACGATGCGATATGGACAACCGAATGAAGTACGGCGCCAATTTTTACGTTTGTATTTTTCTGAAACAAATTTTTTATTGTGCCTTTCATCGAATTTAAACTATTACATTTTAAATTATTGATCGTCTTTGATCTATTAATTAATTAGATTCTTTATTTGGATTGCTGGGCGCGAAAAAAGAAATATTATAATTTTTAAAAACCTTTGATGATTAGGTTTGGATGAAACAATTTTTTTGCGTTTATTTAAAAAGTCTACAAATTCATCAAACGTAAAAAATTGAAATTTGCGTCTTTTAAATTCGGATTTTATGCGAGGAAAACGGAGTTGGATATAAACACGCGATTGAAGCTCCTTGACCATTTTTGTTACCGAACATTTTTGAAACAAAGATTTTTGATGGCTTTTCGACGGCGCCTTTTAGCTTTTCGCAATACCGTAACTAGCCATAAAGATGAATTATTATCAAAACTGTCGGAATTTACTAATTTTTTCAAAAAAATAAGGGAAACTTCAAGTGGCAGTTTGTAAAGCTCGAGCCCAGGGAGCCCAGGGAGCTGGGAGCCGAAAGAGCTCAGGGAGCTTCCGGAGGTATATTAAAGTATGATTGACATTAATTTTGGAGTATTATACTAGAATTAGTGCATTACTACAAGATTTAATACGGATTACGAATTTTATAAAGTTATACTGCAAAACCGTCTTGGGCTCCCTGGGCTCCCTGGGCTCGAGCTTTACTAAATGCCACTTCAAGTCACCAATTTGGCAAAAGTAGGAAGGTAATAATTGCTGTATTTTTGCTTCGCGTCTCAAGCAAAAAAATGTTTCGCAAATGTTCCATCCTTGGGCAGCACAAAAATTCCTAATTCCCGATAAAGTAGCTATCCATTGCAATACGCCTGCAAAAATTCACATGGCCGTTTCTAGGTGCTTTTTTGCAGATAATGCTGAATATGAGGCGCTCGAGGCGAAATCTCTCCACAGCCATGGCGCCCGCCGTGTCGTTACGCCGAAAATACAAGGAGTATCGGTAATTTTTCAGCGTTTATTGATTATTTTGGGGCCTAATAAGCTAGAAATTAATATTGTTAATATTAATATAGGTTTAAAAATATAGAAAAAAAATTAAAAATCAATAATTTATCGATTAAATTAACGACCTTGTTCTAACTAGGTATGGGAAATTGATGAAACACATTTTGGCAAAAAATATACTCGTAATTCCCTGCCAACAAAAGCCATCCGGCGAGGCTAGCGGAGATCATTTGGGATTGAACCCGCCAATATGATTTTCCAAGCCGCCAATAATCTCTGCTAGCATGCCCAGTCCTAAAAAGGCCACAGTGCCGCTATCTACAAATATTAAATTCCTGCATGCCTTGGAATCGGGATAAACAGCTGGAACAATGTTTTTTAATTTGATTTAGATTTTTTATTTTATAATTTGAATTTTTCAGTTACGCCATGCAATTCTGCGCCATCTCTCTCTTCTACCTACTCGCCTGGGTGTGCTTTCGGGTATTTCCGGTGCTGTTTGGGAAATCATCCAAGGAATGGTGAGTCGAATTTCTCAAAGGATCCCTGCTAGCCTGCCTCGTCCATTCCTCAAAGAATCTCTGCTAGCCTGCCCCTACAAAAAACTTTTTCAGGTTTTCCTTCGTCTCCCTGTTCGTCATCGTCAACTCCGGGGCCAACGGGATTACGTATATTTGCAACAATAAGGAGGTAGGCGTCTGTCTCTCTCTCTCTCTCGCTCTCTCTCTCTCACTCATCTCTCTCCCTTTCAGGTCCAACGCGAGCTCAAAAACACGATCGGCTGGTTCGTCTCCGACCTCTCAATTGCCGGTGGCCCTCCCTCCAATTCGGATATGAGAACCAAGTCTCAGAATCTGCTCTCAAATCCCTCTAAGAATAATAACGAGAGAAAATCGATTTCTATTAGGTCAGACTCTCCGGATGTGCATTTATAATGAATTTTATTAAGTGGAAAAGTTAGTTTCTCAAAGGCCCTTGGACCCAAGCCTAAGCCTAAGCCTAAGCTAAGCCTTAGCCAAGCCTAAGCCAAGCCTAAGCCAAGCCTAAGCCAAGCCTAAGCCAAGCTTAAGCCAAGCCTAAGCCAAGCCTAAGCCAAGCCTAATCCAAGTCTGGGCCAAGCATACGCTAAGCTTACCCCGTTTTCTCTTAAGCTACCCTCGATATGATTCTCTTTATTTTACCTCCCTACGGCATGATCTCTGATTATTTCTATTTTTATTTTGCTTTTGACGATTATTTATTTATTTTTATGCGATTTTTAATGCTTTCTTGGTGCCGAATAAACGCCATATCCAGTAAAAATTCGGCAATACAAAAATGCATCCCAAATGATCTCTGCTAGCCTGCCCCCCCCTATATTGAATCAATACCGTGACCCCTGGGTGGACAGCCCTTATACCCCTAGGGCATAACCATCTCTAATACCCCCGCCCCAGCCACCCCTCGGCTGCCACCAAGCCCAACAAATATCGATTATTGTGCTTTAGATTTCTTTTTATTCCTGGATTTTTATTAGTTTGATAATTCAATTAAATGGACTATCCAAAAATAAGGTGGGAATTTCGTATCGGACAACCCTGTCTGAAAAAAAATTCGAATTTACAAAAAAAATGTTTCGAACAAATTAAATGAATGTGGCTGCCTGGATTTCCCAATATAGTGGTCAAGTGCAAAATTTAAAAACTGGACAAAATTCGCGATAAATTTCGCGGTTTAATCTTGATATTTATATCGTTCAGCAATATTTAGTTAAATCCTGTCTTTGTGAAATTTTTTATTGCATTTTATGGTTCCTCCGCATTCTCGGGCGACCGAATCTGCCTAGTAATGCCTATTAATGCAGTCGTAAGTGTTTTCTTTAATAGTTTTTTTTTAGTAAAAATTAGTCATATTTAAAGTGGAACTACAACAGAAAAATCCTCGCAAAAAAATAGCCAACCTTTTGATCGAAATCGGCCATTTTCCTAGAAAAATCTAGATTTTTGTGTTTCTTTACGCAAATTTGTTCGCTTTTGGGGTTAAGGGGAAGTAAAAGAAGCAGTTTAGAAACACTGCCGCTATTTATATTTCGAAAAATTGGAAGCTTAGAGCAAGAGAAAAAAATATAAATTCCTGGGAAACTGTATCAAAATATTGCAGGCACCCGGGGGAACCCCGCTTTTCGATTGGGGCACTCAACGCGGATCAGCTGCATTTGGTGCACCGGCATTTGCGGTTGCCGGAGAAGCTCAGGCTCAATAGAACGTGCTCCGTATGTTTTTTTGATATCTTAGGTCGTTTTAATGTGTTTTATTGCCTAGAATTAACATGGTTTCTATGTAAAATACCGCGCTGTATTGACTTTAATTTTTAATGCCAGTTTAGCGCTATGCAAATCGAAAAAATCTGCGGCTGCTGCTCCCGAATCAATGGGATACGATACATTGTGAAATGGATGGCATGAAGGTGAGGGGACAGGCTAGCAGAGATCATTTGGGATGAGAGAGAGGGGGAGGGGGCAGGCTAGCAGAGATCATTTGGGATGAGAGAGAGGGGAGGGGGCAGGCTAGCAGAGATCATTTGGGATGAGAGAGAGGGGGGGGGGCAGGCTAGCAGAGATCATTTGGGATGAGAGAGAGGGGGAGGGGGCAGGCTAGCAGAGATCATTTGGGATGAGAGAGAGGGGGAGGGGGCAGGCTAGCAGAGATCATTTGGGATGAGAGAGAGGGGGAGGGGGCAGGCTAGCAGAGATCATTTGGGATGAGAGAGAGGGGAGGGGGCAGGCTAGCAGAGATCATTTGGGATGAGAGAGAGGGGGAGGGGGCAGGCTAGCAGAGATCATTTGGGATGAGAGAGAGGGGGAGGGGGCAGGCTAGCAGAGATCATTTGGGATGAGAGAGAGGGGAGGGGGCAGGCTAGCAGAGATCATTTGGGATGAGAGAGAGGGGGAGGGGGCAGGCTAGCAGAGATCATTTGGGATGAGAGAGAGGGGGAGGGGGCAGGCTAGCAGAGATCATTTGGGATGAGAGAGGGGGGGGGGCAGGCTAGCAGAGATCATTTGGGATGAGAGAGAGGGGGAGGGGGCAGGCTAGCAGCGATTCTCTGAGGAATTCACCGTTTTAGATCCAAATTTGCTGCCGGACTCCCGTGGAACTATTCGCGTTGATTCTGACGAAGGGGCGACACGGGAGCGGGCAAATGCGTCTCGATATCGTCTACAGCCAGTTTGGGTGGGGCTTCAATATTTAAGTTAAATGATTCTTGCCTTCTAGAGCCCTCAAATTACCTTTGACGATGGAGGGCGGACTAGCAATGAGGGCCTCTTTCGATCGGCTAAAAGAAGAAAATTGTTTTCGAATCGTCAACAAGATTACGGACGTACTCAGCGGAGCCTCAGTCATTTTCCGACCGCTCGGCTCGACGGAGGTATGTTGGCTCAAAGAATCTCTGCTAGCCTGCTTCTCTTTCTTTCTCTCTCTCTCGCTCTCTCCTCAAAGAATCTCTGCTAGCCTGCCCCCTTTCAGGATGAGCTGAAATTCTCCCACAATCTGAACCTGCTGAAGAAGCCGTTCCGCGGCGAATATCGTCTCTTATTTATCGACGGAGAGTACGCGAAGCTACGCACGAGAATACGTTGCACGCCGGCTGCGGAAGCGGTAAGTTGTAAGCCCAAGCAAGCCTAGGCTGGCTTACAAGGAGACGTTTTTTAGTGTGAATGGAGTTCTGAGTGGAAACCAGGCCTATTTTGTGCAGAATTTTGCGCTGATTTCGAATATGTTTTCCATTTCTGCTAAATAGCTCGATTTCAAAAGTTATAGCAATTTTAAGATCATTTTAGCCCAAATCTTCCTCTCTTTAGGGACCATTATATTGCTTTTCCCGGCTGTTTTTCCAAAAATAAATATCGTCACCGTATTCAGAAAAATTTTTTCTATCGAATGAGCTATTTAACTCAAAATTGTTGAAAATCGAAAAAATCGACGATACTTGGTATGGACTGCGATTTTTGTATGGGAATGGTGAAAAATAGCCTATTTCTCACCCCTGTAAGCCATCGTCGATCGGCAGTAGCGCACGAATCAAATATACCATTCGAATCAGAAAAAAATTCTCTACAAGATAGGCTACTTAAACAAAATTAAAACGTTATAACAAAAAAGTAGCACAGCATAGCATATGGCTACTCTGGGACTAAAAATTATCTTAAAATAGCTGTAACTTTTTAAATCGAGCTATTTAGCACAATTGGAAAACAGCATCGGAATCAGCGCAAAATTCTGCACAAAATAGGCCTGGTTTTCACTCAGAACTCCATTCACACCAAAAAACGTCTCCTTGTTAGAATTTCCTCAAAGATCTCTGCTAGCCTGCCCCAGGAATTAAAATGTTTTTAAGTGGAATTCACGACGCACCATGTCTGCCGCGTGGCGTATGCCCTCCGAAATATGGGCCCCATCAAATGCAACTGTAAAACACCGTATCCGATGAGGCTGGATTTGGTAAGTGGCAACTTCCTCAATTTCCTCTGCTAGCCTGCCCCGTCTAATTCCTCAAATAATCCTTGCTAGCCTGCCCTTCCTCCTTTTCCGGAAAAAAAACCTGTTTTAGGTGAAGAACCACGACTACGTGAGCGTGCGTATCCACTCTGATTCGCGGGCCGGTCGCGTGTTATCGCTGGCTTTTTTGAAAATCGCCCGCCACACCCTGCAGCTGGTAGGCTTGGCTTAGGCTTGGCTTAGGCTTGGCTTAGGCTTGGCTTAGGCTTGGCTTAGGCTTGGCTTAGGCTTGGCTTAGGCTTGGCTTAGGCTTGGCTTAGGCTTGGCTTAGGCTTGGCTTAGGCTTGGCTTAGGCTTGGCTTAGGCTTGGCTTAGGCTTGGCTTAGGCTTGGCTTAGGCTTGGCTTAGGCTTGGCTTAGGCTTGGCTTAGGCTTTACAGATTTAAAAAAAGTGTCAAGCCAAAAACATTGTAGGCCCTGAAAAGCCGAAGGCGACGGCTTGTCGTCTGCACGGCGCTGATCCGGAAACCAATGGTATGTTTTTAAGGGGGTTATCAACCCAAAATTGTTTTTTTTAGCTTTGCTGGAACCTCTACACAAAAATAGTCAATAAAGTCGGGAATTTGTTGCGGGAAAACTGCTGGATTTACAGCGTTTCGTCGACGAAAACCATGCATCTCGTAAGCTATTAAAATTGTGATCACAAATGATCTCTGCTAGTTGTTGCTTCAACCAAAAATTTTTAGCGCGGTGACTACGATGTGATCCAAATGTTCTACGCGATCAACTACGGGCCCGACATCGAGCTGATCGAGTGGGAGGCGAGACGGTTGTCCTTCATCCGGCCCCTGGAACGATTGAAACAGCGATGGCCACTTCCTAGTGTCACTAATAGCTTGCAATAAATGCGTTGCAAAAAAAACACGAAAATACACGCTATGCACCGCCGCCAGTTTTTCGGCTTTTAGCTGCGTTTCCGCCGGTTCGACCGACAAAAAAACGTGGATAGGCGTAGCAGGGTAATTCCAGGGATTTAGCGTTTCCGAGTTTTTGAATTTAGGTTTTTCGAGCGTTTTGCGCTTCTATGAATCCTCGAAATTTTTTACAACATTTTTACATTATACATTTTTACAACAACAGTTAAAATAACCCTGAAAATGGGGTTGGTAAGGTATTTTTCCGATTTTCTATATTTTTCGACATTCTGTTAACGCGATTCGATAGAGCATCAAAAAATCAACCGGTTGTGGTGGTGCCATTTTCGCGATTTATTTAGCGAATCATTAATCAATCATCACAGAATACAAACATACTTTTACGTTTATGGATATGTCTCACACTTTCGCGTCTCATTTTATTTGTTGAAATGACGCGACCCCTGGATTTTACAATTTTTGCGCCGCCTGGCCGCGCTCGTAATCGGTTCTGTGTCTGTGCTGGGAATTTTTGCGCGCGAAACGACAACCTTTGAGTGTGTGAGCCCTTCCCTAGAGTTCTCTCTGAATTGTATTCCAATTTTTGCGGCCAGTCGTTTCATTTCTGGTAAGGGGAAAACCTGTAAAAGCCCTTAAAATCCGGATAAACCTCGGAAAAGTTGTATAAGAAAGCTCAAACGCAAGTGCTCGCATCGAAGATCCTTTTTTACGACGTAAATACGGCTTTTAGCTTATTTCTGAGGTTTCTAGCGAGTTTTTCCCCCGGATTGCTCGTTGGAATATGAGAGCGTATAGTCGATTTAAGCAATTGTCAGCCTTTATCGATTTTAGCAGCTAAAGCGGTTATAAATCCATTCTTCCGGTTATTTTGCCTTACCATTGAAACGGCTGGCCCCGCCGTTCGCTTCTAATCTCTCGCATTTCAGTTCCGCATGGGCATCGGCGGTCTGCTACCCTTCGTGAAGCCGGCATGCAAAGAGGTTAACCAACTTTTGTTCTGTTATAAACCCAATTTAGGGTCACATCAGCGAGATTGCCGGCAAATCGGTGGCCATCGACGCTAGTTGCCTACTCCACCGCGGGCTTTTCGGCTGCATGGACAAGGTGGCGACCGGCGTTGACACCAATTTGTACGTTTTCTGTGCCACTTTTTGCAACGGGATTTTGTTCAGCTTCATCTACTACGTGCGCGGCTTTATCGAGGAGCTGCTGAAGCAGAAATGCCACGTGGTGATGGTGTTCGACGGGCGACGGCTGCCGGCGAAGCGGGTAGCTGCCGGTTTTCCCTCGGTTGTGGAGCAAAAGCTTTCCAGGAGGTCAACGATCAACGCCGCGAGCAACGGGAACGATATTTGGCTCAAGGTATTTAGTATTTTTAAATTAATGCTGGGAACTCGTGTAGGCCACGCGCTGATGAAGGAGGGCAAGCAGGACGAGGCCAGCGAAAACTTCAAACGCGCCACGCATATCACGAAGGAGATGGTGGACGATTGTATTCGGGTTCGTAATGTGGACCTAGTTTTATTCGATATTCTAGTCGTTCCGCAAAATGCGCAACGTGGACGTGGTCGTGTCGCCGTACGAGTCGGACGCCCAGCTCGCGTTCCTTTCGCTGGAGGGAATTGTGGATTACGTCATCACACAAGACTCGGATCTGATCGTCTTTGGGTGTCATAAGGTATTGGAAAACGAGTTTCCGCTAAGTTACCACCTTTTTTTAGATAATCTTCAAGTGGACGCACGCGGCGGCGGGGAGTTGCGTCTTCTACGATCGCTCGAAACTCGAAAATTGCTTCCAAACCAACTTCAAATTCACCTTCGAGAAGTTTCGCCGCCTTTGTATACTCTCTGGATGTGATTATTTGCAGGTGAACTAAAAATTTCGTTTTTCGACTTTTATTTTTAGGCTGGCCTCCCAGGCGTCGGGCTGTCAAAGGCGCAAGTGTGCTTGGCGAAGACGGGCAACGCCGAATTGCGACAGGTAAAGAATTCGCGAAAACTGATATTGCTCTCAGATGCTGCGCCGCGTCCCGTTCACCCTGCGAATGCCGAAGCTGCGCGTCACCAACGAGTTCATCGAGGACTTTATACAAGCCGAGAACACGTTCTTGCATCAGGTAATCTGGCCTTTTTTTAGCGAGAAACTGTGAGTTTAGGTTGTGTTCGACCCGCGGGCCCGAAAGCAGCGCCCCCTGACGCCGTATCCGGAATCTGAGAAGGAGAACATCGACCCGCTCACCGGGAGATTGCCGTCGTTCGAATACGCCGGAGTGGTTCGTTCTTTCGGCTTCTCCCCTGAGTCCGGTTTCGGCCTCTCGCATATCGGGGGACGAGTTTTTCTGAAGTCTAGAAAGGTTTAGTAACTTAATAAGAAGTGTTTTTAGTAGAATAAAACGAATTTCAACTTGAAAAACTCGAAAAACGTTTTGAAAGACGATATTTTGATCGAAAAATCATTATTTAGGCTATTTTTTAATTTGTGAATTTTTCACGTTTTGGAATAGTAGAAAACCCTTTCGAAGCACTTTCACGATTCATATTTGAAAAATTAGATCCTTAGAAATGCCCCCCGAAATGCTAAAGACCGTTTTTGCAGATTCTGCCCCCAGAATTCGCCACCCAGCTGGCGCTCGGCAATTCGCAACGGGACGACGGGAGCTTTGAGGAAAACTTTGAGTTGACGGCAAAGGTAATTTTATCATCTAAAGTTGTTTTATTCCAATTTAGATCCCCGCCTGGTCGATTTGGTCGCCCGACTACGAAGCGCAAGCCCAGCTGTTTGACGACGGCATTTCGTTGGAGAAGTCCGTTCACGAGCCCTCGGTAAATCAGTTTTTCCAATTTTATATTTTTTAAGATAGGGGATTCGTTTCTAGATTGATTTTAGCAATGTCTGAGAATAAAGACGTTACAAATTTTACTAAAAAAAGGTTATTTTGGGCGGAAAAATAGAGTTTTTACGACTTTTTCAAGAATTTTCCGACTTTTTTTGAAAGTTTTGGTCGTCAAATATCGATAAAACGCGCAAAACTATATAAAAACACTTTGTACGTTCATCGTTATCCTACTTTAGACGCCAGGCTCCTCCAAACACGCGCTCAACGTTTCCGTCACCTCCACCGAAAGCTGCTCGACGTCGGTGATTCGCGTCGCCACGAAGCGCGTGTCTCAGTAAGCCCTTTTCACGAGTTCTTGAAATCGGAACATTTTCAGGCGCGTCAAAAACGAGCCGCCCGGCGATTGGTGCGTGCAGGACATGCTGAGGATGTACTCGCAGCCGGCCAGGATCAATTCGGTATTTTAAATCGATCTGAAAACGCTGAATTTCCAGGGCTCCCCGTCATCATCTCAATCACCCGGCGCCGCCTTCTTCTCCCAGCCCACGGCGTCTCCGAACATTTTGGCAAGCCGCAAGCGCGCTGCCCAGTTTTACGGAACGGGCGATGTCGGCGAGCCTTCGGTCGAGACGCTCGGCGATTCTTCGGATGGTAAAACTTATTTTTTTTGGTTCTTTTCCATTATCGGGGGGACCGGACTTTTTGTATAAGGTTTTTAGTGAAAAATAACTACATTTCAACTCGAAAAACCATCTAAAAACTGTTAAAAAATCGAAATTTGGTCAAAAATCAGCCATTTTTGGTCGAAAATGGTGGATTATGATAATGCCCCCCCCCCGATAATGCACAAGAACCTATTATTTATTCAGCTACCCACTTTTAGATGACGTCATTGTCGAAACAACGACGGTGGTCAGCAGCTCTTCGATGATTGCCAGAGAAAAGTATGGCTTTGCGCGAGGTTTATTTCGACGAATGCTTCATAACGAACGCTATTTGACTATGCCAAATTTTTATTTAGGATCACCAGCAACCCATTCAAGAGGGTCAAGCATCGCCACGCTCCACTTTCGCCGTCTTCAGGTTGTCGGCGCTTTTTGCGGTGTAATTCCGTTTTTAGAATCTTTCGATGAGCCGGCCGTCAGCTCCGAAGTGGAAAAGGAGCTCCGGCCAACTCTGAATCTACGAGTTTTTCCTGTAAAAGTACCTTTCTTCCAGGTTTCCACCAAATCCCAGCCCTCCACGCCGACCCTCGAGCGAAAGGACGCGCTGATGAAGATTCAGGCGTTCGGCTTCCGCAGCTCGGGGCTCACCCGAACGCGCAGCGTCAAGAAATAACACCAAAAATTGTTTTATGTATATTTCCTTGTCAAATTTGAGCTTTCCCAATGCCGGTCCGCTTCCTTCGCTCTATCTACTCGTTGTCTCAATCCCTATTGTCGTTTTGTACGGGTCATTATTTGTGCTCGATAAGTCGGATAAACGATTTCAAAAGACGTGGTCACATCATTTTGGAAGAAAACAAAAAAAAAACCATTTTTCCGGCTTCGTTTGCGTTTTCGGCGTTTTTCAAAGCCTGTGAGATGTTTTTTATTTGGCGTCTAGATACCGTAATTTCAGGGATAAGCGTATCGCCGCGTACTACTCGCATTGCCCCTGGCCGAACTTTCGGGTTTCTCTTTCTCTAGAATTTTTTGTACGAGATTTTTTTACTTTCGTTTTCTTTCCGTTTTTATTATTCTTTTCTTTTCTCAGACTGTTGGCGCTATTCCGGTTTAGCGGATCCACTTTGGGCGACCGTTTTCCGCCTTGGTTTTGCCATGTTTCGCCATTTTATGGATATTTGGCGCGCTGAGCTCGAATAATCCCATGCTAGCGCCGAAGGGTCGATTTTAAGAAAAAAAAACACGTTAAAAGTGTAGTCGAAAGCCAAAAATTCACTTTGACCGCGTTGGCTTTCGATTTTTTGGGTTTTCTAGGCTATATTTTTAGCGTTGATTTCGATAATAACAAATGCAGAGTAGTAATGCGATTTATTTGCTCATTATGCTTACCGTTTCAAGCGGTGCAATGCTATTTTTCGAGCTCAGCGCGTCAAACCACCCCAGAATCGTTGGAAAACTCGTCGATCAAAGTTGGCCTCGGCTAAACCGGAATAGCGCCTACTTTTATGCTCCCATTCTCTTTTTTCCTTTTTCATTGCCATTTTCCAGCAATGTCGCGACCAATCAAGCACACCTACCGGCACTTTTACGAGGAGAAGGACGGCATCGTCAATCAAGGTAACACCCATTTCGCTGCCAACAAGGGTAATTTTTGTGCCATCCTCATCTTTCCGGGGGCCAGGTATTTTTGGTGAACGAGCATTCTTCTATTTGTCGAGTTTGACCGCCGGGGGTGCTTCTGGGGGCGCCTTCGAAATTCGCCCACGCTAACCGACCGGCAAATCTGTTAATGACTAGGGCAAACAGGGCAACTCGCCGCTCAACTCGGGTACTTATTCCGGGGGAACCGGAGGGGGCAGCCGGGACAGTCGTTTTCTCCCATAGCTTTGCATCTGCTTCACCCACCCACCCGCGAATAGTTTTCACCGGCCGCTTCGTCATCATTCATTTCGTAAATGGGCGTATAAAAGCTTTAGTGCGCTTTATTTTACGGGGTATAATTTGGAGGCTATCTGCTCGAGTTTGTTGGACTTTTCGCTTTGCTTTTGGTGTTTTACTGGGTTTTTTATATGAATGATTCATTGCGGCAGTTAATTAAACCAAAGCTAAATCAATAATTAAAGTTTTAAACCTTAGAAAGGGCCCGAAGAATAGAAAACGGGATTTTAAGACTTTTTCTGGAGCTTTTCGCGCTGCCCGAGCACCTTTGATTGATTTCTACCCACTTAGTATTCCCCATTGGCTAGAAGATTGTATTCTCTAAGAATTTTGGAGTACATTCTCCGGTACTAAATACTTTTCCTGCTTTTTTTATTCCCCATTTTCAGGTACCACCTCGGCCACCACCCCCACGCACGAAGTGAACGTCCCCAAGTCGTCGACGTCGACCATCCCCTCGCAGCAGACCTCATCGTCAGCCATGAACCGCCGCTTCCCGCACTTTTCGCCGCTCACCCAGATGGGAAGGTAATGGTTTTCGTGGGCTTTCTGCGCTCTTGAGTCGAACGCGCCGAACATGAGTACCGGGGCGCATTATGAAGTCGCTGTGCTCGCACAACTGTTCCGTTCTTTTGCGACTAGGCTACCACGCGGGGGGGGGGGCGGGGGGGCCGGGGCCGGGGCCGGTTTCGCGCGCCGGGCCGGGCGCGGCCGCCCCGGGCCCCCCTCCCGCCCCCAAAAGCGGGGCGGCGGGGGCCCAGAGCCACCCCCGCCCCCGCCCCCCCCGAGGCCCCCCCCCGCGAAACAAGCGGCGCGACGCCCCCCCCCCCCTTTTAACTTCTCCTTTGCAGGTCCAACTTCTTCGACGAGGACTTTGATCGCATGGTCAGCACGCGACCCTACTGGGCCGACACCTCCATGTTCAGCGGCCATCGACTCGGCGAGGGTCTCAACGATGTACGCTTTTCGGTTCCTATTTCTAATCCGCGATTTTTAGGTGATCGACAACGAGGTCGAGTTCAAGTTCACCATTGACGTCTCGCAATTCGAGCCTGAGGAGCTGAAGGTACCTTTCGAATTTTTGGCGTTATCATTTTTTTTAGGTCAACATCATCGACAACGATTTGGTGATCGAGGCAAGGCACGAGGAGAAGACGGACAAATTTGGCCAGGTATTTCTGCGTGCGATTTTTCAATTCCTCCTTTTCAGGTCATGCGCTCGTTCACGCGCAAATTCCGGCTGCCCCCGACCGTCAAGCCGGAGGAGGTAAATTTTGGATTTTATTCTTTCTAAACCTAAAACTATACCAAATTTTGTTAGAAAAGCTCAGAAATATCGATTTTTCGACAAAAATTTTGATTTTCAAAAGTTTTTAGATATGTTCATTAGTTGAAACAGTGATTTTTTTTACTCAAAGCGCTATTAAAAGGCCGTTTGCGAGCCACCCGAACTAGGCTTGGCACAGTCTGTTTTCGCCCTCTTTTTGACGCCATCGGATAGAGCATGATCGAATTAGTGGGGCTGCATAGTTTTGAAAGTTTAAAAAGTTTAATTTGGGGGTTTAAATGGGCGTTGAAGTTGCAGACCCTCAAAAATTATCTTGGAAGTTACTTAACCCAATTCGCTGAAAATTTGTGTCAATACCTAATTTTGGACGGGGATCATTTCTCTAATACATCGCAAAGCGTGAAAATGGCCGGAACATGGGAATCTCGCGTACCCAAAACAGTTTTTGAAGATTTTCGTTGTGAAGGGTTGTTGACTGCGCGCTGTAAATAGCATAGAAAGATGCGCAAAAACTTTCTGCATCGAATGGTGTATCATTTAGCGCGCAGACAAGAACCAAACTACTCAGAACTCAAAACTATGCAGCCCCACTAATTCGATCATGCTCTATCCGATGGCGTCAAAAAAACGGGGACGAAAAAAACGGTGCCAAGCCATATTGGGGTCTGTTCGGATGACCCGCAGACGGCCTTTTAAAACAATTGTTATTGTTTTACTAGACATTTCTAGACATGTACAAAAAAAATTCGGTCCCACCTATATGCGAAAGATCCCGTTTCAGTATTCATTTTTCTTTTTCAGGTGAAGAGCGACCTGTCGCGCGATGGCCACCTCACCGTCCGCTACGAGAAGGAGCGTCTGACCGGCAACGTCAAGAAGATCCCCATCCAGATCCAGAAGCCTTAATTTTGCCCTTCCCTCCCGAATTTCCCCCAGTTCTAGCATTTGATTATTGTGGCCCCCACCCCGTCCTATCCCCGAAAGTTCCACCCTTTAAACGAATTTCGCATTGCGCTGTTTTGACTTACGATTAATTTGTTGTTGGAACTGTTTGGAGAATAAACGTTTTGTCGTTGATCGCGTTGCTGGTTGGAAAATACACTGAAGTCGATGCACATGTTTTTGGTATCTGCGGATTTTAAAATGAGGAGAAATAGGCATTTTTTTTGGGTACTTTCGCATTATCGGGGGGAGCGAATTGCTTGCTGTAAGTCCAGAAAAGCCTAATAACGTGATATTGAATGCTTTCATCGTGTTTAGAAACATTGAACTATATTTCAATTGGAAAAATAGCACGAAAAACATTTTCAGTTGAAATTTTGATCGAAAAATCTATATTTTTGTGTTTTTTAATGTGGTTTTGTAAAGTTTTACGTCTTTAGAAGTAGTAAAAAGGTGAAATAAAACACTGCTCTATTGATTTTAGACAACATGAACTGGATTTCAAGTGGAAAACCAGCAAAAAAGCGGTAATGTTTAGTTGAAATTTTGATCGAAAAATCTTTTTAAGTAGAAAAACTTTTTATTCCAGACAAACTGGATTTTTTAAAAAATCCCCCCCGCCCCCGATACTGCGAAAGAACCCATTTCTGATAGGAATTAAATTTGGTGCAGACTTTATCTGTATCACCAAAACGCGCAGGTGCGTTTCCTCGCGGTCCATCGCACTCGTTCGACTGTCCCTACGCGACAATCCGCCACATTCCCTCACCTAATCGGCCGTTCTTTCAACACTTTGCCGGGTGTTGTTGTCCGAGCTTCTTGTCGCGTGTTTCCCCCTCTCTTCGTACTCACAATCTCAAAATCTTCTAAAAGCCATAGTTCCCTTTTTAGTGATGCGCCTAGCGACGACGGCCACTCGAACAGCCCAATGGACGTTACGTAGGAAAATCGGCGTGGCCACCGGGTAAATTTTACGCGAGAAATTGTATTTTCAGCGCTAGGCTATCATCTAGTATCTTTACTCTCTAGGTGCACCGTGGGCATAGCGAGCGCGGTGGGCGTGGCCCGGTCCGCCGACACTGTCGAGGATTTGCAGCAGATCGGCGCCATTCGATTTGGGAGGGCGGCGAGACATGTACGTTTGACTTATCAGGAACGAATGTATCCAGGAAAACGCGAAAATCCTGACGGTCATAATCACGACAGCCCAAATGTGATATTTCCTTTCGTTTTACCCAGAAATGGGTTTAAAATCGGGGTCTCTGGCTGTCGGAATTTTGGCCTGTTCAAGATTTTGTATCGCGGGATTTTGGCGTTTTCCCGTTCGACTTTCCGGAAATGATTCCCCCGTTTAGGTCTCTGCCATCATCGTCGACTACAAAATCTTCCTCGCACGCCACGCCGAGTACAACGACGAGTGGATCCAGGGCATCAAAGCGGTGAGGCGATGGTTTGGCTCGAAAAACTATTTCTGAAATTTAGGTACACGCACGTAGCGCGCAGCGACTACTCGACCTGGCGTGCGCGAACGGCGGGCTGTTCATCAAGGTGATTTATGACCGAATATTTGTCACGTTTTCTAATTCGTGGAAATCTTGCAAAAAAATATCGGGTTTTTTCGCGTTTTCGGGAGCGAACTTTTTCCTTGAACTCCAGAAATGTGAAATAACGTATTAGAAAATATTTTAATTGTGTGTTTAGGAAAATTTAGCTATATTTTAAGTGGAAAAACAATTGATAAAATGTTTATAAAATTCTTTAGGTGACTTCTTGATCGAAGAGCCGAATTTCTTGCGTCTTTAATCAAGATTTGTAAGATTTTTACGCTTAGAGGTAGTGAAAACAGCTCAGCAACGCTTCCTCTATCTCTATTAGAAAAACTGAATTCTTTAAAAAAGTCCCCCCCCCACCGATAATGCAGAAGAACCGAAAAAACCTCTTTTTTTTCTAGGTTGGCCAGCACATTGCGTCGCTGGAGTACCTGGTGCCCGTCGAATACACCAAGATCCTGTCCGTGTTGTTGAGCCAGGCCCCCAAATCATCCTACAAGGACGTGCGCTTTGTCGTGGAGCGCGAGCTGGGCGGAAAGGTGATTTTTGGGTATATTTTGAAAAGTGTAGATTTAGTTAGAAGACCACTTCACCGAGTTCTCGGAGTCGCCGATCGGCGCCGCCAGTTTAGCGCAGGTATTGAGGTTTCTGAAGAATAAGCTCTTGCGAGTTTTCCTAAAGGCATTTTGCTAGCCTTCTGGTCTTTTCGAGGGGCGAAGTAAACTTTTTTTGCTCTTTCTTGCTTAAAATTACAATTTTGCGGCCGCTTTTGCGCTGTTTTTTAGAGGCAAAAAGCCACTGCATGCTATTTTTAAATTCGAAAGCGACATTTGCACAAAATTGTAGGAATTTTGGCGAGAAATCCTTCAAATTTTCCCTTTTTGGCGATTTTCAAGAAGTTTTTTTGCAACTTGTTTCAACTCCTATGGTCGTTTTTCGCCTTCTGCCGAGCAGAGAAAGGCCATACGGAATATTTTTAAGCCGGAAACCGTTTGCGCAAAATGTAGGAAAATGGCGAACAAAACGGAACTGCTTTTTTTAAGAACAATCTTATGACATTTTTTTAGTAAAGGAAGACTGAAAGGAATGCAAGAAAGTTTCCACCCCCGCTGACAGTACAGAGCCCCTGCCGCTTTAAATCCCATTTTTCCAGGTGCACATCGCCCGGCGGAAGGACAACGGCGAGCTGGTGGCGTGCAAGGTGCAGCACAAGCGGCTGCAGAAAAACGCGAAGACCGACATTGCCACCATGGAGGTGGGCTTTTAATCTTATTCTGTGATTTTCAACTTCGTTCAGTTCCTCGTCAACGTGGCCGGCGTGTTGATCCCCGAGTTTAAGCTGCGATGGCTGGTGAAGGAGGTCAAGAAGAATCTGCCAAAGGTTTTTTTGCCTCCTAAAGTCGGATTGATTTCCTTTAGGAGATGGACTTTTTGAACGAGGCGAAAAACGCGGACGGGGCGCGGAAGAGGTATCGAAAGCTCAAGTTTTTGAAGGTGAGTGCGGGCAGGCTAGCAGTGTTTTGCGATGATTTCGTATTTGAAATGTAAAAAACGTCAAATTTGACTGAAAATTAGAAAAATACGATTTCGTTACTTGGCTAGGCTCTAAAAATTGATTTTTTAATTCAATCTTTTGAGCATTAGCTTCAAATGCATTTTCCAGATCCCGAAAATCCACTACGATCTGTCGACAAAGCAAATGTTGACGATGGAATTCTGCGAGGGCCACCAGATTGACGACCGCGAATGGCTCGACCGGATGGGCATCGACAAGCATCTCGTTCGTTTTTTTTGCTAGGAGTCTGAGTATAAAAAATCCGGTTCTGTTCTGTTAGCGTGGGGTGGCGTAAAAACTAGGCAACTTCTTACTAAAAATTGCTAACAATATAGATTTTTCGAGGAAAAATGGCCGATTTTTGGCCAAAATTTCGACTTTTTGAAAGTTTTCGGGTGGCTTTCTGGTTGAAATATCGTTTTATGTTTATTATTGAAATACTTTGGATTACGTTACCAGGCATTTCTAGACCTACGCAAAAAATATTTTGCCCTTCGCCCCCCGATAATGCGAAAGAACCTATTAATTTATATATTTTTTTTTTTTTTTTTTTTTTTTTTTAAAATATTATTAAATTTTAAAATTTTTTAAATTAAAAAAAATTTTTTTTAAAAAAAATTTTTTTTTTAAAAATAAATTTTTTTATTTTAGCCGTACTGTGAAAAGTCCAATCAAATTTTTTTCAGGTTTGCCGCCGACTGGGCCGCCTCGTTTGCCAGATGATCTTCCTGGACGGGCGAGTGCACTGCGATCCCCATCCGGGCAACATCCTCATCAATCGACTCCCGAATGGCAACGCCGAGATCGTGCTCCTCGACCACGGCCTCTATTTGGTGCGTGATTTTGGAAATTTGGTGGAAATTGTGTTTTTCTAGGACGTTGACGACCACTTCCGGCGCATCTACTCGGACTTGTGGATGGCGCTGCTCAACGCCGACACGCAACAGATTCGGGTCGGTTTCGTTTTTTTTGCTATTAAAATTCATTCTATTAAATTAAATTAATTAAATCCCTAAAATTAAAAAGTCGGTTAAATTATTGTAAAAAACCTTTTTTTCAGCGCGTCGCCGAGGAGCTGGGCGTCGGCGAGATGTACGGCCTGCTCGCCTGCATGGTCACGCAACGATCGTGGAAAAGCGTGACGCAGGGCATCCGCAAGTCGAAAAAGGACGAGCAAGAGGTAGATCTGGGTTTTTTTCACTTGATGCTCTTGTTTTTTAGCGTCAAGAACTCCGCGACTACGCCGTCACGCTTATACCGCAGATTAGCGAGGTATGTGAGAGCCAATTTTCGTTAATTTTAAATTTAGGTACTCGCCCGGGTGCCGCGCGAAATGTTGCTCATCTTCAAGACGAACGACTTGTTGCGCAGCCTCGAGTACATGCTCGGCACCGCCAACCGAGCGGATTCGCTGATCGAGGTATTTTTCGTGGTTTCTGGGAAAAATGATCTCTGCTAGCCTGCCCCGCCACCCTCTGGACTGTTAGCGGGGGGAGGAACCACTTTATGTTTTTCCATCTATACGTCGTAGCCTGTTGATGATAAATATATAATGTATTTTTTTTTTCTAGTGTTTTTAGTAGTTTTTGATTGCTAGGAAGTTATAAAACAATTTTGAAAATTTTGAAAATTCAAAAATTTCACCTTTTCTGGTCATTTTTGATACATTTTTGACGAAAAATGCCGAAAACTTTCGAAATTTTTAATTTTTTAGATGTTTTTGATATCTAAAAACTATGTAAAATGTTATAAAAATGGTTTATTTTTGTTATAGGGTCGAAGAGAAACAGGGAAGAATTTGTTCCCCCCGATAACAGTCAGGAACCGACCCTCTCTCATCCCGAATGATCTCTGCTATCCCCTATATCCTCCTTTTTCAGGTGTCAAAGTTCGTGATCCGGTCGCACTACGAGTTGACGCTGAACGAGGCGCACTCCTTCTTCCGTCGTCTCGCCATCCGTTTCCGCTTTGTGTGGGATCTGAGCAAGATCTACATCTACGAGTACTACCTGTTTGCTGCCGACAAGATGCCCGCCATCACCGCTTAACCCAGCCCCGACCAATTTAATTTGAATTAGCCTCGATTAGCTGTATTGTTCGTGTTTCGAATCCGATATTTTGGCGCCCGCTTTTCATTTAATTAAATTGGCGGTGCTTTGGCATTATCGGGGGGAATTCATTTCCCCGTATCTAAAAATGTTTGGTAAATAACTTAAAAACTTGAACTTGACAAAATATTGAAATTTAAACGTTTTAATTGTGTTTTTCTTAAATTTGATTAAATTTCTAATGGAAAACTATCTAAAAAAAGCTACAAAAAAAAACCTCGAAATTTTCTCGAAAATTGGTTTTTTAATTTTTTGATACAAATTTGTAGTTTTTGACAGTTTAGAATTTCTCTATTTATTTTACCAAAATGGATTCCTATGGAAAACAGTCCCCCCGATAATGCCAAAGCGCCAAATTCGCCGCTATCATTAGTGTCATGCCGTAGTGCGTTTTAGTGTGTGTTTTTGTGTGTCGTGCCCCGCGTTCATTTACTACTGGTACCCCCCGACAGCCCATTATCGCGCCTTAAAAAATTCGATATATTCGCGGTGAGACAATAATTACTGACATTTGCGTGTTTCAAGTTTTTTTCTGTATGGCTTTAGTCGCCCACCCGTTTTGGCTGTGATATGGTGTGTGCTTTTTTTCTAAAAAAGGTCCGCAAATAAACTTTTGTAATTCGAATTTTACCAGGTCGAAATTTATTAACATTAAAAATTTCTAATAGTGCTTTTAGACGGAAAAACTATCGAAATGCGGGGATTTTTTGTGTTTCCGCGGCCGGGGGACTTTCACATAAATAACGGGCGAGTTTAGACATTAAATATCCCTCAACCTAAAAACTTGGCAAAGTTTAATTGAAAATTTATGGATTTGGGAAAAATATTCTTTTTTTTCACACAAATTGATAAAAACTTTTTGATTTTTCTAGTCTTTTTCCAAACTTTTCTAACTTTTTGAAAGTTTTCTACGGCAAATATAGCTAAAACTTGCTAAAAACTACTTGAAACACTATTTAATGCTAGGCCACCGGATAGATCGGAGTTTATTGGGACGCGGGAGAGTTTACCGTCCTACTTTTCACTATTTCTTTTTTGGGGACTACGTCATCGCGACCCGGCAGCGCATCAAAAAAAACCTACGACCTTAATCTTGGATTAGAACACACGAGAATTTCAGAATGCTATACCAAAGCAAAACTAGCCCTGAAAATGGGGTTGGTGAGCTATTTTTCGATATTTTTCGATATTTTGTTAACGCTATTCGATAGGGCATCAAAAATATACTAAGCTTTTTAAATATACAACTCAAAATCATGTAATTTAAGGTGGGAGAAGCAATTTACCAAAAAATGTCCCCACGATAAGCTCCCCCCGCTAACAGCCTAGAACCGAAATTTTGACAAATCGAAATTTCCACAGAATGAGAATTTGACGAAATGAAAATCTGCCCATTTTGGTGTTGATTCACTGTTTTCTATTGCGTAAACAGCTCCCATTGTGACGCGGCCCCTATTTGTCTACCCAAATTATGCGAACATACACGACATGCCCAGGGCTGGGCCCTATAAAAGCCGGGCAGCGCATCCGGAAAGTATTATTAATCCCACCCCGCCCTCCCCGAAAACCGCGCCGAAAATGAACAAGCTGTTGGTGGCCCTCGTCCCTCTTCTACTTGTCGTGAATGCCGGTGTGCTGCGCAACGCCGAGCTGCCCGGCAACTTTGAGGGAAATCAGCACCAGGACGCGCTGCCCGAGACGAGCGCCGACCACCTTGAGCTTGTGGAAGGGGTAGGTGACGCGGTTTTCATTTTTAATGAGGGTTCTTGAGCATTATCGGGGGGAAGTGGAGGCAATTTCTTCTCATGGGAACCAATTTTTAAATCTAAATGTCGCAAATTTTTCTAAAATGCTTTTTTTATTATTCCTAAACGTTACTTTACAAATTTTTATTAAAAAATTCCAAATATATCGAATTTACGACCAAAAATTACTGTTTCTTGACCAAAATTTCCGAGAAAAATTTAACAAAATTTTCAAAGTTTTTAACGTGTTTTTCTAGTTATAATATAGCTTTATTTTACTAAAAACATGAAAATACTTACTATTAAGGGACTATTCTAGAGTTATACAAAATTTTGTGTCCCCCCGATAATGCGAAAGAATCTTTAATATAAATAGCACAAATATTTCTAAGCTGTTGTTTCACGATTTTTAACGCTAAAGTTTCAAACCTGTACTAAACAATATAAAAATCTCGATTTAGAAATACTTAAATATGGCTATCTTTTACCAAAAACACAATTAAAAGGCTTACTATTACGATAACTCATCCAGGAAGCCGCTCCACTGCTGCCAGAAAATGGGGAAGCACCCGTCGATAGCAGCTGCAATGGCGAGGAGACGGACGCCGACAGGGAGAAGCGACAATGTGAGTAAACCGGAATCCGGAAAAACTAAACAACAAAATAAATCGCAAATTTTACGAAAGGTTACCAAAGTTGTTGCTCTAATTTATGTAGTCGAAATTCAGGCGGCTGCTGCGGGTGCGGATGTTGCGGATGTTGCTGGTGAGTGAGCGATTGAGAAAATAGGGCAGGCTAGCGGAGATTCTTTGAGGAGCTCGGATTTCCGGGTTTCATAATGTCGAAATTCATGATGTCGAATTCTACGGTGCTTTCTCATTATCGAGGGCAGATTTTTTCTAAAACAAGTAGAGCAAGCGTTCTAAACTATTTTTTTTGCTATTCCAAAACGCCGAAAACTGTACAGATGTTTATAAAGAATAGAAAAAAAACCATAGTTTTTTCGAAATAATGGCCGAATTTCGACTAACCAATTTCATCCTTAGTTTTTTTATTATTTTCGCGCCAAAAGCGATGCCAATAATTTCGACATTTTGAATTGGCCAAGTAATCAAATATAAAGCGTTTTTACATTGTTTTTAGTAAGTTTTAACTATCAAAAAAGTTAGAAAAGCGTTTGAGAAAGTCGAAAATGTGGTCAAAAATAAATTTTTGACCCAAAATTAAATCTTTAAGTAAAATTTCTAAAGTTTTTGGGTTTAGGAATAGTTAAAAACAATGTCGAAACTAATCAGCTTGTTATAAAAAAAAATTAGGGTTGCGCCGAAAAAAAGTATGTGCCCCCGCGAATCTCAAAGATTCTGAAAAATCCAGAACAATTTGGTGGGATGGAGGGGCAGGCTAGCAGAGATTTTTTGAGAAAATCACCGCGACAAAAAGATAATCCTCATTTTCCAGCTGCACGTGCCCAACTTGTGCCCCGTGCTCGTGCTGCCCCTGCTGCTGTTGCCCGTGTTGCTGCGGGGGATGCGGTGGTGGTTGCGGATGCTGCGGCTGTGGCGGATGTGGCTGCTGTGGTTGCGGAGGGTGCGGTTGCTGCGGCTGCGGTGGCTGCGGATGCTGTGGCTGCTGCGGGGGATGCTGATGAGAAGCGCCTGCAAATGCTGCTACTCCTGCTAGGCTTTGTAGTGTAGAATAAAGGAATTCTGCTTGGTTTAAGGCAAGAAAAACATAAAAAGAGGCGCCCGCACTTACATTTTTTTTTTGGTTCTTTTGTATTATCGGGGGGGGGGATTCTTTCTAAAGAATCAATTTTTTAAATCCAACTAGCGGAATGTTTCTAAAATGATTTTTTTGCTATTCCTAAACGTTAAAACTTTACAAATTTCTATTAAAAATATAGAAAAGATCGATTTTTCGGCCAGAAATCACCGTTTTTAACCAAAATTTCGACTAATTGAGAAATTTGAAGTTTCCAGAGAGTTTTGATGTAGAGGATTTTATGAAAAACATGTAAAAAAATTTTTCGGACAAAAATGGCCGACCTTTGAACAAAATTTCGCCTCTAGAAAAAGCTTCAGATAGTTTTTCTAGCTAAAATATATTTTTATGTTACTAAAAACCTCATGAAAATACTTTCTATTAAGTTCCTAGGCATTTCTAGCGTAAAATAAAAAAGCGGATCAAGGTCCTGAGCTGATGAGCAACGGTTTTCGAAAACAACAATTTATTTGGTTCAGCAACGTTTTAAAAGCAAACTGCAAGCAAAGTGCAACATAATAAATGAGTTCAACAAATTGCATTAGAAATATCGAGATAATAGGTGTTTCCTCTTTTGGTGGGCCATTCTCGGCGTGGGCCTTATCATCAGCCATTCCGGATCCGCTCCCGCAGCGCCGTCACTTCTTCCATTAGCATATTCAGCTGGGCGGCTTGCTAAAAAGAAAAATTATAGTTAGAAATTTATAAAAATGTGGGTTACCTGGTCATTCTGCTGCTTCAGACGGCGATTTTCGGCATTCCGCTTTTCCGAGAGGGTTTCCTGTAAAAGAACGTGTTTCGCGGCTGTTGCTCTCTCGCACTTTCTCTCTCTCTCTTTATCTCTCTCTCTCTCGCTCTGACTGTCTCTAGCGCCCTCGCTCCAAGCAAACTTCTCGCATTATCGGGGGGGCGGGCGGGGACATTTTTTAAGTCTCGAAATGCCTAGTAAATTGATAGAAAGTTTTTCAAATAGAAAATAACGAACTATATTTTAGCTAGGAGAAGATTTCAAAAAGTCGAAATTTCAATAAAAACGACGATTTTAACATTTAAACTAACAAGAGAAGAAAATAAGTAAAAAGCCCGATACCAGGAGTGTCATGTTGATTTGCATGCGAGCCACGTCAGATTTCGTCTCCCTCATTCCAGCGCGCATTCTGGCCCAGTCCGCACCGATCTTCGCACCTCCCAGCTTCATTTTCATCTAAAAAAGGGAATTTTATTATTGCGATAAATATCTTACAATGGTCTCTTCGACGCGCTTGTCGATGCTGTGGTCAGTGTCGATTTGGGGCACGGGCTCGATGCGTGGTTGTACGACAGCTACTCTTGACGGAGGGGAGAAGGCCGAAGTGGCATGGAATGGCCGTGATTCTGATGGAATTGTCAGAACGGCCACCTCGGCTGCCCAGTCCTCCTGGCCTCTTTTCACCTTCTTCTTCTTCTTCTTATCGATCCTTCTCGGCTCTTCAGTTGGATTTCCATCTAAGCGGAGTATAATCCTACTATATATAAAAAAATAGTGTGTGTGTGTCTGTGCCACTTTGCATCCACTTCCGTATCGTTGTTCCAGACGTATCTCTATAGAGGAAGAAGTTAGGGGTAAGTACGACGAAGTGGTTAGGTGCGTAATGGTCTAGGGATGACTGCCCACATATCAGATTTATAAAAATCAGCCATTTTCGGTATTTAATTTAAGTTTTTGTAAAACCCTCTTCGCCAGGAAAAAAATTAGCATTGACCGGAAGTAGGCAGTCGCCTATATAAAGGATCAGAAGCGAATCATTTTCATTTTTTGGTCATCTGAATTCAGCGTAATTATGCAAAGCGTAGAACAGCATGCGGTGCAAGACGGGGCCAGGGTTGAAAAGTCGCGAAGCGGCTTTTCAACCCTGGTAGAATATATAAAAAAATAGTGTCTGTGTGTGTGTGTGTGTGCCACTTTGCATGCAACTTCCGTCAGGTTGTTCCAGTCGTATCTCAAGAAGAAGAGTAGTTAGGGGCATGTTTGATACCTCATTAGGAGCGTAATGGTCTGGAGATGACTGCACGCACATCAGATATATCAAAATCCCTTATTTTCGACATTAAATTTTAGTTTTTGTTGAAAAATCCGAGACCCTCTTTGTTAGAAAACAATTAGCATACACCGGAAGTGGCGCTCGCCTATATAACCGAGCAGAACGCGCATTTTTCATTTTTTTTCAGCCTCGGTGGGGCACAATTATGCAAAATGAAGAAGTAACTTCAGCAGCAAGCATTTTCATAATGTTTTTAGTAAATTAAACGATATTTTCACTAGAAAAACTGTATAAACTTTAAAAAAAAATTTCGAGTTTCGAATTCATCGAAATTTTGGCCGAAAAATCGATATTCTTGTATTTCTTAAACAAAATTTTGTAAAGTTTTTACGATTAGGGATAGTAAAAAAAAGCAACACGTGCCCTTTTTGTATTTCAAATTTCTCCTCCCCTCCCCCCCGATAAGGCGAAAGATCCGTTTTCTATCTAAAGCGGATCACAACGAAGATTTCCAGTCACAAATCGATTCCCCAATCAGTACCTAGAAGTTCTTCTTTGACAACGATTGGATGAAGGGTAGGCGAGGATGATTGGTCTTTGTCACCTAAACCTCAGAAATTCAATAAATACTTATTGGAAGTACCAATCCAGACATTTTGCTCGTTGTGGTGGCGGATTGGAGCATGAGCATCAGCATGAGCATGAACATCCGCCTCACTTCCCTCGATTCCGGCATGAAAATCTAAATATAATTTAATCAGGAAATTAAAAAATTCTTGTGATAAGTGAATCAATTAATTAACCTTTTCCTAATCTTCCTTTAATCTTAATTAATTAACAATCAATTAACAACCCACCAAATGAATAATTTTCGACATCAAGTGGCTCTTGTTTAACTCCGGGTTGAGTATCGGCCAGGGTTCGGTGAGTCGATTTCTCTTTGGATCGTGGTGGAACAGCATCCGGCACCACTTCTTGCTTCACCGAACCTAAACAACAAAATCGGGAGATTAATGAAGATTATACAGGGCCTACAAAATACAGGGCCTCCCAAAAAAACTCCCTTCTAACCCGCGGCAGACTGTTCGAATTTACGTTTCTACTTTAATTTTTCGTTTCGGCTTCGCGACTTTTCAAACCCGAGCCCCGTCTGCCCTCGATATCCTTTACCTTCCATTATCCGAATTCCTATGACCTTTCTGGTGATTTTCATACATTTTTGACCAATATTTAGAATTTTCAGGAGGTTTTTAAAGACTAGTGCAATCTAAATAGAGTTTTGGACGGTTAGCGGGTGGGGCGGGGGGTACGAAATTTTTCGCTCCGATTCTCTACGGCCCTATAAGCAAATATAAACGATTTTAACAGCAGTTTACGTAGTTTTTAGATATAAAACATGTACAAAAATAATCAGAATTTCGGCATTTTTGATCTTATGGAAAAATTTTCGAGTTATCAAAATTTTTTATAGCTTTCCAGAAATCAAAAACTACCAAAAACACTATAAAAATACATAATATATCAACAACGGGTAGGTATGGGTGGACAATAAAAAGTGGTTTTTCCCCTGCTAATAATCGCCCCCCCCCGCCCGCCCCCGCTAACAGTCCAGAGCCAAAGGAACATACCAGCACGTGAGGATGCAGCTTCCGGCCTCTTCTGCACGTTTCGCCGAACGTCGAGACTTTTGTCGCCAGGACCTGGCAGATGAACAATTGGTCGGTTGTCTTCTGGAGTGTCATCTTCTAAAAAAAATCGCATCAAAAGGTCAAGAGAATATTCGTACCGTCATCGGATCCAGCTTGAATTACCAATCCGTACTTTTGGCCTCCAATTAGCTTGGCGATAGCCTTTGCGCGGCTAGGAAAGTTGGCCTGCGCCTTTGCTTTGAGGGCATCGTAGTACTCAGCAGTGCTAAAAGACCCATGTTCAAAGTCAATCCGAGCACGTACCGATTATCGATGACCTGGCCGCTTCCTTGATGTTGCTCGTTCCGATGCGTCCGCAGACTGCCTTTCTGAGTCGTAGCACAGGTGCAAACTGTAAATAGGTGTATCCGGAACATTGGAAATACCAGAACACTTCCAGGGTCGGAAGGTGAGGTGTGTCGACGAGTGAAGAGCGAGATCCCAAGCCTTAGTTGAGACAATCGACTTTCTGCATTCCTGGAAAATAGTATTAAACGTGAGAGGCTGGCTGGTAGATCTTTTTCCTATGCACGCGGACCATAAATCACAATAGTCCATCAACAAACGACGCATCCCCTACCTTGCAGACGGAGATTTTTCGACCGTCTTCTGGATTGTCGTCTTCTGAAAAATGACAATCGAGAAGAAATTAAAAGATTCATACCATTATCAGATGCATCTTGAAATCCCAAGGCCTCTTTTTGTCCACCAATGTATTTAGCGATGGCATTTGATTGAGCCGGAAAGTTGGCTTTCATCTTCGCCTCGAGCGCATCGTAGTACTCAGCAGTGCTAAAACTCATGCTCAAAGTCAATCCGAGAACTTACCGGTTATCGATGACTCGTCCGTTTCCTAGATGTCGTTTTTTTTCAGATGCTTTTGCAGGTGGCTTTTCCGAATCATAGTACAGGCGCAAACTGGAAATGGGTGTATTCGGAACATTCGAAATACCAGAACACTTCCACGGTCGGAAGGAGAGGTGTGCCACCGAGTGCTCAGAGAAGTGACTAGGATCATTTCTGCAGATCGCTTTGCTGCACTGCTAAAATAGCACGAATTAGCAGGGTTGTGCTAATAAATTTTTCGTTCACCGTAGTCCATAAGAAACTATCATATTAGCTCGCATAAATATGCTGTGCTGACGTACTTTGCAAACGGGCGTTGTTTGACGGTGTTCTTCCTCTTCCGAATCCGTCGGATTGTCGTCAGTAGGCCAGCGGCGCTTCACGGCACGGCCTTTTCCAGGTGTCACCGAGGTCATTCCTGGAAAAGTAACAAGTAACAGCACTATATCTATACAGCCACGAAAGTTTTCTTTTTGCAGACAATGAAAAAGGAAAACTCAAATAGAAACACTTAAACCGTGCGCTTTTTGTTTTTTATTAACCGTTTTTGACGAAAATATCGACTTTTTTAAAAGTTTTTCTAGTTCAAATGTAGTTTTTTTACCAAAACATTATGAAAATACTTCCTGCTAAGTTTCAAGGCATTTCATTAATAAAAAACATTCCACCCCCCCGATAATGCGAAAGAACCACTAAAAAGCAGTCAAAACGTTTCAATTTCAAAAATTAATTCAACAAAATGGCGGCACGAATAGAACACTTCAATTAGAGGGCCAAAACCGGTGTTAAAACTGTCAATTCTCAGCCTCGATATTCAAGCGGATCAACCACAGAACATTCGCTGATGAGCAACGGTTTTCGAAAACAACAATTTATTTGGCTCAACAAATCGATAACAACGTTTCAAAAGCAAACTGTAACATAACAAATTATTTCAACAAATTGCATTAGAAATATCGAGATAATAGGTGTCTTCTCTTTTCGTGCCTCATTCTCGGCGTGGGCCCTTATCATCAGCCAGTCCGCATGCGCTCCCTCAGCGCCGTCACTTCTTCCATCAGCATCTTCAGCTGGGCGGCTTGCTAGAAAAGGAATTAAAATTAACTATAAAAATGTGGATTACCCGGTCGTTCTCCTGCCTCAGACGGCGATTTTCGGCATTCCGCGTTTCCGAGAGGGTCTCCTGAAATGGAACGTGTTTCTCGAGCTCTTTTTCTCTCCATCTCTCACTCTCTCGATATTTTAGTAAAATAAAACTGGATTTTAACTAAGAAAAACATTCGAAAACGTCGGATTTTCGGCAAAAAAATCATTTTTGATCTAAATCATCTAAATTCTTTGCATCAAAAAAAACAGTTAAAAAGTGTCTAGAAGCACTTGCACTATTTATATTCGAAGAATTGGACCCCCAAAAAAATTTTTGCCCCCCTCCCCCGATAATGCGAATGAACCATTTTTTTTAAAAATTTCGCAAGATAGTAGTGATAAACGTGTTTCCGTTCCACCAGAAAAAGAGAAGAAAACAATTACAAAAGCCGCATACCAGGAGTGCCATGTTGATTTGCATGCGAGCCATGTCAGATTTCGTCTCCCTCATTGCAGCTCGCGTTCTGGCCATGTCCGATGAGATCTTGGCACCCGCCAATTTCATTGTCATCTGAAAAATAAATTGGTTTGGCATATGGATCTTTCGCATTACCGGGGGAAGGGGGCGAGAAATTTTTTCAGAGACTCCATTTTTCAAATAAAAATAGCAGAAGCGTTTCTGGACTGTTGTTTACTATTCCTAAATGTAAAAAAATTAAGAAAATTTTGTTAAAAATACAAAAATGTTGATTTTTCCACCAAAATGACCGCTTTTTGACCAAACGTTCAATTTTCTGACAAACTTTTCAAATTTTTTGATAGTTTTTCGATTTAAAATAAAGCCTTATTCTACTACAAATACTATGAAAATACTATTAATTTACTAGGCGTTTCTAGATTAATAAACACAACAATCTCTTCCACCCCCCGTAATGCGAAAGAACCAAAAAAAAGGAGAATTCAATTGCCATAAATATCTTACAATGGTTTCTTCGACGCGCTTGTCGATGCTGTGGTCAGTGTCGATTTGGGGCACGGGCTCGATGCGTGGTTGTACGACAGCTACTCTTGACGGAGGAGAGAAGGCCGAATTGGCATGGAATGGCGGTGATTCTGATGGAATTGTCAGAACGGCCACCTCGGCTGCCCAATCCTCCTCGCCTCTTTTCACCTTCTTCTTCTTCTTATCCATTCGTCTCGGTTCTTCGGTTGGATTTTCATCTAAGCGGAGGTTAATAGTAGGCTCTTTCGCGTTATCGGGGGGGGGGGGGAATTTAGAAATGCCGATAAAAACTTAATAGGAAGTATTTAAATCAAGCTTTTAGTAAAATAAAAGTATATTTGCACTAGAAAAATATCTAAAACTTTCTAAAAGACGAAATTTTGGTCGAAAATCATATTTTTTAGTTTTAACAAAATTTCTTTTACGATTAGGGATAGTAAAAAAAAGAACCACGTCCGCTATTTATATTTAAAATGTCCCTCCCCCCCTGATAATGCGAAAGATCTGCTTTTTAGCTAAAGCGAATCACAACGATTATTTCTGGAAATAAATCGATTCCCCCCAATCAGTACCTAGAAGTTCTTGTTTGACATCGATTGGATGAAGGGTAGGCGAGGATGATTGGTCTTTGTCACCTAAACCTCAGGAATTCAATAAATACTTATTAGAAGTACCATTCCGGACATTTTGGCCGTTGTGGTGGCGGATTGGAGCATGAGCATCAGCATGAGCATCCGCCTCACTTCCCTCGATTACGACATGAAAATCTAAATTTAATCATGAAATTCTCAAAAATTAACAACCCACCAAATGAAGAATTTTCGACATATAGTGGCTCTTGCTTAAATTCGCGTTGAGTATCGGCCATCGTTCGATGAGTCGATTTCTCTTTGGATCGTGGTGGAATAGCGTCTGGCACCACTTCTTGCTTGATCGTGCCTAAATATTAAAATCGGGATATTAGTTAAGATTTTCAGTTCTTTCGCACTATCGGGGGTTGCAGTAGGGGCAAATTTGTTCGGTATTAATCCAAAAATTCCTAGCAACTTAGTCGAAAGTATTTACATCATGTTTTCAGTAAAATAACACTATATTTTAACTAGAAAAAATATCCAAAAACTTTCAAAAAAATTGCTGAAAATCGAAATTTTGGTAAAAACGGCCAATTTGGACGGAAATCGAGATTTTTCTTATTTTTTTGAAAAATTTGTAAAGTGTTTACGTTTAGTAATAGTAGATACAGTTCAGGAACACTTCCACTATTTATATTTAGGAAAGAAATGCGAATGCGAAAGGACCGGTAATTTCCTTGGTCGATTTTCGATTCTCGATTCTTCTTTGAAATTTTTTTGGGGTACCCTGTCAAGGATGAAGCGCAAACTGTTGAGAAAGCGCCATACCAGCACTAGTGGATACAGCTTCCGGACTTGTCTGCACGTTTTGCGGAATGTCGAGACTTTTGTCACGAGGAGCCGGGAGATGAACAATTGGTGGGTTGTCTTCTGGAGTGGAATCTTCTAAAAAAAAATGCAGTAAAAAGACAGGGAATCGTTCGTACCGTTATCGAATCCACCTTGAATTTTCGATGTCTCCCTTTGTCCTCCAATGTGCTTCGCGATAGCCTTTGCGCGACCAGGAAAATTGGCCTGCGCCTTTGCTTTGAGGGCGTCATAGTATTCGGCAGTGCTAAAACTCATGCTCAAAGTCAATCCGAGCACGTACCGATTATCGATGATCCGGCCGTTTCCTTGATGTTGCTCGTTCAGATGCTGTTTCAAGGGGCCTTTCCGAGTCATAGTGAAGTCGCAAACTGGAAATAGGTGTATTCCGAACATTGGAAATACCAGAACACTTCCAGGGTCGGAAGGAGAGGTGTGCCACCGAGTGCTGAGCCAGAAGCCGAGCACTAGTTGAGACAATCGAATGTCTGCATTCCTGGAAAAAATAGTATTCAATATCGAAGCCTGGCTGACAAATTTTCGGCGTACAGAGTTCCATAAAAGACATTAGTCCAAAAAACAATGCATTCCTTACCTTGCAGACGGAGATTTTTCGACCGTCTTGCGGATTGTCATCTTCTGAAAAAATGACAGTCGAGAAGGAATTAAAATATTCGTACCATCATCTGATGCGTCTTGAAATCCCAATGCCTCCTTTTGTCCTCCAATGTATTTAGCGATGGCATTTGATTGACCCGGAAAGTTGGCTTTCGTCTTCGCCTCGAGCGCATCGTAGTATTCAGCAGTGCTAAAGTTCTCCATACAAATTCCAACAGCGCAATTACCGGTTATCGATGGCCCAGCCATTTCCTTGATGTTGGATCTTCAGATGGCTCTTCACAACGCATTTCAGTTTCGCAGTAAAGGTACAGACTGGAAATAGGTGTATTCGGAACATTGGAAATACCAGAACACTTCCAGGGTCGGAAGGAGAGGTGTGCCACCGAGTGCTCAGCGAGGTGACTAGCATAATTGTCGGAGATTACATTGCTGCACTGCTAGAAAAAGCATTAATGGCAGGGTTTCGCTGAGAAGTTTTTCGTTATCTATCAAAAAGTACCATCTTGGCCCGCATAAAAGCGATATGCTTACGTACCTTGCAAACGGGTCTTGTTTGACGGTGTTCTTCCTCTTCCGAATCCGTCGGATTGTCGTCCGTAGGCCAGCGGCGCTTCACGGCACGGCCTTTTCCAGGTGTCACCGGGGTCATTCCTGGAAAAGTAACAAGCGTCTAGTCACAGCACCGCAGACAAGCAACAGCTTTTCGTCTTGTAAAGGCAGAATGAGAAATAGAATTTCAACAGAATCACTTTTATATAAATTTCTAATCTCCGTGAGCTTTTTGGCCGTTTTTTACGAAAATTTAAATTTTTGAAAAGTTTCAAAGCCTTTAGATAGTATTTCTATTTCACAAAAAACAATATGAAACCACTTCCTATTAAGCTCCTAGGCATTTTTAGATTAATACAAAACATCTACCCCCCCCCACCCCCGATAATGCGAAAGAACCTGTAAAAGACGGTAAAAACATTTCAATTTCAAAAAGCAATTCAACAAAATGGCGGCACGAATAGAACACTTCAATTAAAGGGCCAAAACCGGTGTGAAAACTGTCAATTCTCAACCTCGATATTCAAGCGGATCAACCACAGAACATTCGCTGATGAGCAACGGTTTTCGAAAACAACAATTTATTTGGCTCAACAACGTTTTAAAAGCAAACTGCAAGCAAAGTGCAAAATAACAAATGAGTTCAACAAATTGCATTAGAAATAGCGAGATAATAGGTGTTTGCTCTTTTCGTGCGTCATTCTCGGCGTGGGCCTTATCATCAGCCATTGCGGATTCGCTCCCTCAGCGCAGCAATTTCTTCCATCAGCATCTTCAGCTGGGCGGCTTGCTAGAAAAAGGAATTAAAATTAACTATAAAAATGTGGGTTACCTGGTCGTTCTGCTGCTTCAGACGGCGATTTTCGGCATTCCGCGTTTCCGAGAGGGTTTCCTGTAAAAGAACGTGTTCCTCGAGCTCTGTTGCTCTCGGAAATTTTTTACATATTTATTGGTTTCTTTTGCATTACCGGGGGCAAATTTTTTTGTGTTGATCTTGAAAAGCCTAGTAAATTGATAGGAAGTATTTTGTATAATGTTTAAGTGAAATAAACCTATATTTTAACTAGGAGAAACTTTCAAATGGTCGAAATTTTGTGAAAACGGGCATTTTCCGTCGAAAAAAATCTTACATCGAAAAAATCGGCCTTTTTTGTAATTTTTGCCTGGATGCGTAAATTTTTACGTTTGGAAATCGTAAAAAATCATTGGCAATATACTAGTGATAAACGTGTTTCCGTTCTACCAGAAAAAGAGAAGAAAACAATTACAAAAGCCCCATACCAGGAGTGCCATGTTGGTTTGCAGCCGAGCCACGTCAGATTTTGTCTCCCTCATTGCAGCGCGCATTCTGGCCATGTCCGAGCAGATCTTGGCTCCTCCCAGCTTCGTTGTCATCTAAAAAAGGGAATTGGATTATTGCCATAAATATCTTACAATGGTTTCTTCGAAGCGCTTGTCGATGCTGTGGTCAGTGTCGATTTGGGGCACGGGCTCGATGCGTGGTTGTACGACAGCTACTCTTGACGGAGGAGAGAAGGCCGAATTGGCATGGAATGGCGGTGATTCTGATGGAATTGTCAGAACGGCCACCTCGGCTGCCCAGTCCTCCTGGCCTCTTTTCACCTTCTTCTTCTTCTTCTTATCGATTCGTCTCGGCTCTTCGGTTGGATTTCCATCTAAGAGGAGATTAATAGGTTCTTTTGTAATATCAGGGGGGGGGAGAATTTTTTGTGTTGATCTAGAAACCTAGTAACTAAATATGAAGTATTCTCATAATGTTTTCAGTAAAATAAAACTATGTTTTAACCAGAAAAACTGCCTAAAAATTGAAAAATTTTTGAAATAGCCGAAATTTTGGTCGAAAAATCGATATTTTTTGTATTTTGTAAGTACAATTTTGTAAGCTTTTAAGATCAAGGATAGTTAAAAAAAATGAAACACGTTCGCTATTTCAATTCAAAACTTCTCCTCCCCCCGATAATGCGAAAGATCCGTTTTATCCAAAGCGAATCACAACAATGATTTCCAGAAACAAATCCATTTCCCCAATCAGTACCTAGAAGTTCTTCCTTGACAACGATTGGATGAAGGGTAGGCGAGGATGATTGGTCTTTGTCACCTAAACCTCAGAAATTCAATAAATACTTAAAAGTACCATTCCGGACATTTTGCTCGTTGTGGTGGCGGGTTGGAGCATGAGCATCAGCATGAGCATCCGCCTCACTTCCCTCGATTACGACATGAAAATCTAAATTTAATTTAATCAGGAAATTAAAAAATTCTTGTGATAAGTGAATCAATTAACAACCCACCAAATGAAGAATTTTCGACATCCAGTGGCTCTTGTTTAACTTCGCGGTGAGTATCGGCCATCGTTCGGTGAGACGATTTTTCTTTGGATCGTGGTGGAACAGCGTCTGGCACCACTTCTTGCTTGATCGTACCTAAAAATTAAACTGAAAGCTTAATGAAGATTCTCAGGCAAAATACAGGGCGTCGGAAAAAAACCGCTTGGCGTCTTTTCAACCCTGGCCCCTTCTCTACACGTACACGTCTCCTACATGCCGGAATTCCTAGGACAAAAAAGGAAAAACGCTCCCTCTAAAGTGGCAAATATTGACCTTTTGTTGCGAATTTTCATAAATATGCGAAATTAAAATCATTTTTATAGCATTTTCCAAAGTTTTTCGATATAAAAATAATATGAAAAATAATCAAAATTTTCAAAAATTTTTGGCTTTTGACAAAAATGATCAATGACCAAAAAGATCAAAAACGTCGAATTTCCAAAATTCTTAACTTTTTTTTATAACCTGCTAGCAATCAAAAACCTAAAACCTAAAAACACTATAAAAATACATAACATAATAAACAGGTGGCATAGGTAAAAAAGAAAAAGTGGTTTTCCCCCTGCTAATAATCCCCCCGCTAACAGTCCAGAGCCAAAGGAACATACCAGCATTTGACGATGCAGCTTCCGGACTCTTCTGCACGTTTCGCCGAATGTCGAGACTTCGGCCGCCAGAAGTTGGGAGATGAACAATTGGTGGGTCGTCTTCTGCGGTGGCATCCTCTAAACAAATCGCAATCAAAAAGCCAGGAAAACATTCATACCGTCATCAGATACGCGCTGAATTGCCAATCCGTACTTTTGGCCTCCAATTAGCTTGGCGATAGCCCTTGCGCGGCCAGGAAAGTTGGCTTGGGCCTTTGCTTTGAGGGCATCGTAGTATTGAGCGGTGCTAAAACTCATGTTCAAAGTCAATCCGAGCACGTACCGATTATCGATGATCCGGCCGTTTCGCTGATGTTGCTCGTTCAGATGCTGTTGCAGATTGTCTTTCCGATTCATCGTACAGGCGCAAACTCGAAATAGGTGTATTCGGAACATGGGAAATACCAGAACACTTCCAGGGTCGGAAGGTGAGGTGTGTCGACGAGTGCAGGGCGAGATGCAAAGTCTTAGTTGAGACAATCGAATTTTTGCATTCCTGCAAAAAAAAACATTAAATAACGAAGCCGGGCTGGTAATTCCCACGAACCGTCGCCCATAAACCACATAGTTCAAAAATAAATGATGCATTCCCTACCTTGCAGACGGAGATTTTTCGACCGTCTTGCTGATTGTCATCTTCTGAAAAGATGGCAGTCAGGAAATAATTAAAATATTCATACCATGATCGGACGCATCTTGAAATCCCAATGCCTCCTTTTGTCCTCCAATGGATTTAGCGATAGCCTTTGCGCGGCCAGGAAAGTTGGCTTGGGCTTTTGCTTTGAGCGCATCGTAGTATTCAGCAGTGCTAAAACTCATGCTCAAAGCCAATCGGAGCACGTACCGATTATCAAGAACCCGGCCGTTTCCTTGATGTTGCGCGTTCAGATGCCTTTGCAGGCTGCTTTTCTGAGTCATAGTACAAGCGCAAACTGGAAATATGGGTTTTCGGAAGATTGGAAATACCTGAACACTTCCACGGTCGGATGGCGAGATGCGTCGACGAGTGCTGAACCAGATGGCAGGGGGGCATTGCATATGACTGCATTGCTGCACTGCTAGAAAAAGCATTAAATAGCAGTGATGCGCTGATAATTTTTTGTTAACCATAGTCTATTAGACCACAATATTAGCCCGCAGAAAGATGCTATGACAACGTACCTTGCAAACGGCTGTTGTTTGACGGTGTTCTTCCTCTTCCGAATCCGTCGGATTGACGTCAGTAGGCCAGCGGCGCTTCACGGCACGGCCTTTTCCAGGTGTCACCGGGGTCATGCCTGGACATTTAACAAGCGTCAATTCGCAGCACTGTATACAGCCCAAGAATGTACACTTTTCTTTTTGCAAAGACGGAACCGCAAAGGAAAATTTAAACAGAAACAATTTTAAACAAAACAAATTTCTAATGCCCGTTGTTTTTGTTTTTATTGGCCGTTTTTCGAGGAAAATTTCGTATTTTTGAGGGTTTCCAAATTTTTAGATAGTCTTTATAGTCAAAATATAGTTTCCTTTCACTAAAGCATTATTAAAATGCTTCCTATTAAGCTACTAGGCATTTTTAGATTCATCCAAAAAAATTGCTTCCGCCCGATAATGTGAAAAAAACCACTAAAAATCAGTAAATACGCTTCAATTTAAAAAAGCAATTCAACAAAATGGCGGCGCGAATAGAACACTTCAATTAAAGGGCCAAAACCGGTGTGAAAACTGTCAATTCTCAACCTCGATATTCAAGCGGATCAACCACAGAACATTCGCTGATGAGCAACGGTTTTCGAAAACAACAATTTATTTGGCTCAACAACGTTTTAAAAGCAAACTGCAAGCAAAGTGCAAAATAACAAATGAGTTCAACAAATTGCATTAGAAATAGCGAGATAATAGGTGTTTGCTCTTTTCGTGCGTCATTCTCGGCGTGGGCCTTATCATCAGCCATTGCGGATTCGATCCCTCAGCGCAGCAATTTCTTCCATCAGCATCTTCAGCTGGGCGGCTTGCTAGAAAAGGAATTAAAATTAACTATAAAAATGTGGATTACCCGGTCGTTCTCCTGCCTCAGACGGCGATTTTCGGCATTCCGCCTTTCAGAGAGGGTTTCCTGAAATGGAACGTGTTTCTCGAGCTTGGTTGCTCTCTCGCTCCCTCCCCCCCCCCCCCCCATTCCCCCCACTCCCATCTCTCACTCTCTCGATATTTTAGTAAAATAAAACTGGATTTTAATTAAGAAAAACATTCAAAAAGTCGGATTTTGGGCAAAAAATCATTTTTGGTCTAAATCATCTAAATTCTTTGCATCAATAAAACAGTTAAAAGCTAGAAGCACTTGCACTATTTATATTTCAGGAATTCCAAAAAAAAGTCCCCCCCGATAATGCGAAAGAGCTATTTTTATTGATTTTTAAGAACTTGGCAATAAGTAGTGATCACGTGTGTCCGTTCCACCAGAAAAAGAGAAGAAAACAATTACAAAAGCCCCATACCAGGAGTGCCATGTTGGTTTGCAGGCGAGCCACGTCAGCTTTCGTCTCCCTCATCGCAGCCCGCATTCGGGCCATGTCGGAGGAAATCTTCGCACCGCCCAGCTTCATTGTCATCTAAAAAAGGGAATTTGATTATTGCCATAAATATCTTACAATGGTCTCTTCGAAGCGCTTGTCGATGCTGTGGTCAGTGTCGATTTGGGGCACGGGCTCGTGGCGTGGTTGTACGACAGCTACTCTGGACGAAGGAGAGAAGGCCGAATTGGCATGGAATGGCGGTGATTCTGATGGAATTGTCAGAACGGCCACCTCCTCCTCGCCTCTTTTCACCTTCTTCTTCTTCTTCTCCTTCTTATCGATCCTTCTCGGCTCTTCGGTTGGATTTTCATCTAAGCGGAGTATAATAGATAGAATAATAGGTTCTTTCGCATTATCGGGGGGAGGGGAGAATTTTTTTGTGTTGATCTAGAAACCTAGTAACTTAATATGAAGTATTCTCATAATGTTTTTACGAAAACAAAACTTATTGCCACTAGAAAACCTATCTAAAAACTTTGAAATTGCCAAAAAGGTGACATTTTTTGATCGAAAAATCGATTTTTATGCATTTTTAACAAAAAGAACAAGTTTTTACGATTAGGGATAGTAAAAAAAGCAACACGTCCCCTTTTTATATTTCAAATTTCTCTACCCCCCGATAATGCGAAAGCTCCGTTTTTACCTAAAGCGAATCAAAACGATGATTTCCACAAACAAAGCAGTACCTAGAAGTTCTTGTTTGACAACGATTGGATGAAGGGTAGGCGAGGATGATTGGTCTTTGTCACCTAAACCTCAGAAATTCAATAAACACTTATTAGAAGTACCGTTCCGGACATTTTGCTCGTTGTGGTGGCGGATTGGAGCATGAGCATCAGCATCAGCATCCGCCTCACTTCCGTCGAATACGACATCAAAATCTAAATTTTAGTTAATCATGAAATTCTCAAAAATTAACAACCCACCAAATGAATAATTTTCGACATCTAGTGGCTCTTGCTTAACTTCGCGTTGAGTATTGACCATCGTTCGATGAGTCGATTTCTCTTTGGATCGTGGTGGAACAGTGTCTGGCACCACTTCTTGCTTGATCGTACCTAAATATTAGATTAGAGTATTAATATTAGGTAAAAAAGATTTCCTGGCTAAATAAAGGGTGTACTAAAAAAACTAGCTTTCGCTGGGCCGCAGACTGTTGGAATCTAAGTTTCTTCTTGAGTTTTTCGTTTCCGCAGCGCGATTTTTCAACCTCGTTTGTACCCGTGATATCTTTTACCCTACATTAGCCGAATTCCTACGACATGAAAAGAAAAGCGCCCCCTCTCAAGCTGAAATTTCGAAGATTTTGACCTTTTGTTGGTCATTTTTATAAATGAATTATATTAAAAGCCAGCGCCCAAAACCCGCTTCGCGGGCCTTGGACGCTGGAATGCGGACCTTGCATGAGAAATTGACTTTCCGATAGCTTGGGTCCTTCGGACGCCCCCCTACCCCCAACCAACCACACACGCGAGCGCAACTTGCAAGAATGAGGAAATTTCTATTTTTCACATTATGCAAATTAGCCTTCAGGGACCCCCAAAAATGAATCAAACCGGCTTTAACTTTGTAAACTTGTATTTTATCGTAATTCTGAGAACGCCATCGGAAACAGAAGGGTCGATTCCCCCAAGTGACGAAAAATTGGGGCGTTTTTGACACGGGAAGGCCCTCAAATCGTGCCTCGAAACTGACATCCACACACACACACACAAAGATACACACCAAAATTATATAAGGTAGGATACCATTTCTACTTTTTGGTCGAAAATAGATCAAAAAGTACCAAAAAGGACAATTTTTTTGAAACTTTCTAGCACTCAAAACCTAAAAACTAAAAACACTATAAAAAATACATAACATAATAAACAGGTGGACTGAGTAGAAAAATAAAAAGTGGTTTAGCGTTAAACCCCCCCACGCTAACCGTCCAGAACCAAAGAAACATACCAGCCTTTGAGGATACAGCTTCCGGCCTAGTCTGCACATTTTGGCGAATATCGAGACTTTTGTCGCCAGGGGCTGGGAGATGAACGATTGGTGGGTTGTCTTCCAGAGTGTCATCCTCTAAAAAATCGCAATCAAAAAGCCAGGGAAGCGTTCGTACCGTCATCGGATCCATCCTGAATTCTCGACACGTGCCTTTGCCATCCAATGTGCTTCGCGATAGCCTTTGCGCGGCCAGGAAAGTTGGTCTGCGTCAGTGCTTTGAGGGCATCGTAGTATTCAGCAGTGCTAAAACTCATGCTCAAAGTCAATCGGAGCACGTACCGATTATCGATTACCCAGCCATTTCCTTGATGTTGCTCGTTCAGATGCTTATGCAGATCGCCTTTCCGAGCCATAGTGAAGTCGCAAACTGAAAATAGGTGTATCCGGAACATTGGAAATACCAGAACACTTCCAGGGTCGGAAGGCGAGGTGCGCAACCGAGTGCTGCGCCAGATGCCGAGTCCTAGTCGCGACAATCGAATGTCTGCATTCCTGGAAAAAATAGTATTCAATATCAGACTCGCCGGCAAAATTTCCCGCGAACAAAAATCACATTAATAAAAACGAATGATCCTTTCACCTACCTTGCAGCTGAAGATTTTTCGACGGGTTTGCGCATTGTCATCCTCTCAAAAAAAGGCAGTCACGAAGGAATTAAAATATTCGTACCATGATCAGATGCATCTTGAAATCCCAATGTCTTCATTTGTCTTCCAATGTATTTAGCGATGGCGCTTGAGTGAGCCGGAAAGTTGGCTTTCATCTTCGACTCAAGCGCATCGTAGTACTCAGCAGTGCTAAAACTCATGCTCAAAATCAATCCGAGAACGTACCGATTATCGATGACCTGGCCGGTTCCTTGGTGTTGGGTCTTCAGATGGCTCTTAACATCACCTTTCAGTCTCGCAGTAAAGGTACAAACTGAAAATAGGGATATTCGGAACATTCGAAATACCAGAACACTTCCAGGGTCGGAAGGCGAGGTGTGTCAGCGAGTGCTGAGCCAGAAACCAGGTAGTAGTTGAGACAATCGAATGTCTGCATTCCTGGAAAAAAATAGTATTAAATCTCAGCCAGCCCGGTGAATTCCCCACGAACCGCGGTCGACAAACCACACTAGTCCAAAAATCAATGATGCAAACCACCTTGCAGTTGGAAATTTTACGACCGTCCTGCGGATTGTCATCTTCTGAACAGATGGCAGTCAAGGAGAAATTCAAACAATGATACCATGATCTGATGCATCTTGAAATCCCAATCTCTTCTTTTGTTCACCAATGTATTTAGCGATGGCACTTGAGAGATCTGGAAAGTTGGCTTTCGTCTTCGCCTCGAGTGCATCGTAGTATTCGGCAGTGCTAAAACTCATGCTCAAAGTCAATCCGAGAACGTACCGATTATCGATGGCCCGACCATCTCCTTGATGTTGCTCCTTCAGGTGCTGTTGCAGGGGGTCTTTCCGAGCCATAGTGAAGTCGCAAACTGGAAATAGGTGTATTCGGAACATTGGAAATACCAGAACACTTCCAGGGTCGGAAGGAGAGGTGAGTCGACGAGTGCCGAGCGAGCTTGCAAGGTGCATCGCGGTAGACCGCGTTGCTGCACTGCTGGAAAAAGCATTAATTAGCAGGGTTTTGCCGATAAGTTTTCCCTTGGCCGCGGTCATTATTAGAGACGACCCTCTTGGCCCGCATAAAAACGATGTAATTACGTACCTTACAAACGGGTCTTGTTTGACGGGTTCTTCGTCTTCCGAATCCGTCGGATTGTCGTCAGCCGGCCAGCGGCGCTTCACGGCACGGCCTTTTCCAGGTGTCACCGGGGTCATGCCTGCAAAAGTAACAAGCGTCAAGTTACAACAATGCATACAGCCAACGACAAGCTTTTCTTTTTGCAAAGACGGAACCACAAAGGGAAATTTAAATTGAAACAATTTGAAACAAAACAATGAATTTCTAATGTCCGTGCACTTTTTGTTTGTATTAGCCGTATTTTGAGCAAAATATCGACTTTTTCTAAGTTTTTAAAAGTTTTTAAAAGTTTTGTCTAGTTCAAATGTAGTTTTTTACAAAAACAATATGAAACCACTTCCTATTAACTTCCTAGGCATTTTTAGATTAATACAAAACATCTACCCCCCGATAATGCGAAAGAACCACTAAAAACAGTCAAAACGTTTCAATTTCAAAAAGTTATTCAACAAAAAGGCGGCACGAATAGAACACTTCAATGAAAGGGCCAAAACCGGTGTTAAAACTGCCAATTCTCAGCCTCGATATTCAAGCGGATCAACCACAGAACATTCGCTGATGAGCAACGGTTTTCGAAAACAACAATTTATTTGGTTCAACAACGTTTTAAAAGCAAACTGCAAGCAAAGTGCAACATAACAAATGAGTTCAACAAATTGCATTACAAATATCGGGCTAATAGGTGTTTTCTCTTTTCGTGGGCCATTCTCGAACAATTGGTGGGTTGTCTTCTGGAGTGTCGTCCTCTGAAAAAATCAGTTAAAAAGTTAGCGAAGCATTCTTACCGTTATCCGGTCGAGCCTGAATTCCCGATACGTGCCTTTGTTCTCCAATGAACTTGGCGATAGCCCTTGCGCGATCAGGAAAATTGGCTTGGGCCTTTGCTTTGAGGGCATCGTAGTACTCAGCAGTGCTAAAACTCATGCTCAAAGTCAATTGGAGCACGTACCGATTATCGATGACCCAGCCATTTCCTTGATGTTGCGCGTTCAGATGCCTTTGCAGGTTCTTTTTCCGATTCATAGTATAGGTGCAAACTGGAAATAGGTGTATTCGGAACATTACAAATACCTGAACACTTCCAGGGTCGGAAGGAGAGGTGTGTCGACGAGTGCAAAGTGAGATGGGAAGGTGCATCGCAGTGGATCGCATTACTGCATTCCTGCCAAAAAAAAAAATAAATAACGAAGCCTGGCTGACAAATTTCCGGCGAACAGCGTTCCATAAAACACATTAGTCGTAAAATAAATGATGAATTCCCTACCTTGCAGACGGCGATTTTTCGACCGTCTTGCGGATTGTCGTCTTCTGAAAAATTAGTCGAGAAGGAATTGAAATATTCGTACCATCATCTGACGCATCCTGAAATCCCAATGTCTCCTTTTGTCCTCCAATGTATTTAGCGATGGCATTTGAGTGAGCCGGAAAGTTGGCTTTCGTCTTCGCCTCGAGGGCATCGAAGTATTCGGCAGTGCTAAAACTCATGCTCAAAATCAATGCGAGCACGTACCGGTTATCGATGACCCGGCCGTTTCCTGGATGTACCTCGTGTAGATGCCTCTGCAGGTGGCTTTTCAGAGTCATAGTAGAGGCGCAAACTGGAAATAGGTGTATTTGCAACATTGGAAATACCAGAACACTTCCAGGGTCGGAAGGAAAGGTGCGATGCCGAGTGCTGAGCCAGAAGCGGAGCACTAGTTGAGTCAATCGAATTTCTGCATTCCTGGAAAAAAGGAGTACTGAATACCTGCGTCGCGTTGGTCAGTTTCCAACGAACGGTGACACATAAACTACATTAGTCCCATAATAAACGATGCATCCCCTACCTTGCAGACGAAGATTTTTCGACCGTCTTGCGGATTGTCATCTTCTGAAAAATGACAGTCGAGAAGGAATTAAAATATCGGTACCATTATCTGATGCATCTTGAAATCCCAATGCCTCTTTTGTCCTCCAATGTATTTAGCGATGGCATTTGAGAGACCCGGAAAGTTGGCTTTCGTCTTCGCCTCGAGCGCATCGTAGTACTCAGCAGTCCTAAAACTCAAGCTCAAAATCAATCCGAGAACTTACCGATTATCGATGACCCGGCCGTTTCCTTGATGTCGTTTGTTCAGATGGCCCTTTACATCGCCTTTCAGTCCCGCAGTGAAGGAACAGACTGAAACTCGGATGTATTTGGAACACTGGAAATACCAGAACACTTCCAGGATCGGAAGGAGAGATGCGTCGACGAGTGCAGAGCAAAGTGACTAGGAGCACTCCTGCAGATCACATTGCCGCACTGCTAAAATAGCATGAATTAGCAGGGTTTTGCCGGTAAGTTTTCCGTTGGCGGCGGTCATTATCAGAAACCCCCATATTAGCCCGCATAAAAACGATGTAATTACGCACCTTACAAACGGCTGTTGTTTGACGGTGTTCTTCCTCTTCCGAATCCGTCGGATTGTCGTCAGTAGGCCAGCGGCGCTTCACGGCACGGCCTTTTCCAGGTGTCATCGGTGTCATGCCTGCAAAAGTAACAAGCATAAATTAGCAGCACAGCATACAGCCAACGAACTTTCTTTTTTCAAAGGCAGAATGAAAAAGCAAAATTTAATATCGCTAACAAATTTAACACTCGGCTGTGGAAGGGGTTTTGACCCTATGACTACGCATTAACGTAATCTGTATAGAACGAATTTCTGATTTTTTTGCGATCAAAAATAACCGAAACTTCTACCCTTTCAAAAACTTGTCACTTTTTTTCGCAAGTTTTTCTACTCTAACTATAGTGAAAGCTTATCCAAAACAGCATAGTAACATTTTTTATAGGAAGTGAGAACTTCGTTTTGAGCCACCCGTATGCTCTTAAAAAATTTTGGCCAACCGTAGGCTAAAGTTGGTTTTTTTTGTTAGAGGCTTCTTTCATCTCACAAATGCAACCAAACCAGCGTTGAAAACAACAAATTTCTAAGTTTTTATTTACCTCCAGCCCCGCGTTTACCGAAATGACAGCAGTTACCATCGGAAAAAGCGCCTCGCCATTCCATTCCAAAACTCCTCAATAAATTGCGGCGGATCCACGAGTTCTGAGCACGAGCAACCAAATCAAACTTTAAACGATTTATCGGAGGCCAGGAGCGCGGCCAAAAAAAAACCGACAAACAAGCCAACGAACAGATTCTGTAATAAAACGAAAGAAAAGCAGGCGAACTCCCCGACGGGGGAGCACGATGCGGAACAATTCAACGGTTCGGACAATAAAATGCGAGAGAGCAAAGAGCAGAAAGCGACGAGGAGGCACATTTCAACAACGAGAGGGGCAAATAAAATACGAGTATTTCAGCGCAAATGTGGCGGCACGTATTTGGGCTTGGTGGGAGCGGCGGCGGGCTTCGTTTCTTCAGGCGTGGCTTCGGCCTTCTTTTCCGGCTTGGCGTCAACTTGGGCGGGAGGGGCGCTGGGCTTCGAGTCGACGGCCGGGCCGGGGCGTGGAGCGCTGGGCGTCGGCGTGCGCGTCATGGCGCGGGCGGCGGCGATGGCGTCTTCCTAAAAGCGAGGGATCAGTAAGTGAGAAACCGGTGCTTTGGCATTAGCGGGGGGGGGGAAGCAGTAGAACTTTTCCTACCAGCAGAGAAAAGCCTAGTAACGTAACAGTCAGTGAGTTATTTTAGTCACGTTTAACTAGATTTCAAGGATAACAACCAAAAAAAAAACTTGGAAAAATTCATCCAGTCGAAATCTTGCTAGAAAATGAGGGATATTTCGCCGAAAAATCGATATTATGGACTTTCTACTAGAAATTTGTAGTTTGTATGTTTAGAATAGTAAAAATCTGTTTAGAAACACATTCCTTTTTATATCAGAAACATTGGATGCTCAGAACAAAGTTGGTACCGATCCGATCATGCGAAAGATCCGGCAAAACAATACAAAACTTAAAAAAAAAATTGTTTTTGAGTCGAAAAACTATAAATTTTTGGTTTTTATGACAATTTGTAACGTTTTTATGCTTTTATTAGTAATCGTAAAAAGTCACCTTTTCAGCCCGGCGGGTAGCGGCAAAATCGGCGTCATCATCGCCTCGCCTGCTCGGCGGCACGTATCTTCCGCCCGAGGCCGGCGGCTGCTCCACGGAAGTCCTAAAAATGGGACATTTTGCCAAATGCCAAAATCTTACCACGGGTTCTTCTTGTCGTCCTTGTGTTGCTTCTCCATCTCGACGGCGGCGCCGATTGTCGGGAACATTTCCTGAAAGAAAAAGTGAGGTCGAGAGAGCTGTGGATACCTGATTGGTGAGGTCGATGTTGGCACGGGGCGCGCGGTAGACCCTCGGCTCGGTAGGCGCCGCCGGTGGCCGGCTTGGCGACGATTGGCGCCGAGGACTCGTCATCTGTCTGCCCGTCTTCTTTCTAAAAGCAAAATATGGTTATTAGTAATGGAAAAGAAAAACATGGGGCGCTTGTGTGTTAGCGTGGGAGCTAGGCCAATTTTTTTGCGATGGCGTTATAGGGGCGAAAATCAATTTTAACCATTTTCCTCGCACTTTGCAACGTTTTTCTATTTAAAACAGCTTAGATAACATTACAACTGTTTTGAAAACGCTGAGTTTTTGCTTGAAACATGGCCAAAACCACCGAAAATACAGATTTTTCAGATGTTTTAATAAGCTTTTAATAATGTTTTAGTAGTAGTAAGCTACAAAAAACTACGAACACTGTTTTATGATTAGGCACGTACGGATCAACAAAAAAAAATCGCTCCTTGCGCCCACGCCACGCCAACACGGAAGCACCGAGCATGGCCAACAAACTTTACCTTATCGAACCATCCCTTGTGTTGCACCTCGACGACGTTTTCTTGCGCGTTTTCGCTCACTTCCTCCTTCTCGCTGATCTCGGCGCCCATGTCTTTGATGCCAAGGCCCTCGAGACTAAAAGCAGAATTGAGAACGACGAAAAAATGATTTACCGTCCACAGTCATCCTCAAATTCGTCGATCCACTCGGTGTCAACGCCGGGTCGCAGCGGCGGCGCGTCAACGTTTGGGCGCGAGTCTTCAACCTCAGCAAAAGCTTCGAATTCCTGAAGGAAAAAGTAAAATATTACGAGAAACTTCCAGCATACCGTCTTGTTGGCGTGGCGGACGAGCACCTCGGCGACGGCGTCTATCGAGACGACCTTCGGCTTCTTCTGCTTGTCCTTGCGCTTGGCGAACAGGGCCGACACCTCCGACATGTTGATCAACCCCTCAGGCTGGGCTGCGCGAGCGCCTGCGTGGCACGGGGAGGAGCTGTAGATTCCTGAAAAAGGCGTTGAAAAAGGAAAGCAGACGGGAAAGAAACGGGAAAAAGACAAGATTTGCAGGAATTAAAGTTGAAAGCGGCCGTGAACGTTTCGGCAGCTTCGTTCCGGCCCCTATCTTTTCAAAATCGGTTTCTAAGGATAAAAATGAATTTTTCGGACATAAATTTCGATGCGAAAGACGTTTTGAGCACCTGTCTACCAATTCCGACCCCGAAAATGGTTTTTTTTCGGAGCGGGGCGCAAAGTAAAATCAAGACAGTTAGAAACGCCGGTTTTCAGGAGCCGTTTTGGAAGCTTAAAACGTTAATTCAGATAAGACGCTACCGGAATGGACTAATAACTCAGTGATAGTCGCGAATTTTGAGCAAAACGAAACGGAAAAAGACAACAAGTTGAAGAAAATTGGTAGAATTGCGAAAAATCGAAACCCAAAATCCAGCGCGCACCAGCTACACCACACGCCTATGGACGCTTTCGTGCGGTGGAGCGTAACGGAACGTAGTAAAATTGTAAAAAAAATTAATTTTTTTTGTTCCTTGTTGTTTCGAAAGTCTGTTCATGAATTTTTGATCGTTTTTACGTTAAATTTTCATAGGTATGTTAGATTTTAATATTTTGATAATAGTTGTGAATCTATCGGTATCGGCAAATAATCGTATTTTTGGTCGGAAACAGCTTTGTTCTCGATTTAGCTTGTTTTTTTGACGCTATATTGTTGAGTTGATTTAGATGACAGGTGATCGGGGGTTCTATACAACTTCCAGTGGTTTAATCGTGTTTTAGTGACTTTTACAGGCTCTTTTCGAGTGAAAAGTGTGTCGTTTTGCTGTATTTTTGGTGTCTTTTTAGAGATGCAATGCGTTAGAACGCCGAATTTCGAAACGCTCTTTATTTTCTTGAAAAATTCGGAGACTACAAGGGAAACGAGAAACGAAAAGAAGAAAAATAAACGTATCCACTCGAAATTGATCGTGATCACAATGGAATGCACATGACGACACAAAACACAAGAAAAACAGACACACACACAGCCATGGGGGGATAAGTTTTTAGTTTTAAAACGTTTTAAATTCTTCAGGAAACGTCTTAAAAACTCGAAAACTTGGAAAACTAGTTACAAAATGGATTTGGACGTTAAAAATGTGGGTTTTAGAGCGTTAAAAACTGTTTAAAAAATAAGTAGGCAATGCGGGGGCTGTAAAACTGAAAAAACGTCTATTTTTGATACGTTTGGGTCTTTTCCGGAACACAAATTACAACCGTGTGACGGGGGGTGTTTTTGAGGGTACAACCAGTTGGGAGGGCGGATTTCAGTTTAGAGAAAACGGAGGAGCTTTTGCATTATCGGGGGGGCGGGCGCTTCCTAGTGTCTTTTTTACCGTTTTTTTGGTTTTTTAAAGGTAAAAATTCACAAATTTCGATTAGAAAAACTACAAAAACACGGATTTTTCACCAGAATTTCGAATTTTTCGACTATAAATATATTTTTTTTGAACCAATTTTGCTTATATAAAATTCGAAAGTGTTTCTAAATTGTCTTTTACTAACTTTAAGCGTAAAAGCTTTACAGTGTTTTACCAAAAAAATAGAAAAATATCGATTTTTGGAGCAAATTTTTAAAGTTTTCCGAGTTTTTAGGTAAATTTTCACTTGAAATATAGCTAAATTTTGTAAAAATTCTTTTAGAATACCTGGACTTTTAGAAAAATCGTTTTCCCCCCACCGATAATGCACAAGAACCGGAAATTGGGTACATAGCCGGGGGGTAAAGCTGCGAACGCAAAAAAGAATCGGGTTGTCTTTTAAAAAAAGGAGAAAAAGGAGATTCGCGAGCAATTGGGCAAATACGGTACATTGCTTGGGGAAAACACACGGCAAAATTCAAACTACAAAAAACCAAAAGAAAAACGGGATTTTGACTTCAAATCACAAGAGTGTAGATAAACCAGCGGGGCAAAAAAATTAGAGTTTTTGGTCGGAACGGGCGGGTTAAACGGTTACGCCATGTAATTGGCGTGGGAAAAACGGCTGGCACGGTCCCTTAGAAAGCCGGAAATGGCATTGAGGTTCTTAGAGATTGGCCAGATCGCCGCGCAGATCGTTGCCGCGGCTGCTTTCGAAGATTGGGATCGGGTTGCTGGTGATGGGTGTGATGCCCGTCGGGCCGTCCAGCAGGGTCGGGGCTCCCGCTGAAAAATCGGGTTTTAGGAATCCGCAAATGATCTCTGCTAGCTTGCCATAAGCCTAAGCCAAGCCTAAGCCAAGCCTAAGCCAAGCCTAAGCCAAGCCTAAGCCAAGCCTAAGCCAAGCCTAAGCCAATCCTAAGCCAAGCCCAAGCCTAAGAAAAAAACATACGCGTAAAGGAAATGTTGCCGAACAGCGAATTGGGCTGGTAGGGAGTCGAGCTGAGCCCCTGGGAGGGCGTGACCAACGCGATCGAGCTGGAGCCCTGAAATAAATTTTAAAATTATTTTTAAGTTATTAAACTTTAAGAAATAATCTAAATTTCGCAAAGAATCTATGCTAGCCTGCGCCTTTCACCACTTACCGTCGACGTGGCGGGCAGCTCGAAAAGCCGATCGGGTCGCTGCAAGTCCTCCGAATTGTTCATGTTCAGCTGGGCGAGCGTCTGCTCCTCCTTCGGGTTCTGCAACCGGGGGTTATGGTAATTTGAATTTTTTTAACGTTTTTACTCGCTTGCCTAATGCTCTCTGCTAGCCTCCCGAGCCAATTTTTAAAACAGGACAAGAATTATCCGAATTGCTGGCTTTTAATCGAAAATTAATAGAACATTTGATAAAACATCAATTTTTAAAAGATTCGAAAAATTTCCATAGTTACCGTATTTAGGATACAGTAGGCTCAATGCGTTTTTGGCCATTTCTTTCGACTAATTAATGGGTTTGAGAACCGAAAACAAACTGAATGTTTTCGTAAAACACTATTTTTTAATTCGAAAAATTTCTCCGAGCCTGGTCTCTCAAATCAGTATTGTTATCGCTACGGTATTTCTGCTTTTAAAAAAAAGGTACAAATAAAGTTTAGCAATGTTGAAAAACTATTTAGACGATTTTTTAAAACTTAAAAATTGTTGATTTTCATTTTTAGAAGAGTGTTTCATCTCAAGGTTGTCTAAAAACATGAAAGCCAAAATGATTATGTAGACATGTAGTTAACATAGCACACAACATTTTTGACGGTATTAAAAATATGATTTAAAATGATTTTCTCGTATCCTTAGAATTTCAAATTAAATTTTTAAACATTTTTCGTTTTTAGAAAAGTGTTTCAGACCGAGACTATGTGTAAAACATAAAAAGATCGTACTTCTGGAACCTGATTGAGACAAATTAAAACCTAGGTTGCATGAAATTACATAAAATTACCTTTGCGGTGAAAATGTCGGCCGGGGGTAGCTGGCGCTTCCTGTCATTATGTTGTTGGTCGTAGCCGCTCATCACTGAAACGTGGGAATGCGGTAATTTTTGCATATTTTAGCACCATTCTATTTTTTTAATTCACAACACTACATCTACTAATTTTCAAATAATTATATACTAACAATAATACCATAATTACGACAAGTATTTTACAAATTTTACACCACCACGATACGCACATTACGATATTGATTTTTACCTTCCGTAAGCGCCGTGCGGGCTGCTTCTAAAAACTCGGAAATTCTATCGATTTTAAGTGTTTCATGTAAAAGTAAAAAATAAGTTATTTTACAAGCCTTAATAACGCCTTGTATTGCCTCCAGAAACTTTTAATTTTTATCGTTAAAAGCCATAGCTGCTCAAAAATATGGATGTTTAAATTAAAGCGAGCGTGACGTAGAAAATCAAAGAAAAATCAACGAGGAATTTTATAAATTCTTTAATAAGTTGATTATTATTGAAAAGTAAAGTATCTAATAATTTAATTTTTGTTTAAATAGATAATTTGGTTGAATTATTTGATTAAGCCCGAAAGCCCAATAATCTACAAGATAATAAGCTTCGAACGCTCGATTTTTTTTGAAAGATCAAAATTCGAAAGACTCAAAACGTCTGAAACAAAAAAACAAGTTTTTGTAAACTGGGAATTACCGCTTGTGGAGCACTAATAAAATTCCCACCAGAGAAGAGAAATCTATGATTTTTGAAACATTAATTATTGGATTCGAAAAGTTACATATCTAAAAAAAAATCAATTTTTAACACCCAAAAGGCCGCTAGGCAGCTAGAAAAAATCGTTTAAACAGGCACTATCCAAAAAAATTAAATATTTTCACAAGGCTGAAAACCGGTTATAAAGGAGTAGAAACCAGCACATAATAAAGAATGTAGACCAAAACTTAGAAATGCACAATTTTTGAAACATTCTTTGCTCGGTTTTAACAAGGAAAATATCTAGAAAATTTAATGTTTTTTTTGTAAAGTAAGAACTTATTAAAATTCAGGAAAACTCACTCAAATGGCCCTGCTGCGGGTTGAGGGCACCGGGCGCGTTCGACGCCATCGCCATCGTCGACGCGCTCGACGTCGGCGGCACGTTCTGGAAAAACTAAATTTGTCATCTTATTGATTGTATATTCATTTCCATATAGATTTTTTATCGAATTTTGAGATTCGAATTGAAATTACGCTCAAATTTTGCTCGAAAAATTTAAATATCCCATTTTTGACGAAGACACCTAGAATTATTATTCGTAATTAACATTATTTTTGATTTCAGCGAATTGTTAAAATAATAGGGACCGTACTTAAAAGAACGGTTCTGCTGTTAAGCAAGCGTTTTTCGGTTTTTAAATTTGTTGAAAAATCATGTTTTAGCGAATTTTGGGTTTGCTTAGCTGCTGAAAAAGTTAGTGTTTTTTTTTTAACACATTAATTTATTATTTTAATTCAAATAAGAAATTTTTTTTTTTTATCGTAGGACGCATTAATTTATCTTTAAGATACCGTTAAAATACCTTTGATAGGATCCAACGCCCATTTTCCATAATTTTTCAGATTTTAAATTTAATAAAATATGTTTAAAAAAATTAGTGTTTGGGCAAAATTTTGGCGTGGTTAATTTGGTTCGTTTTTCGTCGTTGCCAATATTCAGTAAAAAAAACAGTCATTTTCTGAGCTCCTAGTCCGTTTAAAACACCAGGAAATTATCCTCAAAGAACTCACTCGGCTCACCTGCGATGTGTGGGGGATGCCGACCGGGATTTGGGACCGCTGCTCGGGCGTCATTTTGCAGTCGTGCGTTTGGAGGAATCGTTGGAGATCCGTGATCTGAAATTGAGCATGAGTATTTCCTCAACAAATCCCTGCTAGCCTGCCCCTCCCCCTCTCTCTCATCCCAAATGATCTCTGCTAGCCTGCCCCCTCCCCCTCTCTCTCATCCCAAATGATCTCTGCTAGCCTGCCCCCTCCCCCTCTCTCTCATCCCAAATGATCTCTGCTAGCCTGCCCCCTCCCCCTCTCTCTCTCATCCCAAATGATCTCTGCTAGCCTGCCTTCACCTGGCTCTTCAGCTCCTTGATTTGATTGTCCTTCTTGCGGTTCTCGTCCTTTTGCTTGTCGACTTGCTGAAAAACGGGGTTGCATTTTTGGTTTAAAGGGGGTGTGACAGCTAACAAACCCGTTTTAAAGGGATTCTGAAGGTAGAAAACCCGTTCGAAAGGGACAGTAACCCTTAGCCGACCTCTTGCAACGTGTGCATCAACTCCAGCCGCCTCTGCCTGCACCTAGCCGCGGCCTCCTTATTCCGTTGCCGGCGCTTCAGCTTCTTGTCGTAGTCCTCGTCTTCCATTTCCGGCTACAAAAAGGTGGCATTATTTGGATATTTTTGGGCCGTAATTTTATTTATTGTGTTTCGGTATTTCGCGTTAGAAACTCGGGTTAATAGCTTTCTACTACAACTGCTAGTCAACAGCTATAAAAGCCCCAAAACCTCGAATCTGAATCGAAATATGTCGAGCTAAAATTCTATACTATAAAAATTATAGTTTTATAGCCTGCAGCAATAAAAAACTGCAAAAACACAGTATAAAAACACATTTTATTTTAGTAATGGGAGGAAAAATAAAATTAGGTTCTCTCAAATGTTTCAAAAAAATGTTTAGCTACGCGCATAAAGGAGCACTTTAATCACCATTTGACGGTGTGCATGCGCAAAAAAGTTAAACATAAATAAATACATAAATAAAGGTTAGGCCAAGACAATCAAAAACATAAATTCGATTTCATTCCCAAAGTCAGGAAAAATCAAATGTTTCAAAGAAATTCCGACTCGACCTACCGAAGTCTTCATTAATTTGCGTTTCAAACGCGTGCATGCAAAAATTAGACCGAATTTGCATTTATGCTAAGAGAGAAAACCTCAAAAATTTGCTGTTGTGCTGTATTAATTAAAAGCTCAAAAATCAACCGGAAGTCACGAAATCAATCAATAACCTGGGCAACTGAATGTTTCGCAAAAATTCCATTACACTCGCACGGAATGTTACTTAATGCACCATCGATCGCAAGAGATTCTTTTCTTTCTTCTTATAATCAAATAGGATCATTAAATAAGCCCAGCAAAAGCATAAAAATTCCTAACAAAAATTGTTAAACATCCGGAAATCCCCGGAAGCGTAATGTTTTATAAAATCACCGGGATACTTCTATAGCATCGACTTTAATGAACGCTCTGTCAAAGGGGATTTAAAAAATCTAAATTCAATTGTAAAGGCATTTAAACTATTAAATAAGCCCAGAAAAGCCATTAAAAATTACTAGAAAAACTACAAACGATCCGGGAAATCTCCGGGTTTAATCAGTAATCCGGGCAACTTAATGTTTCACAAAAATTGCTTTAAACCTCAATAAGATCATGATTAATGAATAGATCCTTCTCTTGGGCATTCTACCAAATCAAAAGAACCCAAAAATTATTAAAACCAATCTAGTAAACTAATCAACACCTAGAAATCCGGGAATCGAACAATCGGGGAAACGTGATGTTTCACAAAAGTTTCATCGCACCCTGGTGAGATCAAAATTAATGCAAAGTTGCACCCGACACTCGTCTTTATTTTTTAAAACAGTTAAATAATCTGAAGAAAGATTATCAAAATTACGCAAATAAACTAATAACCCCCGAAAATCCCGGGCCTCGCACGGGCCGGCAACGTAATGTTTCACAAAAGTTCCGTTCCGCCTTTGTAAAATCGAAACTAATGTAAGATGCTTCCCGTACTTCATTTAAAACTTATTAAATTACCTTCACAATTAATAAATCCGCGCCAATTTTCAAGAAGCGTTGCATAATTTAAAATTCAAAAAATTTGAAAACTGGACCTATTTTAATATTTTAAAAATAGAACAAATCTATTTTTTTTATTTTTAAAGAAACTAAACAAGCTCGAAAAAGGTATTAAAAATATCTATAAAAGCTTAATAAGCCATGGGAAATACCGGAATCGATCAATAACCGGACTTCCGGTTTACCAGGTATAAAAACTCAAGGGAAAAGTCATTGCATTACGCGATGTAATTCATTACCATGTCGTCGTCGGGGGGCGGGGGGCGGCGGCGCGCCGTTTTTAGCGTGTTTTAGGGAATCTGGGGATGGCCTGCCCCTAATCGGTGCCTTTAATTGGGCGCGGTAGAACCGAGAGTGAGAGAGGGAGGTGTGGGCCTTTTCGGGGGAGCGCAGGGGGCGAGAGAGTGGGAGAGAGGGAGAGAGGCCAGAGAGGGGTGAGAGAGGAGAGGGAGCAGACAATGGGGTCTCTTTGGGCTAGGGGGGAGGTGAGAGAGAGAGAGAGAGAGAGAGAGAGAGAGAGTGCGGAGAGGTCCAGGCAGACGAGAGAGCACGAATCCGTGAGAGAGAGCGAACAAATAAGACCCCGGGTGTGCATGGGAATCTCAGAAGCGAGAGAGCAGGGGAGAGAGCCAGAGAGAGAGAGAGAGAGAGAGAGAGAGAAACGCAGAGAAAATGCTCTCCAACCTCGAGACTGCTCGGGACACTGCCCCCCTTCTAACCTGGGGATACGGTGGCGGGAGCGCGGGATAGGCGCGGGACTGGCTCGGAAATCGTGGAAATTAGATCTGAGGCTAGGCAGGCTAGCAGGGATTTTTGGGGAAAATTGATTTTGCTATTAAAGCGTTTTTAACAAGATTTTGCCATGACAACCGTCACAGAATTCCAACCACAAATCCCAGCCAAAACTGGCGATTTTCCGAAACATCTTTACGCCAGAGAATTCTATACAAATTCGATGTCTACAGATGCTCACCAGGGTTACGGTTGAAGCAGCAGTTTTCGTCTCAATAACTTCAATTCCTAATAGTTTCTTGCCTTCCCTGTGCCTTTGAGAGAGAATATGCCGACTTTTGTATAGTTTTCTGGAAATCTGATGCCATTCTAATGTTGATATCAAACTATTATGCATGTATTATTATCATCATTTTGATATATAGTTTAATTCGCTGAAAAAAGATAACTGAACCTTTAACATTGTTGTGTCGACTACCCAGTAAATCTCCAAAAAATTTTCACATTTGAAGAAAAACCGAAACATATATTTTTTTATTGGTCAAGCCAGAAGTTCAGCTAACTGTAAAGTGTTTTTACTCAACTTCGAGTTTCGATTCGGGACCAAGTGCATCTTGTACAGAATTTTTCGCTGATTCCGAATATGTTTTCCAAATTTGCTACGGACTGTTATTTAAAAAATCATTTTTGGTAACAATTAGGCCGAAAAATGCCAAAAATTCAGACGCTGGCCCACTATTCCTTGTTTGGGGCTATTATGCTCAGGGGCCCTGAAGTACCCTCGGACAGCACCCTACCCAGTTGGCACCATGGTGCATTGGCAAAGTACTCGCTTGCCAAGCGCAGGGCGGCGGTTCGAACCCCCGCCCTGCAACATTTCTTTTGCTTTTTGCATAAAAATCTCATTTTTTTCTAAAATGCTTGTTTTGAGCTGTAACATGCTTGTCGAGCCAACGTCTAGTCGATTTTGACGTTGAAATTAATGAAGAAAATCGAAAACTATAACGTTACCTTCATTTTAGTGAAAACTAGGGTCATAATTGCCGTATAACTTTCAGAATAACGGTCTGTAGCAAATTTGGAAAACATATTCGGAATCAGCGAAAAATTCTGTACAAGATGCACTTGGTCCCGAATCGAAACTCCAAGTTGAGTAAAAACACTTTACAGTAAGCCTAAGCTTAAGCCAGACCCAAGCCTAAGCCTAAGCCAAGCCTAAGGCAAGCCTAAGCCAAGCCTAAGCCAAGCCTAAGCCAAGCCTAAGCCAAGCCTAAGCCAAGCCTAAGCCAAGCCTAAGCCAAGCCTAAGCCAAGCCTAAGCCAAGCCTAAGCCAAGCCTAAGCCAAGCCCTAGCCGCCTAAGCCAAGCCTAAGCCAAGCCTAAGCCAAGCCTAAGCCAAGCCTAAGCCAAGCCTAAGCCAAGCCTAAGGCAAGCCTAAGCCAAGCCTAAGCCAAGCCTAAGGCAAGCCTAAGCCAAGCCTAAGCCTAAGCCTAAGCGTAGGCCTAAGCCAAGTCTAAGCCAAATCCAAACGAAATTTTTACGCTGTTTTCTATTTATTTATTTTCTTTTCAGCCCCTCAAAAATCAGCTGGCCGATTTCCTGGGGGCGGCTTTTCCCCCGTGGCTCGAAAAAACGAGGGTATGTGTGGAAATGACGTGGGGTGGCGGTTCCAGTTGGGGAGAGAGAGAGTGGGAGAGAGCGGGAGAGAGTGAGAGGGAGAGAAAATGTGACTCACCCCGCCCGGGTCCCCTCGTGACTCACAAAACCCAGGGGGAAATCGGAGGGTTTATTTGCGAAAATGGAGAGGGCAGCCTGGCAGAGGTTTTTGGGGAGATTTAGAGTTTAAAAAAATTTAAAAATATGAGAAAACTGTCAGTAAATTTCTACAAAAATACGTCTTAAACATTTTCGTGCTCCCCTAATCAACTTAAAACAGAATTTTCTGTACCGCTAGGGCCAAATCGAAACCTGGGAGGCTAGCAGAGATTCTTTGAGGAATGGAGGGGCAGGCTAGCAGAGATTCTTTGAGGAATGGACGGGGCAGGCTAGCAGAGATTCTTTGAGGAATGGACGGGGCAGGCTAGCAGAGATTCTTTGAGGAATGGACGGGGCAGGCTAGCAGAGATTCTTTGAGGAATGGACGGGACAGGCTAGCAGAGATTCTTTGAGGAATGGAGGGGCAGGCTAAGAGATTCTTTTGAGGAATGGAGGGCAGGCTAGCAGAGATTCTTTGAGGAATGGAGGGGCAGGCTAGAGAGATTCTTTGAGGAATGGACGGGGCAGGCTAGCAGAGATTCTTTGAGGAAATGGAGGGGCAGGCTAGCAGAGATTCTTTGAGGAATGGAGGGGCAGGCTAGCAGAGATTCTTTGAGGAATGGACGGGGCAGGCTAGCAGAGATTCTTTGAGGAATGGAGGGGCAGGCTAGCAGAGATTCTTTGAGGAATGGACGGGGCAGGCTAGCAGAGATTCTTTGAGGAATGGAGGGGCAGGCTAGCAGAGATTCTTTGAGGAATGGACGGGGCAGGCTAGCAGAGATTCTTTGAGGAATGGACGGGGCAGGCTAGCAGAGATTCTTTAGGAAAAGCTGCCAAACCCGCTGAATCAATAAACGCAATACCTTTAGACAAACAGAAAAGACGTAAGCCGGCTCGGAAATTGGCCAGAATCTCGGCGGACTACAAAGAAAATTAGCCAAATCCGGGAAAATCCCCCGGTGAGGGAGAGGGGAAAGATTAGTGTCGATGCCCTCGGGGGGCATGTTTTTTGGTTTT